ATAAAAATTTGCTTTCATTGGTGTTACACTGCATCATTGGTTAGACTCGGGTACAAATATGGCCATCGACGTTGTCAATATAAAGGAGATCGGATCTTAACTTACCTTGTGAACCCTTCCTTCACCGCCCATCCGTCATTCCCTGGCGGCGACTCCTCAACACTTTTATAAACATCCGCAAACTTTGGCGCCCATTTGAAATGTCTGTGCTTATACGGCGTCTGACCCGTTTCACCACCGTCGCCATTTGCTTTTGAGTCGACGCCGCTGGATGCTCCCGCTTCTTCTCCCTCTCTTATTTTCTCCTCTTCCTCTTCCTCGTCGCCAACACTCCCCTCAACCTCCTCGAAACAGACACTTGATTCACCCCAATAATTTTGTAGCATCTCCGTCCACAGCGTTTTATGTTCATCAACGCCTTCGATGAGCGGCACGTTGACTGAATATAGGTCAACACTCTTGTCTGTCGGCCACTGAGCATATAGCTTCTCGATAACGCGCACACTATGCCGGGTAGCGGCATCGATGATTGCGGGGTCGTGGTTGCGGCTGAAAAATGCGTAACTCAAAGCAATAGCTTTCCTTCTACACACGGCGGCTTCGAGTGCGCCACCTAACGTACCAGAGCTCAGTGCGAACACTGCCGTCGTATTCCTACCATAGTTGGGACCTGACACTACAAGGTCAACAGGGCCCTTTTCGCGGAAGAAATGGTACAGGCCAATCTGGGCACAACTAGCTGGTGTTCCGTCGACAAGAATCCACTCTTCTTCTTTGCTATCCTTGCTTGGACGTGTGTACACAGTCCCTTGTGCTTGAGAGGCAGCGCTAGGCAACGGGTCGAAGGTCGCAGATGGGCGGTAGTAGAGAGGCTTCACGGTCTGACCGATCATATGAGCCTTACCAATCCAGGAACGTTGAGCATGTGGTAAGCAGACAGAGACAGTATGTCCACTTTTTTGAAGCTCTCGAACTAGACTATGTACGTAAGGTGACGAGGTCGGGGATGGTGGACCGTCGTCGTTGGTCACTAATATATGCATAGTAAAGTAGGCGTATGGTTATTTTATATAAAATTATTGGGCCAATTGGAGTTGCTAAGACTACAGATGAACTGCTGCAACGTACTAGACCTTTCCAATACTAAATAATGACTGATCGAAGTGATGTGTCGATAAGTTGAATATGTAGTAGTCGGAAAGTTGGGTACGTCTATGGGGAGATGCGAAGGTGAATTTTAGGCGGGGGCGGGGCAAAGGAATTGCATCTTCATTTGTTTATACCACAAATACACTACATGACGTGATACTAAATCTTCTAGTTAGTACGACTTCCTTTACCTAAATAAAATAGTTAGGCTAGTTAGGCTAGGTAGGTACACCCATATATCTTATACTACGTATATATAGCAACTACCTCGAATTTCTCAATGGTAAGTACATGTATACTCTCTACCTAACACAATGTAGTTATACTATCTCTATGTTTTCTACAATGAATATAGTATAATTACCTAAATTTATACTCTAAAGGTTAAATACTTACTTAAACCTCCAGATAAAGGAAAGTAGGATCATAATAACTAATGTACCTAGGTTAGTCACTTAATTCACATTGCTTTAAGGCAGAATTTAGACCAAGTCATATTACCCGAATCACATTTGGTGTCTATAATAACTAGGGATATCGGCGACGTGTGTAAATTGATTATCTGATAGCAATACCTAGCTAGACTGCTAAAGGATGCAAGGTATAAGTAAAGCAAATAACCTCGTCCGGCTGTCGGCGATGCTGCTATCGGCGATGCTGTTGTCGGCGATGTGAATCTATAAAAATACCTAAGGTACAAAAAGCTCAAAAGCTCAAAAGCTCAACCCGCCAATCACAAAAGTAAACCTCCCCTGTCCAACGCAATAATAATCCTCAACCTTAATAGAAAACACTCGATTCATTCTGAGGCAAAGCTAATTATCTGAGCCCATTACCTGCAACAATTAACATGGCTGGATTCTTAGTCCAACAACGCATCTACATAGCAATAGCAATCCCTTCTGTGGCTTTTTTGACCAGGTTACCTTTACCATACGGGGGAACGACGCCCAACACCTCTTGGTAAAACCAAGCTTTCCGTTTCAGACCCTTACTGCACCGAAATGTACTGAAATGTACCGAATTCCTTCCATCCAAAACCACAAAGGGGAAAAGGGAACTCGAAGAAACTTAGGCTGAGGATTTTCGCAGCTTGATTCCATCGATATTTCCGAACTGCTGTAGACGAGTCATAGTATCGCTCAAAGCCGCCGACTAGGCACGCTGGCGCTTAGACGACTCGTTCGGTCTGGCCAAATCCTCGCCCTCTCGCTTCTGACCATGTGCAGCAGCACGACTCTTAGAGCGACGCCAGCCATCGAAGGGGCTGCGCGACTTGGTGACCTTCATGGGTGATTCGATGGCCTTTGCATGCAAAGCAGTGCGTCGAGTTCGAACTGTGCTGGGAGGGGAAGCAGGTGCGAATCGGGGTGCAGTAGGTGTGCCTGGCTTCTCCGCAACCTTGGCGGTAGGAGTCGTAGGAGCCTCGATTTCATCCTCCTCTTCCACATCCTTGAACACGTGATCTTCAATATCCGTGGCGGCTTCCTCATCATCTGTAGTCGGCTTGGCAACGTTCTTGCCCTTAGTAGGGAAGAGGAGACGCGGTTTGATAGAGGAGCGGGTCAACGGACGTAGTCGCTCGTGACTCTGAGCTCGGCTTAGCTCTACCTCCTCGCCCTCGCTACTAAACTCATCCGAATCTACATCCTCACTGGACGAAAACTTGCGGAAGATCTTCTTTCCTCGGCTATATAAAAATATTTATTAGTATAGGTTAATTAAAACGCGTGTATATTTGGGATGATAATAGGATGATAACTTACAAAACATAGATGATTCCATCCTCTCGCTTCAGAACTTCGTCGAGAGGCTGTTTGCCTTCACCAGGGACGGAAATCTGTTTGCCTTGGCCTCGCTTCTTAGGAGACTTGGGTTCCGCAGTAGATGATGCGGGGTGCTTCTCGTAGAAAGGATTAGCAGTAGTATCGTCTGCCTCGGGGATGCGATCGCGCGTATCGGTGAAGATCTCGATGGGTTGTTCAATGTCTTCAGCAGTAAAGCTATCCAGTGTTAGGCCGGTGTACTTCTTAGCCTTTCTTTTCTTAGGAGTTGCAATTGCATCGGTCTCGGAGAATAGACTGCGTGCGATCGCGCGAACATTAGCCTTAGACTTCTCGTCGGGTTGCTTCTTGGGTGTTTTGGCCGGAGTGGGAAACATAGTTGCGGCTCGAGAAGCGGCGGTGCTGGCCTTGGATTTGTGCTGCGACGAAGAAGTTCCAACGGAATCGGTAGCGTTGGAGGTGCCTTCGTAAGTTAAGGCGCCAGAGGCGCGTCGTACAGAGTCCATGGCTGGCTGGCGCTTTTTGGGAGAAGAAGTTGCAGGTGTAGCAAAAATATCCGACGAGGAAATCTTTGTAGATGCGCGAGTGCGGTGTTGCGGAGCGCGGGGAGAGGGTGTGCGTTGAGTTGAGCGCTGAGCTGAAATGCGGGCAGATTTTCGGGGAGAGAAAGGTTCCCAAGAATCGTTGTAACCAAATTTTGGAGTGCCTGGAGTATGCACTCGACCTGGCGGGGAAGGTGTTGAAACTGAGAAAGACGCCATTGTTGTTTGCTTTAGAGTAGCGTTCTTTAAGCTCAATTAGATTAGTTAGAGGTCCGCACTAATCGTGCGAGCTAGATTTCGGGGTTTCAAGTATCGCAATATTCTTCGACTCATGTAATATCGATATTCTCTAAACCTTTACGCGTTGGTTCAATTGAACACTGCTTGACTTAAGTGCAAAGTTGGAGATCGATTTTTAGTGCGAAGGGGGTAGTAGACGAGGCCAAGGATGGATGAGTGACAATTAGGTAGTTAAACAAGGGGCGATCGCGTCCGGTTTGCCCTTTTTTTTGCTTGTTACCTCCGCCCTCGACTTGCGGTTGCTTGCGAAACCAAATTAAAGTAGTAAGATGTTGATATAATGATTAATAGCAATGAGTTACGGTGGTGCTAGACGTGGTAACAAGCCAAGTTAACCAAGTCTAACGACAAGGAGCGTAGAGAACAAATGGTTGTTGGTGGCTTGATGCGTGGGAACGAAGTTGTAGTGGGAATTTTGATCAAATTAGGGATATGGGTGGTAGGATGTGAAAGTTTGAAGTGGCTGGGTTGCCCAGGCTTTGGGGGGGATACCTCGAACTATCCCAACTTGCAGTGGAACGTGCGGTAGTCGCTGCCAAATTACATGGGTACCTAAGTTAAGGTATTATGACATTCCGCTAAAGACCCCCCTGTTTACTTTAATGTAATTGTTACGAAGTACTTACCTGATGAGCTTGATTTACGTGGTGCGGCATGTACTCTTCATAATTTTACGGTACAAATCGCACGGTGCATTAAAAGTGACATATTTGTATGTATCTGCGTACCTTCCGCGACGCGTTATGCGCATTCTGTAGGTACGCGTCGCAAAGCTTAGCCCCACCACAAATTGGAGGGCTAAAAAGTATGTCAATAATTAAAGGCGTCTAAGTTCAATTGGCCAATTTAGAAGCCAGCACACGGCCATCTCCACAAACAAGAACGCAAAACACTGCTGCACGACAACGCATATCAACAAATTTTGTCTTAGAGAATGCCTTAGACACTAAGGAAGGCTAGCCTCAGGAAGACACTTAGAACATAGAAGGTTTAGAAGGTTACAACTGCAACCTATTGCAACCTATTGCAACCTATTGCAACCTACGTCACTACTAAGTTCGTAAAAACCACTATTAGAACCGCTTTTGGAAATAATTAAATCTATTGGCGGCTTGTCTACCCCTGGATTAACCATTAGTTACCCCTCCACTCCACCTATCGCCAATCGCAGCTATCGTGGTATCGTGCTGCAGTATTCCCTATTTCTCTTTCTCGCCTCGCAGCTATGTCCGATCACGAATCTGACACTGAGGATCTCTTTGCCTCTCCCACTGCAAAGCACGCTTCTAGAGAAAAACCTGCTCGGCCCAAAACCCCCTCTAATCCCCCGAATAATCGCTATGATGATCCGGAAGAAAGCCGCGAGGCGAACCTACGTCGGGAGCTAGAAGGCGTTAGGAATATCAATGAGCTGATCGAGGGCGTAGTCGGAACTCTAGAGCGGGCGAAGGGCAATATGCATGTATGGCTATATTTACTTACTCTTTTACTCCTTACTTATCTTCATCCCTATATGCTTCCAATATGACGCCCGTGGCTCCATCCCTAGCTACTAACTATCCCCCCTCCTCCCCGCATGACGCAACTAAGCTGACTCAACCGTCTACCCCTTAGACCGTCTCTAGTACCGTCAATACCGCGTCCACGCTCCTCAATACCTGGACGCGCATCCTGTCGCAGACCGAACACAACCAGCGACTTATCCTGAGCCCTTCTTGGAAAGGCGCAAGCCAGGACTTGGCCGATGCGGAAGCTGAAGCCCAGCAGAAGGCGCGCGAAGTTGAACGCCGCGCTGCTGAAGATGAGCGTCGTCGCGCTGAATCTAGACGCCGCCAGGAGGAAGAACAGCGCCAGCGCGAAACCGCCGCCAGCACGCGCACCTCAACTAGCACTAGAGGGACGGCGCGCGGAACGAGGAGCGGTAGGAGCATTAGTACCAGAGGCAGAGGGACGACAACAGGGCGAAGCGTGTACTCGTCCGCGTCTAGCAGGCCCACATCCGCAGCTGATACAAGCTCGACGAGTACGGCTAGAGGGACCTCAGGGATCGGCCGAGGGTTCTTGAGAGGAAGGTCGAGAGGGACACGAGGCTATTAGTTAAAAGGGGGACGGATACGACAAAGCTTTGAAAGGCTTGTTTTGATGATTATGCCGCTATCTTAGGTATATACGAATTGATGAACGGGCACAGATATCCAAAGACTAAACCTAGCCCAAACCCAAATACTATACACATTTGATGACATATTATCCTTTCTAAACACCGGTACTTATTCCTATTTTTATTCCTAGTCTACTTTTTCTTGAAGAAATCACTCATCTTCTTCATCCCCACCGTATTCACCTTTTTTAGATCTCTCACGCCTCTGCTCTCGCCGGCTTTCTTTCGCTTCTCGTCTTCTTCTTTCCGGCGCTTCTTCTCGGCGCGGTCTGCTACTTCCTCCTCGTCTAGTACGCGCTTTCGCGAATAGTCGCCCACGCTGCGCGCCGCGGCTAGCTCCTGTCGTAGCTTGCTGATACCCTCTAGGTAGGTGTCTAGAGGCGCAAAGTCGACTGCTGGGGGTGTCTGTTCTTTAAGCTTGGTCTGTAATTGTGTGACTTGTGATGGGGTAATGTAGCATGAGCAGATGAAGTTGAAGGCCGTGCGTAGGCGTTGTAGTTTTATGATTTCTGGAGAGGCGCCGAGTGACGGTATTATTTCTGTGGTGGTAGTAGTGGCTATCAACTCCTCGACGACTGAGGTGGCAGTTGTAGATACTTCCGATACGAGGGTTGTAGTCGTTTCTGTGGATGAGGTAGAAGATTGGCTTTCGACAGACTCGGGTTTGGGGGTCGATGCTGTTGAAGTTGACGCTGGGGTCTCTGATTGTGCTTGTGTTTCCGTCTGCTGTGAGATAGACAGTGTCGTCGTGTTCTCTCTTTTTATACCCACCACCGGCGCTTCTAGAGCTTTAGCCACAAACTTTTCCTCCATACTTTTTGGCAAGGGTTGCTCGCTCATCTTCTGCGCCTTGCCCAGCACTTCGGTTAAGAGCTTGTCTTCGCTAAAACGGAACATGGACTCGTTGCCTGCATCTACCGTATCGCATATTGCGGCCATCCGCGACTCTAGTAACGTCCGTACATTCCCCCATCGCAATATCTCAGATAGATGTGGGGACTTGTCGCGTATGGAGTCGAGGTAATCGTCGCTAGATACAAACATTTGCTTCCCATCTTTGGTATTGGCGGATTTGTCTGCAAATGCAGGTAGGAGAAGGAATATAGGATCAATGAGGGTCGCGACGTATAAGTCAGCACCTTTAGTGATATAAGCGCTAAGCTCAGCGCCATCTTTGCTTGTTTTCTCTTCCACTTTGCCTGTATCACCGCATTCTATCAACCAGCTTCTGGGCGCCGTCTTGGGCGCAGCAATTCTGGTGAGCTCGTATATGCCAGTCTCGGGGCATACTAGATATCTCGTCGGTTTTAAGTATCTTGGGTTTAATAGGGAGACTATTTTCGCATCTTTGGTAGCGCTAGTAGGTAGAATGAAGAGCTTGGGTGGATTTATGGATTCTGTAGATAATGCATATTTTGATTTGGTGCTAGAGGTCGTCGTCGATTTTGTATCTGATGTCGCGGCGGCCGATGCACTCGCCTTTGACCTAGTTGTTCTTGCCATGCTGCTGAATTGGTATGTTCTTATCTAATATGAGGCATTCGGATTTGAACAGTTATAATTCATACTTTAGCATTAGGTAGTAAATTAATTAATAAATCAAGCTTAAAGATCTAATCAAATCTCCTATCCTATCAATGGAGATATTGTCAAGGCAAGGGTATTTTCTTATGTAAGATACTTAGATATATGTAACAATTGAAGGCTTTAATAAGGTACCGATATCCACTGTTAACGCGCTCTGATGCAAAGTCGCGTCTTACTAAAAGGGAAAAATCGCGTCTCCACTACGCCAATCATCCGCTATCATCCGCTATCATTTAGATCTAACCGTGTATCTACAACTCAAGTCACTTATCGATATTCAAGTACCTCCATACATCTTAAGTACCATACCTCTTTCTCACATGTATTTTGTATTCTTGTAATACATCTGAACCATTTGCGAAACATCGTTTATACAATTCTCACTTTTACTTTTACAAACAATTATCTAAGATCAACTCAAACGGATGCATTAATTCTGCGGCGGTGTAGAATGCACTCTTAGTTCAACCTACATACCAACCAAACACTTGCTTTCACCCTAGACGATTTGCCACGCATCTGTTCTATATTTGTTACATGATATAAGACTAAAAAGCCAGCAAAGTCGACGGACCCCTGCAGGTTTCGAAGTGGAGGGGACATACCAACCCTGATATCAACCCGAATACCAATCATAACTTCATAATTTCTGTTGCTACTACTGAGCAAACACGGTGGATGGTGAACAACGAATAATGATTATGATACTTCCTTATATACACTAATGGCGCCGACGTTATCGTTCTACTCTAGCAACGAAGTCAAACTATATATCACAAAATGGCAGGACCCGGTATAGAGTCCGAGACTCAATGGCCCCCGCGATCTCCACACGACGTTCTCCTTAGCACACCCAAGGGACGCGAAAAGCTACGTCGCATGGCCGAGCGATCGTCACCGTCACCGTCTCCGAGTAAGGCACATCGACGGACACCCGCGCTGTCTACTCGGACTGGAAACTCTTTTCGCGGCGGTACACAAGACGCTGGAATGGATATGGATGAGAATGAAGACGACGACGAAGATGAGGACGAGGAGATGCTGCAATTGAAACTCCAAGCAATTCAAGCGAGACTCAAGCTAAAGAAATTGCAAAGCGCCAAGGCAAAAAAGGCCCTTGGAGGTAGTACTACGACACGGCCTGAATCTATATCTATACCAGATGTTCCAATTGCTAGCAGGGCCCGCTCTCGAGCAGACTCGTTACGTTCTGGTCCAACAACACGACCACAGTCGCAAATGGAAGTTCAAGTTCCAGCATCTCCGGTGAGGAGAGCGCAAACGGCGCAAGGCGACGGCTCCCCTAGTAGAGTACGTCTTGGCATAGACAAGGGAATCAAGGCGAAAGACATATCGCTAAAAAGAGCCCCAAGCTTTAAGAGGACTACTGAGAGCCAAAATGGGGCCCAAGGAGGTTATCTCCGAAGAGCGCACACGCCCGCTCCCGGTGGTGCTGAACAACAGACAAAACAGGAACGGCCGATGACTTTTAGTGAGAGACTAGCCGCGGCTAGGTCAGAGGAGTCAACTCGGATAGAGAGGCAGGAAAGGGTGAGGCAGGCAAGGAGTAACGCCTTTGAGCTCGGCAGACAGGAAATGGAGCAGTTAAAAAGCACAGCGAAGGATATACCCGACATCCCGTTACAGCCCGAACAGTATAGCCGTGAACAAGTCATAGCTACTAGTCGGATTAAACGTAGTGATACCGTCTCCAGCCTAAGACGGCCTACGCTGGATGAGAATCGCCCTGGGACCAGCTCAGGGGGGACAGTGGAACCTCAAGCACCTCCTGAAGAAGTGCCGGAGGAGGAAGCCTCTGCATTTGAACCGTACTCAAGTGTCCACCTCTCGAAGCGAGTGATACCGCATACGACTCTTACCCGGAACCTATCGGGCAAGAAGACATATGTGATAAAAGACCTATTAAAACACGTCAAGGCGCCAGAATTTCAGCTTCCAGAGATCGAGCAGGATATAGTAGTCTTCGGTATCCTAGCTTCAAAGTCCGACCCTCGTTCGCATAAGACCTCAAACAACAACTTAAAAGAAAAAGTAGAGTCTGATCCAGCCAGAGGAAAGTACATGGTCCTACAGCTTGTGGATTTACAATGGGAAGTCGAGCTCTTTCTTTTCAATTCTGGCTTTGATCGATATTGGAAATTAGTTCCGGGTACACTTCTAGCCATCTTGAATCCAAATATCATGCCGCCGCCACCAGGCCGCACCGACACAGGGCGCTTCAGTCTAGTGATCAACAGTGGCGAGGATACCATTCTAGAGATAGGTACAGCGCGAGACCTTGGGTTCTGTAAGAGCATAAAAAAGGATGGGGAACACTGTAATAGTTGGGTTAATCGCAAGCGCACCGAATTCTGCGAGTTCCACATGAACATGGGGCTGGCCAAGCACCGACAGGCTCGACAAGACGTGAATGCGTTCAACACCGGACTCGGCCCAAGGAAAGACGACGGAGAGGGTAGGAGATACAAGAAATCGTACCGCCTTAACGACTGGGAGCACGCCAACGACCCCAAGAAGAAGAGCAGGGGCAACTTCGACAGAAGCACGCAAAGCCAGTGGTTCATCTCCAAGCCGAGCGCCGCCAGTATGCTCGACAACGAGATACTAGGCGGACATATCGCTGATCGCACCGAGCGCAGCGAAGCCCTAAAGAGACGCCTCGTAACCCAGGAAAAGGAGCGTGATATCATGAAACAGCTAGGCAAGGTCGGGTCTGGTGCCGGCAAAGAATACATGAAAAGGGGTGTTGGTGGTAGTAGCACTCAACGCTCGGCTTCGGGCTCTAGCTTACTATTCGCAACCTCGTCGACACAAGCCGGCGGAGACGAGCCCAGGCAAGATCTCGACGCAAGATCCCTCGGGCTAGTCCGTGCGAAGGGCCAGGAACCCAAGATGCACCTCAGTCCTATAAAGCGTAAGCGCAGCGAGGGCGTGCGACCATCCTCCAGCTCTGCGGCACTCGCTAGTAGCAAACCTGCGCTCGGTTGGGGCGGTAACCTGAAGGAGAAACTAACTCGCATGAGAGACGGCGAGAAGTTGCGGCCTGCGATAAACCTGAATTCCAGTAGCGACGGGATTGGAAATACGGACAATGACGGCAGTAGCGTTAGTGTCGGCGCTGTTAGCTCTGCCTCTAGATCTCCGGCTCGCAAAAAGACGCGCTTCGTCACGGAAAAGGGCATTCGCGAGGCCGGGCGCGAAAGTCTCGGCGCGGAGCTAACCCCAGGCGCGGGGGTCGAAGACGTGTTTAATACCCGTGCTGCTACTCCCGGCATCGATAGGGGTAGGGATATCAGTAGTAGGAGTAGCAGAGCGAGGCCAAGACAGATGGTCGTTCTAGACGAGGACGACGACGACGAGTTGGAAATTCTCCGGTAGCGAGAGGAGAAGGGGAGAGATAAATATTAGTATTATTATGAAAAGTGAGAGAGGGGGCATGCATACATACCCATAAACCTCGTCGTTGGAAATCTTTCTTCACCTCTACGTCTAGCTGGCACGATAGCATAGCATCGACAGATACCACGCAAGCAGAACTGAATCTCTACGAAAGACGGCGTGAACGGACGATGGGGTAGCGAGTGAGTGGACAGGATAAACTAGGATACGGATGCATATTGGATCGAATTGATTTGAATCGGGATGATGGTTATTGTAGCGTAGGGCGAATTGGAGCGGACAAGCTGTTTATTTTTTGGGGAACCCTGCCTACATAGGTACTTAGATAGGTACCAACCAAGCAGAGATGACTGACTTGGTCGGGTTGATTGATTCATTCGATTAATCGTATATATTTTGTTATGTCATGTGTATTCTCCTAGTCCATCCGCCTATCCACCCAATTGTAAAGGGGTAATGGACCCTTGATTTACTTACCTAGCAGTAGTCTACAACAATTTGAACCAAAAGCAGGTGGACAGGATATCTCGATTTTTCTTTGTTGATATCACCTAAACTGTCATCCAGGCTCTAGCTTTATGACCTAGGTAAGTTAAGTAGATACTTAAGGTAGTTACATTGTGTTGAATAGCAGTCTATCCGCAAGTCATCTCACCACAACCAACGCCACAACCCCAACAAACCTAGGTAATATTGACAGCGTATCTTATTTATTTCCTACCTACTCAAAATACGTACGTCTACGTTCTCAATCCAAACAAGTAACAGTTTCAAGCAACACCTACTATATATACGGAAACAATCATACGACCAAAAGTCTTGTGTATGTGTGTGTGTGTGTCTTATATACTAAGTCTACAACGAATCAAAGCTACAAGATTCGAAGCGGCGAAGACAAGCAAAAGGAACGGACCGGAAAGAAGGACCAAAAAAACTAGACTTAGGATACATCTTTCAAAAAATGCATCGCGTTCTACGATCTTTCTGAATTCTCGCCCCCCCCTTTCCTTCTTTTTGTTGCTTTTTTTACGTTGCTGTAGTATCCCTCGTTCCCAACTCAACTCCTCACCACCTCTCCTCGACCGAAAAGGAAATGTGGAATGAATTGGAAAAAGTAAATTACGACAGGCTCGTATACTATCTCACCGGTAATGTTTGAACAATGCTATCATTCTGTCACCTCATCTTTGGCCTCTTCAACCCTTTGTACTTGATCCCCCGACGGTTCCTTCGTGATAGTCTCTTCTAATATAGACTCGCCAGCGGTATTAGTAGCCAGTGTTTTAGTCTCTTCTGTAGGTTCTGTTGTCTTAGATTCAGTCTCCGTTTCGCTTGGCTTCGAATCTACGAGCTCTTTTTCTGTTTTGGCTTCCGGTTCGTCTTGTTTGTCCTGCTCTGGTGGTGCTTGCGGTTGGGCCTCCTTGGGCTCTTCGCTTGTAGCCTCGTCAGGCTTGGTTTCTGTTTCTGATGGCGCTGCTGGCACCAAGCCGTCTACTGTCATGATACCCTCCTCGTCTATACTCCACAGGGTACGAGTCATAGAGAAGCTCAGGGTAGGTTGACTGTTGGACACCGGAGGACTGGATTCCTGGCCACTTGGACTGGCAGCTTTAGTCGGAGCTCGTCGTTGGGGACCTCTAGCGCGACCCTTTCTCGCGTCAGATAACGGTGCCTTCTCCTTCTCCTCGGTGGATTCCTGCGTGGTAGAATCTTCCTTCTTAGGGGCTTGAGGACCTAATTGCAAACGTTTATTGAGATCGGACATAAATCCTGCCTGCAGAGCAGCAATTTTCCCACCAGCTGGCCTTGCAGGCACCGCAGGCTTCGGCTTCACTGTTGGCTCCGGTCCTTTAGACTCAACGACGGGCTTCGAAGGACGAACGGGGAGTTGAGGCTTTGGGCGATCAGGAATCGTAGGTTTCGAAGTAGAATCATCACCCGATTCTTGCCTCTTAGGGCGCGAGGGTAACGTAGGCTTCTGAGGAGTCTGGTTGGCAACCGGCTTTTCTACATCATCATCGTCATCCCGTGTCTCTTCTGTGTTCTCTGGGGTAGAAACAGTCGCGGTATATTGTAGAGAATCAGGTGTATCCTCCCAGACATCCCTACTGGGAAACCTATTAGTAGGCATGCCCGGACGACTATGTATCTCCTTATTTAAATGCGGCTGGTTCCCAACCCACGACGGGGGCTTCTGTTGGCGATATAAAAAGCTGTCAGGGGTGACAGCCTCTTTTTCGGCTAGCTCCTCTTGCCTCCGTGCAAAAGCTTGGGCGGGGGTTTCGCCATCCCGTAGAGGCACATCTAAGGCCGATGCTTGTTGTTTTTGAGCTTCTAACAACTCTGGCGTTGAGACTTCCGCGGTAGAATGCACACTGTTAGGCGCATCTTCCCAGATATCGCGGCTGGGGAATCTTTGGTGATTCTCCTTTAATTTTTCGGCCTGTGTCTTGGGTTTCTTGCCGCTCTTCTCATCTTCCGGGAACAATGGCTCATACTCTTCAACGTCCTCCAATGGGGTCGAATGAATCTCCGGCGGTGGTGGGCTGTACACACTGGTAGGTCTACTTGTAGGGCGACTCTTAGGTCCCTCCATTTCGTATGCACTGCCATGTCGTTCCGACGGAGGCTCAACAGCAGGCTGTAGTTGATAAGGAGAGGGATCTTTAGCTACTTCATCAGGTGCTAGAATTGGATGAGTGTGTATTTCCTCAGCACCTTCACCCTCAGCAGATTTCTCATCACCGAATTTAGCGAATCCCTTTCGTCGATCCGGCTCGTCTACGTGAATCACATTGTTGTTGTCAGCATTATCGGCAGTCTCATCCTTGAAGGCCGATGCGAGGTTCGTGTCGTGCTTGGGAGCCGTGGATGGCGGTTGAGGAGACGAAATTCGTGAGGTGTATTCATCCGCCGCTCGATAACCGACTTGCTCGCTGGGGGTCCCAACATAATCTGTTGATGTACCTGCAATCATCGGTTAGAACCACTCCGAAGTTTTATTGGCTGTGTACGTTACCAAAACCAGCGCCGCGACTGGCTGTATCCCGAACGATCTTGTTGAGATCCTCACTACTCATCGAGTAGTCATGGACACGGTCATGAAGATGATTATAGCGCTCCTTATGGAGGACGTCAGGATGTTTTTCATAATAGGCCTTTTCAAGTTTGTCGGTTGATGCAACGCCATGTCCATGGAGGCCATAAACATCAGAAGGGAGCTCGTTAAAACCACGAGAACTCGTCTTCCGAGTATGGTGCCGAACAGCAGGCCTTGTCCCGTCAGTGCTCACAGCTCTCGGGGCAGGAGCAGGCGAGGGTGCCTGAACATCGCCTGCATGGGCTAGCATAGGTACCCGTTGTCCAATCTCAGGGATACCATTCTCATCCTCGGTGAAGAGTTCACTCTGGTGGGAAAGCTGACTCGTAGTACTCGCCTTCTTCTTCAGGCTGCGGCCTGAATAAGCCTGCTCCTCGTAGGAAGGACGTCCGATACCAAAAGCTGCAGCCTTATCGGAATCGGTGCGAGTTATCACGGCAACTCGCTGTTTAGCGCTCTGGGCAGGCATTGTTGGCTTTGGTGCGTGCAATTTGATGTCCGCGCCAACAGTACGGGTTTGTTCGGGAGAAGCAGATGAACGACGGCTGACCTCCGGAGAGCTCAGCCCGTCAATAGCTGCGGCATACTCTCGGCCTTCTTCGCCCACATTGGGCATCTCAACGCTCATAGGACGCTCCAGTTCCTCACCAAGATGGGTTTGACTATGTCGAGCAGCACCGGTACCTTTCGGTGGGAATGGACTTTCGTTCAGAGGCGAGGGAGCAAATCGATCCGGGTTAGGAGATACGGAACGATTAAAACGACGGCTAGGACGTGGGGGGATCGCAGGTACGGTTGAGCCATTCTCTTTCTCTTGAGCCCTTGTAGGGCGAGGGGGGATAGCCGGGACTGACTGCATCGTGGCAGCAGACATAGCTTATAGGGGGGGAAACACAGTGGTTAGCTTAAATGCTCGAAACAATTAAGATTCGTTTGCGGTCGACAATGAAGAGACCTAAAAGATTGAAGTAAGTAAAATGTCAGCAAAGAAAAAGAGTCGAATGATTAATATTCGACAGCAATGGCCAGGTTTATGTGAACGAGGTGTGAACGAGGATAGGCCAACAATGACATATTAAAAGTATCCACAATCCCACTACCGACCATCCACCGGCCATACACCGAATAGATTTCTTGTGGGTTTAGGGGCTGAAGAGTCCTAATTAATATAGGTAATTAATACGTACCGCATAAATATCGATGGGTTTTAAATAATCCCGTGCGAAACCGTCAAGCTAATAATAACGCAATGAATTTTTACAAGTTATTAAAACAAGACGGCTTGAAGAATCTCGCAGGAATCGCAACTATCGGTCAGATGCACTAATATGAGACCAGGTGATGAGACCAAGTCAGGTTTTTACGCTTGTCTAGTCGTCTACTCGTTAGATCCAGATTCCCTTCCGTATCATGCGGTGAAGAGATAAAAGATATTATGTGAAGAAGATAAGAGAGGCTCTAGTGATAAGCTAGGTAGGTTATGGTTATGTATATCTGAAGAATGAAGCGGTTATCAGGCAACGGGGAGCGGACTGGGCGATATAGCCACGTTTTTTCCTGTCAGAGTGCCATTGGAATGTAGATCTTGAGTTTCCCGTATCCTGTCAATTGAACCGCCCCTTTCTCGAGAAGACAAGTTGACAAGATGAGGGTCTACTATGGGAGAGTGAATGAAAGAAGAAAGTAAAAAGCTTCAGTTGCCAACAAAGAAGGTGGGATGGGTTTCAATCGATGGAGGGGTTCCTAAAAAGCTTTGTGCAGGGTCACTTACACGTTCGTGACTTGATTGGTCGGTAGTCGATGTATGTTAGACTTGGCCAGGTCAGCAACGTTAGGTCGATCTCGATTGGTATGTCGATTAGAATGTCTGTGCCTGTTCGCTGTCGGCTGTAATATTTCGTGGTTGTCTCTTATTCAATAAGAGTCTTGGAGAGTTTAAGGTGAAAAGAAAAGGATAATGTCCCTTTTCGTATAGTTATTAAAATAAAAATAAACTTTGTCGAAAACGATGATGTAAAAGGTCGATCAGGTTTAGCCGTAATCAGAATTGCAACAAATGATTATCAATTGCGCAACCGAGTAAGTATAAGTTAAGGTATGTAAGTTCGTTCTTCGTGTAAACAAAGGGATTTTCTGTTTTTGAATATATGTAAGTTTCGAATCTGTAACTAAGATCACGATGATGAAACTAAGAGGGACCTGGATGACTTTTATACTTGCCCACCTCCCCATCTCACACCCTAGTAGATGGGATCTGCTAAGTGGTTATTAGTAACATCAGCTGCACTAGATAAAGTACCTGAAGCCGTTGGCGATGTCATGGAAATAATCTTGATTTCTATTAGCTACCAGCAATTCGTTTTGAACAAGGATGTGTAATGTTGAAAAATTCAATAAATTTGTACATGAGGTATGTAGGTATGTATTTGAGTCTATTCGATGTACCCCGCATGTAACTATGTTTTCTTTCAAGTCACAAGCTCTTGCCGGCCGCAACGAATCGGCAATGAGGGGTACGCTCGGGGTACACATAACTGCAACTTCCCATCCATCTCCTTTTACGCCTGCAGGCGGTCTGGAGCTGGAACCTGACCAATCGCAATTGCATAATATGTCAATAACTCCTTAGAGCTCTTCAGCGGGGACTTGTACCACCCCTCTGCCCCTCAACGTATTCTTTTAGCGTAATGCAAGTGATACCAGTAAAAGAGAGGGGACAGTATACCTAATGACAGTATGAAATAAAAATACGTTTACGCAGTAACTCCTATTTTCAAAGTTCGTAATTAGACCAGATTATCAGAATTTAAGAGTTCCGTCTTTAGCCCTTACTACTACATACGGTATTCGTCTTTAGTGTAAACTTCCTATAGAATAAAAGTCTCACCGTGTAATGCAACATCTGCTATAAAACGCAAGTGTAACAAAACGGGCGTGAACTACTATGCGGTACATACTCCAATAATAAGTATAATCAGCCTCACATGTACCAATAGACTACCCAGACTACATCATACCTACTCCCGTATTAGCTCTCAACTGATAGTCATCTGATTATGGGGTAAAAGATACGTAGTGCGTAAGAGTTTTTACGGTGAATCGAGCAATACATACATAGGTATGTACATAGTGCCCGGTGGGCTAGGCCGGTCCCTGATCTACTTTTTCCGCTCTGCGGTCCGTTGAGCTTATTCGATGAATATGTGTAGCACATCCGGCTTCTCTCTTTCGGTAGCAACTCGGGTCTATCGAGGAGTTCTTGTCTTACACGGAGCATCACCAAGCATAAAATTACATACGTACCTTATAATTGATACGTACTATAAGACTTGGAACCGCTTTGATAGGGTGGATGGGCAATGAGTAAAACTCCGGTCTTAAGTATAACAGGGCAAACGGGTATATCATCGTGATCACGCCTCCATCCTGGTTCCCCGCTTCGTGGGCCACGAATACGCGCATTACCTAGGTAGGTATGTTGAAAGTTAATTAAGTAGTTTATAACTAGCTAGCTGTGTAATAACGACAGGAATATTTTAGGAAACTATTTTTCATTACTTTTAGATAAATAAATCAAGTTTAAAATTCAATATAATTTTTAAACAATTCTTAAAAAAGTGTAGTATAACAAATCCCTTCCGAGTAAGAGGAAGCCATCGTGAGAATGTTATACTTATAGTAATGACGGCATGCATCCATGTTTCCCCACAGTATTACATATAGACTTCACTTACGTTATGCAGTATATGTTCTGTACCTTGACATTGCTTATCTAAGACAGAGAGAGACTTACTTACACATAACTCATTGATCTAACCCTAAGCAAATAGCTCAAACTTTCTCAGCTTCCAGAGTTCCCGAAAAGGACCTAAAACCTAACCGAGACCATGGAACTTCTCGATTGAGTTTCACTACCGTAACCAATCCGATTTTCCGCCCCTATTCTATCGTATTCACGTTATTTAACTATCTAAATACGTGATTGAGTCGTATATGCAATGTAAAAATTTTCTCTCTAAACATTCTAGATGGTCAGATCGAGCTGGATGAGTTAGGTACATAGTCTGATATGAACTCATCAATCGGCTATGGAGACTTGAGTAGTGGGGTTTCTATGTGGGGGGCCTCAAGCTTCTATATAATATCTCCCATGACGCTTTAGATAGTTTAGATCTCCTCTTATTAGAGCAGTTGATCTTTCGCTCTAAAATTGCGGCAGATCAACGCTAACTTACTAATACGGCACCGTTGGGATCTCTGGTAGCTACCAAAATAGTGGTTACTAATGGGATTTGACCAAGGGTATATCGACCGACAGATAAACTAGAAATAAGTGACAAGATAATGAGACTACTACTCACATACTTACCTATCTGTAGCCCTACAATTATATGAAGACCAAGTAGGTAGCACAGTGACAATAAGAGGTTCAAAAGCGGTATCCGATTCAAAACACCAGCACCAGACTGGGGTATCTCTTCCATTCTGGATGCATTAACGAGTCCGGGAAAACAAGAACATTCCGCAGCCGTCTTGCTTGCATCGTATTCCGTTACGCCGTTCCCTAAATATCAAAAGACAATGCAAACCCTCCCTTTTCCTTCCATCTGCATAAAAGAACAAGACCCAAAAGCTACACTCCCTCTGCACGACACAACTCCTTTTACCAAGGTTCCCTAGCGTTCGTCGATCATGTTGGTAGTAATATTTCCTCGTCAGCTACCCCTATATAAGCCAGGGGGTAGTAGTAGTGCGTTTTCCTAGCCTTCGAGGTTGTTGACTTGTCCACATTATTACTCAATCATACGATCATTTGTGCAACACCTGCACCGCCTAGTGTCTTGCTTCCAACGAAGGCCTGACCCTTGACACCAGCAAGGGCATAGCAAAGGGCAGTGAAAGTTAGGACGACAGCGGCGGCGATCAAGGACGTTGCAGCGACGGCAATGCTAACCCACTGGATAACAGCCATGACGCCGTAAGTAGCGGCACGCATGTAGTTAGTCGAAACCTTGCGGATCGCAGCATCGAACGAGGCCGAGGTAGGGCAGATTCGGAGTAGGAGGGGCACTTCAATGAAGAGGATGACGAAGCAGGAGACACTATTGATAACATGATTAGCTTCCAGGTAATTTTTCCTATGTAGCCGTTCAGAAAGAAGAGGAACTTACAGAGCGAAGATGGCAAAGATGATGATGAGAGGGTGGAGGAAAAGATAGAACAGGTTCGAGACACCCAGCGCAAAGCATAGGAGCATAGACAAGATTCCAAGCCTATCCGAAGTGAAGTTATGTTAGCTATCAATTAACCAGCACCTCACAGATAAAATCAAACGTTAGGCATTGAAGCCTAGATGCATAAACAACTTGGGTAGATCTAAGAATGATTCTAGAAGCTAGAAGCCAAAGTAGGCGTAGAAAGGTAGATATGAATATCGCATAGGGGGCATATCGTATGAGTTGAACTTGGCCATGTCGCATGGAGTGATCCAAAGGAAAACGAGTAGACCTCGTCTGGAAGCTTACCATTGTCCGTAGATACCTTTTTGCGCCGTTGTTAGCTTCTGTTTAATCACTAACTAGGGGGGCCATGGTGGCCTGATCAACAGATAAATAGCTTACTGAAGTTTCTCGTCGCAAACTCGTCCTTGAGAGACATGTTGAAGATTGATAGTCGTCGATGGACTGACTGTATCGATAATATCGAAGGCAGGAGGTTGACAGCCTTAACCAGAGACGGGCGCTGACGACGACTGGATAAATCGGGACGAATGGGCCTGTTTGCGATTCAACGGCAAAGGTCTTGTAGAATACCAATAAACCTAGCTAACGGTCTACGTTCTTGATCGTTTTATTCGTAATAATATTTCGTGGCAGTGGCCGTAGTCATGAAAGTGCGTACTTGTTTATGCTAGAGTAACAAGCTCTGTGGTGGGCAACAAAGTTGTTGATGTTTAAATGTTTTTAAGAGGTTGAATGGTTTGAACTTGATGATGGCTGACTGTGTTTCTTGACTGTGGTTCTTTCTTGCGTCTGCGTCTGTGTTACATTGCTCGTATTGTACAGATGTACAAAAATCCACATGAGCCAATTAGGAGCTTCAGTGGATCTGCAATTCCCTTGTACCTAACGGACCCTTGGCAACCTGATACTACTTTGTTGTTCCGGCGGCACCTTCTAGGCTTCTAGTAAACCCGCTAACACAAACAACTGCTGCGGCGCAACCAGTAGACGTGGACCTACGCACAAGCCACACCGGCAACGTCAGCCGTTCTGAACCAATCACAAATGACCGTAAATCGCCTGCCTAGCGTACCTCGGTACCATCGTAGAGTCTAGATTCACCAGCCAAGAATAAAATAGATCACCAATAAACTTTACATCATTTATATTCAATAACTATCAAACTATTCATTACTCATAAGCACCTTAATATTTCAAATAAGAGTAATGATACTAGGACCTCTAATATTAACTTGCAATGAAGTGCTCGCTCTTGATAATGCAACCGTTAAAACATTAAGAGACCTAGGTTTCTTACTACAAACGTCTATAACTTAGAAGAGGAAAAAGGGAATAGAGTAGCTAGGTATTGGTATCTTATTTAACTTATATAACGTAAAATTACAGAAGATAAATCATCTAATCAGAACTCCAGTTTAAATAGTGTAGACTTTGGAATTGAGTTGCCATATTGTATGTTAAGATGCATACTCGCTGTCTTTGATGAAAGGTTTAATCGAGAAATATTTTTCATTACTCATTCTTTGGATTATTAACACCCTAATATATATTGCCTATGTATATTCGCTCATCAACTAGTCTAGTAAATTAATCATGAGTCATAGAGGACATGTTTACTTGGTCTTTGAAATTTATTAAAGCTATTATCTATATTAGCAACCATTAGGTAGCTTCAACTCAGGCCCCTTTGGAATACGTTATTATTTAAAAATGAAGTACGTGTCAAATCTATTTTATAATAAATAAGAATGCGAAGTCATGTCCCGGAGAAAATCATTATTACTATATGGATTTCAATATCGGCTAGTTACCAAGTTTATAGAGCCTATAGCTCATAGGTAGATATATAACCCTTTAATTATTCTAATATGGCTATCGTACACACCTCCTAGAGAAGCTTAGTACACACTTGTTTGCTTTAACCCTTGCTTCTGTAACTAATCAAAGGAAGGGATACGATAAAAACCATAGATCTTACGAAGTATTCTTCTACCAAGACAACTCCATATTCCCCCTAAGTATACTTCCATTCAAGTAACAATATGAAATATGTAGGACGTCTTTCTAGGTTGATCCCTATTATATTATCTTACCTACAAGACATGGTATTATACCTCTCATACCCTTTTTTTATCCAACGAGCTGTTGGTACGAAGCGTTAATCACATCAATTCAGGGGTAAATCGTACCCATGTACTTATTCAATTACAAGCATATATGCACCAACGAGGCATCTTTCAGGGGAAGCGGTTCGGTAAAGTGACAATCAATTCCTTGAGCTTCACCAATCCCAATTGCGGGGACCCTTGTCGATGTCACGTTATGATGGAAAGATCAAATCCGATATCTGTAATTAGTAATTATGAAATTTCATTCTTCGCCTCATATGTAGTTTCTCGAAGCCGGTGTGGCAAGAAGGCTCGGTTGGATATGTTCATATTATCTCGAACCAACTAATAAAACCTCGAGTCTGTAAGTCGTACTTATCTCCTTTGGCTACGCTACGCTACGTGGGAAATCCGATTTGGGGTAAGAGATAGTCTCAAGACACAACTTGAAGAGAGTAGCTTCTTGTAGACTTTGATAATATACTAGGAAAGGCCGTTGGGTCGCTGAAAGGTGTTACTGTCGACTTGCTCCTTATTTAGTCTACATAAAAAATAGGTTCGCTAATACGATGCTTATAGATGACAATTTACAAAAAGCTATCGTCATGAGCTTATAGAGCTGAACGAAGCTCGCTGGAGTTGTATATACGTTTAAAGTAAATTAGCAAAGGAAAAAAAAAAAGAAAACACCAAGACCAATGGCGTTCAGTGAAATCGCCCCAGACTGGTGGCCCTTCTCACCCGGCACCACGGCCATCGTCGCCGCCATCACCGTCTACTTCATCGCATACCAACTATCATCGCGGAAGATCGACCCGCGCGAACCCCCAGTCATCGCGCCCGCCATCCCCCTGATCGGACACCTGCTAGGCATGGCGCTGCTAGGTGGTCGATACATCAAGAACCTCGGCATCCGCAACCAGCAGCTGCCCATCTTCACCCTGCCCGTGCCCGGGTCGCGCATCTACATCGTCACGGACCCGTCCCTAGCAGCCGCCGTCCAGCGCGCGTCCAGGGTTCTATCTTTCAACCCCGTCGTGCCCGAGGTCACCCAGCGCGTGCTCGGCCTCGACGACGCCACCGTCGAGATCACCCGCAAGAACCTCGACCCCGGCCCCGGCGGCGAGCGCGGCTTTCTGCCCGACATCCAGGACATGGTTTCCGCCTGGCTCGGCCCCGGCGATTACCTGAGCGAGTTGAGCCTGGACGCCGCCGCGGAGATGAAAAATGAGATTGCAGCGTTTGCATCATCTCCCACCTTGAACCATGGTGCCACGGATCTGCTCTCCTGGGTGCGTCACCTCGTCACCTTGTCGACGGCACGATACCTCTACGGGCCGGAGAACCCCATTGCGCTGGAACCGGCGCTGGAGGGCTCCTTCTGGGACTTCGATCACGGGCTGGGCTCGCTGCTCATGAACATCGTGCCGTCTGTCACCGCGCGACGGGCCTACACGGGCCGGGAGAAGCTATCAGCAGCGTTACTCGCGTATCTCGAGGCGGGGCGACACAAATCCTCCGGGTCCAAGATCGTCCAGAAGCGCGTGGACATTGCGCTCGAGCACGGGTGGGCAATGCCCGCCATCGCGCGCGAGGAGCTGTCGTTCCTATTCGCCGGCATCGTCAACGCGACGACCTCGACGTTCTGGATCCTACTACACCTATACGCAGACCCGACGCTCCTCGCCACCGTGCGCCAGGAACTCGAGTCCGTCCTCTCAGCACGCACCGACAAGCCAAGCTACAACCTATGCGTCGCCGATCTTCGGGACAAGTGTCCCGTTCTCGTGGCCGTGTACCGCGAGTGTCTGCGCCTAGGATCAGACACGTACTCGACGCGCATAGTAAAGGAAGACCATGTCCTCGCAAACCAGTACTTCCTAAAAAAGAATGCAGTCGTCCAGATCGCGGGCGGCGTGATCCACGCGGACCAGCGGATCTGGGGCGCGGACGTCTTCGATTTCAACCCCAGGCGGTTCCTCGACAAGACCAACAGCAACTCCGACGCCGAGGCTCTGAACCCCGAAGCTAGTTCTAAGCCTCGACAGAAGCAGAGCAGCGCGTTCCATCCGGCGGCGTTCCGCGCTTTCGGCGGAGGCAAGACGCTATGTCCCGGCCGCCACTTTGCTATGAATGAGATTCTGGCTTTTGTTGCATTGGTAGTACTGCAGTTCGATATGAAGCCTGCTCGTGGCGGCAAGATCGAAGTGCCAGCGAAGAACGACGGCGTCTTGCCTGTACATATCCTAGAGCCAGCGCGTCCTGTCAAAGTCGTGATATCGAAACGCGAAGATGGATTTGCGCAAGATGGGTTAGATGTTGAGTTTTCTATGTGATAGTTGGGAGGGATATTGTCTTTATACTTAGGAAGGGTTTCTAAGATATCTATACGATGATGACTATGGTTATGAGTATATATGGGTTATATGAGAAATATTTCTACTAAGAGCAGGGCTACATTGGGAAGGACTTAATGCTAGGTAGTATAAGAAAGTAAGAATGTGTATATAATTAGTTAATCTATATAGGTATCTATGAGATTAGGTTCTATATATGTATATTATTATTGCCATTCCCAAGCGGGAGACAAGAAAATGTTTCTATTTGATCTATTTCTATACGTCCTAGGCACAGCGCTGCAACCACTCATCTAAACGATGTCGTTTCCTCCAGATGGCGCGTTCCGGGTGTCCGCGGTCACGTTCGGTCAAGTCCCTGAAGAATTGGCGATACATCGGGGGCACGCGCTGCGACTGCGAGACATCATCCACTGCGAACCCAGAGCCGGTCTCGATGAAAGCCACACTATCAACTTGCCGGACGTACGCGAGGTCCTTTGCGGGCCCGAAGCTAGGTCGTGTTGTAGGCCGCGTGCTGCTCTTAGGCGTGATTTCGACTAGCATCCCCGAGAGCCCCGCGAATAACGTCGGCGAGTCGTCTGAGGGCGATGCAAGCGTGTAGATGGGAGAGGTATCGCTGGCGGAGGCTGGGAGCCACGTATTGAAGTTCGGTCTGTAGTAATCGTGTTTTGAAAGCTCATGCCAGCGACACCGTTTGCCGGTCATGTAGTCGCACGCAATGCGATCATCTGAGAAAGACGGCTCTGTTACAATAGTTGGGGGCCGTGGTGCTGGATAGGGCTCGTCGTTCCCGCAGGGGAGAGCCTTGGTGTGATAGTAGCCCTTGGGCCAGCGATAGTCGAATACCTTGAGCACAGGAGAATAAGCACTACCTGCGACGAAGCGTTCGAGACCCCGCGAGAGCAGAGCGTTGATCGGGGTCGAGAGATCGAAGTTGTCTTGGAATATTTGGTCCACCGGAGATGGTGTACGGAGATCTTGGAGACGGATCGTGCCATCGTCCCACGAACTGAGCACGGCATTTCCGCTGCCGTTGCCGAGCGAGCTTGTATCTACGGGTAAGATTGCCCTAACTGTTCTGAGCTTATAGTCATTGGTAGTATCATGATGATTGCTTGCCTTCGCAGCGAAAGATATGTCAACCCCCGTCGGTGTGTATTTCAGATACTGAAGTGGTTTATAGCCTTTATTCAGGCCTACCGCTAGAGTGTCTCCATTCACGAATTTGATAGACCGGATAAACTCGAAGGCTCCTGACTGCGAATCGTCTTTTAATACTAGAGTGTCGTCTGCCCAGACGTATGGCGTGGCACCTGTTTTCAAGCCATCCTCGTCATTTGTATTGTGAACAGGCTGTACATCGTGGTTGAGAGAGTATGTTAGGATACTCTGCTTTGTTGCTGCTGCGAGTGTTCCTTGCCTATAGTTGACATCGAGGGATTGGATATCGGCCTGACGGGTAGCTTCAGTATCAAGTTCGGAAGGGTTAGACGAGGCTCGAAAATTTAAGAGCGTGTCCCCAAAATTTGAAGCACCCATCGACAACAAGTGAAGGTGACCACTGGCCCTGCCTACCAACACTTGGGATTCGTCTTGGCCATAATTGTATCTAGCATCCTTTAGGATGGATACGCAAGTGACGTCGTCCTTGCCTGAATGATATCCAGCTGTAGCGCCTCTACCACTGAACCACTCATCATTGGAAGCTTTGGACCCCCGGGTATGTCGCAGCAAACCAAAGATATCCTCGCCGGCACCCCAGAATACAAGGTCTTGAGCGTCGTTTCCTTTTCGTTGGTGATGGGCATCAACTATGATATTGCTAGGAATAGACTGAGAGGGACTGAAGCGATTGAAGGCGCGTCCGCGATGCTTCACGACAGGTTTGAGGGCACTAACAGCTAGTGCACGCCTATCCCAATCTCTCGACTGTGAAGTTAGTGAATAGGCACGTTCCCGCCATTCATCCACTGACGAAATTTCAGACAGTTTGAATGTGTTGAAACGTGATGTGACAAATATACGCCAGCCGCTCTCGGTAACAAGATGATGCAAGTCTTTACAAGATGCTGCTAAATTGGCAACGCTATTTGCGGTATCTAAGTAGGTGAGGATAATATAGAGAATATCGGTAGGCAAGGTTGTGAGGTTTGGGGCCTCGTCGGAGATTCTAAGGAACTCCATGGAACTTGAAGTTTGTATATGGTTTATAAAAGCTGAAGTCTGGTGTAAGTTGAATAATATGTATATTTGCCTATTTATGTTATCGATAAAAGTTGTGAGGTCTAATGAAGTTAGGTAGTTATATATGACGTAGGCTCGTGGCAATTCTTGTTTATATGAAGAAATAATTGCAATGTAGATTAATGAGAGACTACAATGTCGCATTAAATAGAGTGCACTCGAAATATTTCTTATACAGATAAGTTAGAGAATTATAAAAAAGAATTTTAGTGTGAATAGTGAATGAGTCAAAAGGCTTTGACTCAGAAGTATGTAAAAGCCAACCCCCGTTTTATAGCCAATCATTCATACTTGTCATCATCGTCTATCCCTGTAGCGCCATTACTTTAACTAGGCTATTATTTTTAACCTTCCAATCAAGACTTAGATAATGTAGGTGGAAATTAAGTTGACATTGTAAAGTAATGATTTCTTTTTTCTTGGTCTTCTGGCATTTAGCATGATATACGATCTATAAGATTCTCGCTAAGTGCAACGTTCCAATCGTAGATACTCAAAACTCGGTTAAATTAAAATATTGTATTAAAACACTGCCGATGCAACGAGCGGGGGCCGACTTCGATCGATAGCATCGCTCCTCATAGGTAGTAGAAACTCTGGAGATACACACACAGCTTAGGGGTAGGTAGGTTTCACAAACAAGGTCGAGACCGGAGACTCATAACTTTTATTTAATAAGAAGATATGATACATATATTAATTTCTTGAATATACTTGCTATATCTTTTATTTTGGATAATCTGTAAATAATTACATAAACGACTTCGCTCCCCTGAAGCACTCTCTCGTCTATAATACCATCCCCTATCATGGCTATATCTAACGTTTCCGACCTCTATATACCAGCCACACTCACAATTACAGCTGTTCTAATCTATAAATACATATTATATCCCACCATCTTCTCGCCTCTCTCTAAAATCCCTACCCCTCACTGGTCGTGCTCCGTCTCGCCGGCCTGGATCCTATGGATTCGGTTCAACAGCCGTGAGAACCGGACTCTACACGCCGTCCACCGGAAATATGGCCCCGTCGTGCGCATTGGTCCTAACGAGCTGAGCGTCAACAGCGTTGATGCCGTTAAGACCATCTATCAGGGTGGCTTCGATAAGCACGAGTGGTACTCGCTCTTTGACAACTACGGGTATCTATTCATCTTACCTACCTACCTAACCCTTCTCTTACATATATCCCCCCTGTTTTTCTCTACTTCTCATAACGAATATGTAACGCTAAACTGTATATACAGCGTACCATGCATGTTCTCCTCCGCACACGCAAAACACCACTCCCTGCGCAAGAGAATGGTGTCCCACGTGTACTCCAAGTCGTACATCAACGCCTCACCGGCCCTCGCCGCGCAGGCCGACATCATCATCAGCTCCCGATTACTACCGCTTATCCAGGAATCAGTCTCGGCTTCTCAGCAACCGCATGGCATCGACGTGCACTCATTATTCTGCGCTGCTGCCATGGACTTCATCTCGGCGTACTGCTTCGGCGCGCGGCGAAGCGCTGACTTTATCCGCCGCAAATCCTATCGTGACCACTGGCTCTCGCTATACACCACCCGCAAGGGCTACGGTTTCTTCGCCCAGGAGCTTCCGCGGCTTTCGAGGGTTCTGGGCGCCGTGGGTCTTGATCCTACGCCCGCTTGGGTTCATGCTGCTAATAGGGAGCTTGAGGCGTGGTGTAAGGAGTTAAGTGATGCTACAGTACGCTTCTTGGAGAATGAAGGATTGGGCGAGGAGTCTGTCGTTAACACGGCTGATGATCCGGTGGTTGTGCGCACTCTGCTTGCTGGTATCGAGAAGGAGTATGAGACGAGCGGCGAGGCGTCGCCGCTATACACGACTGCCAGTATGTAACATGGGCAATCCCCCCTATACCCCTTTACCTACTTACAGAGCCATGACTCCGAAATACCTACTAACCCACCATCAAGTCCAACAGCGCGACCTCTCAATCGCCTCCGAGATCCTAGACCACGTCCTAGCCGGACAAGAAACCACCGGCGTCGCACTAACATACCTCTCCTACCAACTATCCAAATCCCCCAACCTCCAGCACGACCTACGCTCCGAACTCCTGACCCTAAACCCCAGCCCCCAAATCGGCCACGACGGCAAGGCACCGCTCCCAGACTCGAAGCACCTCGACAGCCTACCCCTTCTGCACGCCGTAGTCATGGAAACAGTCCGCCGCTACTCGCCCGCCGGCGGTCCGGAGCCGCGCGTCACGCCCCCGCCGTCCTGCCGCATCGGACCATACGAGGTCCCCGGCGGTACTCGCGTCTCCGCTTCGGCGTATAACATGCACCGCGACGAATCTGCGTTCCCCGATCCAGAGACGTGGGACCACACACGGTGGCTTCGTCGATCAATAGATTTTGGAGAAGACGACGACGACGGGAAAATGGATATAAACCGGCATTTCTGGGGCTTCTCGAGCGGCGGGAGGATGTGTCTAGGATCGAACTTCGCCATGCACGGTCTGCAACCCCTTTCTTTTCTTCGCGGACCCCTAATATTTTAGATCCCCTATATATCATACCTTTCATCCTTTATCTATTTCCAACGACTAGCTAGCTAGCTAGCTAACGTGAAGACTCGTCGACTCCATATAGACATAAAACTCCTGATCGCAGCCATATATACCAACTACACCAGCCATGTCGTAGACGACAACGGTATAGAACCGACTGACGCGTATACGGGGCACCCGAAGAGTAATTCTCTGTATCTGCGCTACGAGCGAGTTATGACGGAGTAGGGTACGTTCAGTTTAATTCGCATCTTATATGCATACATACCACTACTATGTTATATTACCCACGCAGGATAGCTCTGGATTTAGCAGATATAGGTTGGGTGGTTATATCGTACGCCCTACAAATACCTAGGTAGATTACATAACTTGAAGTTATCGAAATTGAAAATAAAGGATGTATATAGATTAGCCAGGTACCTAACTATCAACTCTTAAAATTTGAAGCCGACCATCAAAACAGTGTACATCAAATAGGTATCTATCTACTAACCTCAGATCTACTAACATAGATCACAGAATGAGAGTCAGACTCGGGGATTAGCAAATTTTATGCTATCTACTTTATTATGCTACACGAATACAATGATCTTCTGCTGTCGTCCCCATGACACCAGAAATTCCGAACATCATGATTCTCGATTACGGGCCGGTTTAATTAGCCCTCTCCCAACCTGTGCTTAAGCTAAGCCTTGCGCGTTGCTAATCCCACCGAAGAGCTATCTATCTACTATAGGGTACTGTCATCCTTCATACAGAAATGGGTGCTCATGTTATCTGTTTCATTCCTTCTTATACTATTGCGGCTTCAAGGCTCTTACTAGCCTGCCATCACGGTCGAGTAATGCGACCAGGCGAGGTCCCTGGAATGCTTTAGCAAGACGTCCTCCGTTAGAGGTAGCTGCAAGATGCGCTCGTGTTCCATCTAGTTCACAACGTTAGTGCTATATCCAATAAGTTTGGGTTTAGAGAAATGACTTACCTCTCCTGCCTTCGCCATACCTGCGACCACCTTTGCCACCTCAGCCGCCATGTCCGTCAAAGCCGCATACTCTGTAATACCGGCTTCGGGGGTATTTCCATGCATGGCCGGTAGCCCTTCGAGTAGAGCATTGACCAAAACAGGGGATGGATTCTCTGCTCGTCGTTGACAACCCATCAGTTGAAGGAACGCCTTGTAAATTTCGCCACCGACGTTCCAGTCGGGTACTTGTGAATGGTGGCCTTCGAACTGTTGTAGTAGGTCGGCCAGGGTGTCATAGTCACGCTCGATAATGGTGGCTGGAGCAACCTCTTTAATAAAAGTGCGATGAGCTTCAGCCCACGACTCTGCACGAAGAAGGCATTGAACTTCTGCACTTGCGTCTTTCTTGACGCTCCGCGCGAACAGTGCCTTTGAATGCCAAATCCACTGTCTTGGAACCTTGAAGTCTGTTGCAAGTTTTTTGAAATTGTTCGAGTCTTCGTTCCCGATTAGTCCGGCGTGCCTACATAAGTGCTCCTGAATCGCTTTACATCGAGCCTCGGGGTCTGTAAGATGTAGTAGAACGAAGGTTGCTTCAAGCCAGCTACCCTCGTTCGTCAATTGTGATGCAAAAGAGATAGTAACTGCGTCAGTCTTTTCAATGGCGTTCTTCCCGAACGAGACACGCCCGGTAGAGGTTAACGCTTGTCCCAATTGCCAGCATAGCCGGAAATCAAGAGGGGATAGTTGTGAGTTTTCCGGTCGTAGTATCGCTTCCAAATCTACTTGGGTATCCGAGTACAATCGCAATAATCCCCAAAGCAGATCCTCTCGTAAATCCTCGTCTGGATCATTCCAGATGCCCTTGATGCCATGCTCCATGAACCATGTAGTAGGTGGCAATTCCCTGTCTTGTTTCACGTCTTCCTTATACTTTTCAACCGCATCCGCAATACTGTCTTCCGTTGAGGTCGCGTACCAAAGTCTTAGTCCAAAGGCTTGCTGCCAATTGAGACCAAATCTCTTCGAGATTAGGAACGACTCTGTACGATTTTCTAATGCCCCTTTAGTTCCTTCACAAGCACAAACATTGCCACTCAGCATTTCGTAAAGCGCGCGAATCGGTTGCGAGAATTCGGATAGCACATTTGCGTCTTGCCACTCCTTCATCTGTTCTCTTATATCTTTCTTAACAATATCGTTGGCGCCAATAAGAGAAATCAAAGTAGCTAGGCGGAAGTTTTTGCCATCAAGGAGATGCTTGCAAGCCTCTGCGATTCGGTGACCAGACAAAGAAGCCAGTGCTTTTTCTTCGTTTGATCCGGCCATCGCGGCCGTCTTGTTCGTCTGATCTTCTACCATACGCTCCCAAAAGCGTGATAGACTCTCCCGGCGGAGCTTCTCCGGCGCATCAGGGTCAATTTGAAGATCTGCAGGAATCTTAATGCTATCGAAAAGTACGCTAGCAAGCTCCCATACGAGTTTCTCGTGCTCCTCGGCTGAATTCTTGGCATTACCTCCAACAGAGAAGTCCTTTAGTACTGTCTTTGGGTTCAATCTAACAGTTGGTACGCCGTCAATAAGTTGAACTTGTGCCAATTTGGTGTGTGCATCAATGGCTCTGGCTGACATCTGAATACGTTATATTAGCAATGATTTAGGGCACGGGGGTTTTTCAACGTACCTCATTCGTGAATTTAGCAATTCGGATGTCCTGCGATTCCGATACTATACCACCTTTTAATACCGTCATGAGTCCATTCTTTTCAGATAAACGACTTGATCTCCCAAATGCTGAACTACTAGGAGTCGCGGAAAACACAAGCGTGCCATTTGGACCCCAGGTAGGTCGTATGGTGTCGTGCCAAATCCGGTCTTTTTCGTCCATCTCACTTTCATCGAGATGTTTAGTGAGTCGTTTGTATGGCCACTATAAATCAAAATTAGCAAATACAATTCAAAACAAAAACTTAGCAACTCGTATAATAATATCCATTCGTTATATTCGAGCGCGATAAAAGGGGCGGCGATAAAATGTAATACTAACCTTGACACCGTTTGGGCGCACAGATGCTTGTAGATTCTCAGCGGGGGTTTTGGCCTTTTCAAACAATGAGTTCATCAAATCAATACTCGTTGCAAACCCACGGCTATCCGGTACGATGCGTTTCTTTGTAGGAGATGCCTCGCGAGGGGCTTCATCTAGCGCACGATAGTGATCGGTTTCGTTTATTGTTTTCAAGAGCGCCCTATCCCGCTTTTTCGGGCTGATCGTCTTGCTGAGCATATCCATCCAGTCGTCTCCAGATGAGACCTGAACTTTCATTGGTGTTGCCGAGCCTTTTATTGCCCGCATTCGGGCTCTCATGATACCTGCAGGGGTCTCTGGCACAGTGTCGAACTGAGACCCGTCGAACGAGTTGTCGTCACGCTCCGCGGCAAGATGCTGTCCAAGGGAAGCACTCGCATCTTCGTGTGCCTCGGACGTCGCATATTCATCGTCTATATCGTCTTGATCCATAGGGACAAGAGCATTGGACGTAGAACCCACGGAGCGATTACCTAAAAAAGACGGTTGGGGCCCAGCAACTGCCGCCATTTCCACCTCGTCCTCGACGTAAGAATCGTGATCAGGATCAAAAGCACCTGGCGGTGCAGGATGGCTTCGTTTATCTCTCAAAATGTCACTTATATCGGACGCAGCGTCATCAGAACCAGGAACCGGCGATGGCGATTGGGCCTTTTTCAATGGGTAAGCCAATGGGCCAGCGGACGGCTTGACTTCGCTCTCTTCGTCCTCGTCAGACTCGTCTAACCCGTACGTAGTGAAGTGTTCCACTGAAAAAGTCCATTCGCCCGTTTCCGTATTGTAGTTCTCAAGCTTAGTGTCCGGTATTCTTTTTAAGCGTTCGATATGCCTTGTTAGTGGGATAGGCTTTCCTTTCCGAGAAGAACGAGGCCACGAATGCTCAAGATTAATCAGCGCGGGAACGTTCAAACCCTTGCCAACAGGTGGCTTTTTGGCAGCATTAGGGTACACGGTTGCGGACCGCGTCTCGAGGATAACGATGTTGTCGAATATGTTGTCGATATCGACTGAAGTTAGGTCAACAGGCACCCTGAACTTAACATAGCCAACGTTCTGACGTCCAACGGTGAAATTGGGGACCTTTTGACGTTGGACCCTATTCATGAGCTGAATTTCTTCCTTGGTTGGTTTCATCCAATAATTACCGGGCTCTCCATCAGAGGGGGCTGTCGCTGGATTACGGCCTTCGGGCGAGACAGCTTCCTCTTCATGTACTACCGCCAACTCGTTACCCTTCACCTGCTCCATTTCGGGAACAGAACTTGACTTAGAGCCGTTAACTCCATTAACGTTTTTCGGTCGAACATAGCCCAACTGTTCTGCGCTCGGAGTTGAGTTATTTGATCCATGTGCAACTTCTCCATCTTCAATGGCCTCAACATTGCTAGTATCAAAGCTGACACGTTTGGTTAGTTTTCGGGAACTGTTGGGGGTCTCGGGCAAGCTCTTGTCTCTTGTAGGAGTTGAAAATAAATCACTGCGTAAATCCTTATTGATAACAAGTTTTTTGACGCTGCCACCACCGTACATCCTCGATCCAGAGCTAGCAGAGAATGCACCGGGGGCCAACAGACTATCCTCAATATTGAAGTTCCGTCGAAGGCTGCTCGACGAGACGCTCTTAGCGAGGGAACTGCCCAGACTACGTGACAAACTGCCGCCGCCTAACAGACTTTGCGCCAATCCTCCTGGGGTGCTAGATACGCTTGAAGGGCTGTTCGGAGTCCCATAGGTACTGTAAGAGAAGCCATACCCACGCTTCTGCGGCGTGACAAATCGAGACGCAGAGGCTGGGTTCAGCTTATAATAGGGGAGAATAGAGGGCCTCCTGGCTTGCTTGTTTTTGGACGGTGTTGCAAGCGGGCCAGGATCAGACACCTCGTTGTTGCCTAGGTTAGCAAATAGAGACCCGTACGCTGTTGGATCATTGATGCTTGCAGTTAGAGATGGTACAGCTTGGTTACCCTGCAAACTGCCAAACAAAGAGCCTCCCATCCCATTATTCTGCGGCTGCTGCTGCGTAGTTGATGTCCCGAATATGGATGAGCCCTGTTGCTGATTGGGTTGATTTCCGAAAAGGCTGCTGCCGGCCGTCTGCGTGATACCTCCGAACAGACCCGGCTTCTGCTGGTTTTGGCCAAGACTTGAGCCGAAGAGGCCGGAATTTTGTTGTGGTTGTTGCTGCTGGTTCTGGTTATTCTGGCCTAAACCCCCAAACAAACCACCTCCAGTATTGGTGTTCTGAGCCGCACCAGTGTTCCCAAATAGCCCAGAGGTACCAGTACCAGTAGCAGGCTTGTTGTTAAAAAGCCCACCAGACTGATTATTGCTTGCTCCAAAGCCACCGCCGGTATTGCCCGATGCGCCAAATATACCGCCACCGGTTCCAGGAGTGGTAGTGGTGCCTCCAAATAGGCCTGTCCCTGCCGGCTTCTGTTGCGTATTACCAAATAAGGACGATCCGGGTTGTTGTTGTTGTTGTTGATTCTGGGTCCCAAAACCACCTCCGCCGCCGCCACCACCGAACACGCCACTAGTATTCTGCTGGCTCGGGTTGCTGAAGAGGCCAGTTCCAGCAGTCTGATTCGTATTGTTGGTGTTGCCGAAGAGACCACCACCTGCAGTCGCATTATTGTTGGTACCAAAACCACCAGTATTGCCACCGAAGCCACCTGTGGTATTGTTACCCGTATTGCCGAACCCGAACCCGGGCTTCTGCTGATTATTGGCGTTCGAGAACAATGAGCTTCCAGTATTGGCATTCGTAGATCCGAAGCCTGTTCCAGTATTACCAGTGTTGAACCCAGTGTTCCCAGTGCCAAATACACCACCGGATTGCGCCGGCTGAGGCGCCGCAGAACCGCCGAATAAGCCGCCTGTTGCCGCTGGCTTGTTGGCGCCAAATAGACCACCGCCAGTACTGGTGTTGGTACCAAAACTACTTGTGTTAGAGTTGTTTTGTGCCCCAAACCCACCAGATGACGAGGCATTACTGAATAAACCGCCTCCGGTATTCGGGGTCTGGTTCGAAGTGCCAAATGAATTTGCTGGTTGGTTATTCGTGCCGAATGCACCAAAGCCGGAACCGACACCGAAGGTCCCAGTGCCCGAGGTGCCGCCATAGCGACGACCGGCTGCGTAATCAGCAAGTCTTAGCTCTTCTGCGGACCATTTTTTGTACGGATCCAGGAATAGAATATTTTGGAAAGAGTTCTGCGCAGAGCTGGTAGTACTCTCCTTTTCTACTAGGGGCTGAAAGTTCGTAATATTACCAGTACCAGGGGGGTCGCCCACCGGACCCAGTGCTGTACTAGTGGGAGTGTTGGATGTGTTACCAAATGCGCCAAAGCCGGTCGAGGTGCCGGTGTTATTAGTCGTGGTCCCACCTCCAAAAAGCCCAGTGCCTGCCGTGCCAGTGTTCGAGGTTCCAAAGGCCGGTTTATTATTGCTGCTTCCAAAAATGGACGTACCAGTACCGGCACCACTACCGCCACCGAAAGGGCTTGACGTTGAAGCGTTGTTTGTAGATCCGAAGCCACCACCGAAACCACCCGAGGTCGATGTGGTAGAGGCACCGAACAAGCCGCCGCTCGTAGATGTACCACCGAAAGCAGGCTTGGTACCAAACGCGCCACCGGCATTGCTCGTCGATCCGAAACCACCTGTAGAGAAACATATTAGTATTCTGTTTAAAAACAGCAGTCAAAGCAGAGTGCGTAAAAAATTAAATAAGAAAAAAGCCAAATAATATTGGTGGCCATATACCACTTACCCGTGTTGGCACCGAAGCTGGATGGTGTGCTCCCAGAACTGAATAGGCCACCTCCAGTATTACCGGGAGCACCAAAGCCGCTGGAGGTAGGATTTGCGCCAAAGCCTTGAGAAACCACGCCGAGTTAGTTGGGTGTTGGGGAAAGGATAGAAGGGATCGAGGGGTATCAAGGAAGAAGCCTACCTGTTGTATTGGTCGCGTTATTGCCACCAAATCCACCGAATCCGGTGGAGGTATTGCTTGTGTTGCTGCCGAAGCCGCCACCGCCAGCACCGGTACCGAATCCACCGAAGCCCGACATGGTGACAGTTCGATATATTAGAATGGGATTAAGTTAGCTCGAGGCACGCGGCCTGCGAGATGGTGAAAGAGCGCGTCTGACGCGTGGAATCGAATTTGGGAGGAGAGACAACACTAAATAGAAGAAGACATGGAAGGTAAACGGTCAATAGCCGAGATGACGGTCGGTTGATTCTGATGTAGAAAAGTGTCGTGGGAGTAATTAGGCGATGATGCGCAAGGTAAAAAAGTATCGCGAACTGGGGTTCAACTTTTTTTTTTCTGCGATCCGCGCTGCTAGAGGCCTCGAGAAACTGATGTATGAAGATGCCTCAATTCTCCGTAGAAAAGTGAGGAATGTAGAAAATATGGCAAAGACTGTTGTAGAATAAGAAGTTAATGGCTACATGCGCCAGGTATGATACCTGACTAAGGAAAGAAACAAATCTGGTGATTTGTAGTAGATGCGTAGATGTGACGGTTTCGCCTTGGGAGAAAGTAGTAAGGTAGAGAGAATTGACACGGTTGGGTTGCCCAGGATAAGGAGGAGGCCGGACCACCTTTGGCTCATTAGAACTACCCACAGAGTTTAGACTAGGAGGTACCTACCTCTTAGGTAGGTAAATAGTGGGTCCACAAGTTTGCTGCGCAATACCTGTACCTGCCGGAGGCCGTTTGCAAGTACGTGCCTAGCTGGGTACATATAACTGTTGTACCTTCTCACTTATATACCTATATATAGCATTAATACATATTTTAGGTGTTTTTGATTGTAACTTATATAGAGCACCAAGCGCACTTAGAAGCAAAAGGAGGGTTTCTATTTGATGAGGAGGGTGTGCTTTTACCTATTCTCAACATTGGGCGTAGGTACAAAGAGGTAGAAACCAGTCATCGGTCACGCGCATGTAAAATTTACATATTCTGCCTTGCCTTGCCTTGTCTGCCTACTCGAGTTGTCTAAAGCTATACAATATAGCAATTATCCCATGAGATTTGCATTTCATACAATACAATGTTAGGCATGCAAATGTCGAGTGAATGAATTCCCGAGAACATATTTAATAGCTTTTAAAGGCATGTAGCGATTATGTAATAGTTGGTGAGGCTGATGATAGGGAGCTTGGACCATATCATATGTAGCCTAACCCAATAGAGTGAGCTTTAGGTTATATTGTGGCTATTATTTCTATAGTTCACTTTCATTTTGTAAGGTAGTTATGAAGTTTTCGCATAACTACTGTGTTAGTAAGTTGCAATGGATTTTTTTTCTCTTATTCTACACACGCCAACCAGGAAACACAATTCAGAATTCATCATGACCACTCAAGTTCGGTTGAACATGGGTATAATGAAATCGACAAAATATTCCTCACCTCTCACCTTTCACTTCAAGCAAATTACCTATATAAAATGCCTAGCCTAGTGATATACATGTTTTGACACGAGATAACGACCAGTCAGGTATGAATTTGAGTAATTATTTCCTTTATAATGTGTTTAATAAATCGTAGTGAAGCTTCCCAGGTAAGCAACTTTGACTTATAGTGCTAAGACCAACGCGTCGTGACCTCATTACAGTAACCGCTAGCCCCGACTCTCTCGGGTGGGACAAGGCTAGCTCCGTAAGTACGACCAGGTAAAATAGTGTAGTTAAGCTTGCAGGTACCTATCAAGCGCGTTTGCGTGTACCCCATTTCGTGCACCGCGCCCAACCTCCCGACTTACACCGGAAAAGAAGAAGGAAGAAGAAAAAAAAACATCGCGAGTTAAGCTGCATTATGCAACCACAAAAAAAAAGGGAGACAGGAAGCGAAGTTATAATTTTCCGACCTAATTAATACACTCAGTATAATCCATTGGCTCTGCACTACTTACATTTGCATTGGAAAAATCTATATTGTCGCGCAGCTCTTTTTTTTTCCTCTTCTTTTTCTCCATTTTTTCCAACCGTGGGTGCGCATCCCGGCTCGCGTCAACGGGGCCACCTACAACTTCGAATTGTAGTTTCGCGACCGCTAGATTCAACCCGTTTTGCTATAGTCGCTGCAACCCGAAATTCCGATTCCGTATCGGTCAGCATACCGAGAGTCTATTTGCTCGCTTGGATATCGCATTTCTTGCCGTTGCAGGTTCTAATCGCATGCAATTGTATAATCAATAACTTGCATGCTTACCGCTTCCACGTCACTCGCTACCTCTCTCTTTCTCTCTCGAACAAGGATCACGCAAGATACACCAATTCGTTGAAGTGTCATCTCTAATTTAAGCCTGACTATCAGCCCTCTAACGCGATCAATTTACCTAGCGATAACGGCTTCCACCCTTAAATCACCACTCGAAACCTTCGCGCGTAAGAGAGGATAGCTCCTACGGCTACGCGCTCAGAGCATCACCTACAAGAGAGAGCATGAACAACTACGCAAGCAACGCCATGAACGAGTACAATGCGTCGGTGCGGCCAGGGTCAACGAGACCGGGCACGCGATTCGCAGCCCCAATTCGGAATCCAGAACACGCGGAGCCTTGGGATCAAATAAGCGACGAACATCGAAACGAGATCAACGATTGCGTGAGTGTCTCCTTTTCCAAGCCCATACGCGACCATATTTCGCTACGTGTAACAACTATGCGAATCCTCAACCAGGAAGCAAGACAAACACTGTAGAATAGACCATCAAGCTAACTAGTAACGGTTACAAACGCGCAGTTCCACCTCTTCGATATGAATAAAGACGAACAGCTCGACTTCAGCGAATTCAGGTACGCGCTACAAGCTCTCGGCTTCTCTAACCTCTCGCGGCCCGATCTCATCGCGTCATTTAAGTCCGCTGCGCGGCCGCGTCCAGGCTGGACACCCCTCCCATCTCTCCCGAACCAGCCGCCGCCACAAACCACGCCAGGCGTAGTCGACCTGCGGCTATCGCGCGAAGGCTTCCAAGCAGTCGCGGCGCGGTACGTAGCAGCACGCGACCCGCGCGAGGAGCTGCTCAAAACATTCGCCCTATTCGACCGCGGTGGCAAGGGCGTTATTACCGTCGATGACCTACGCAGCGTTGTGAAGGAACTTGGCGAAGACGTGCCTGACAACGAGCTGCACAGCATGATCGAGCAGTTCGACGTCGAGGGCAAGGGCGGCGTCAGCCGCGAGGAGTTTCTAGGTATCTTCCTCGATAGGTGATGACGGGAGCAATCTAGAAAGAAGCAAGCAAGCAGGTAGCCGAGAAGCGAGAAGAGCACGACTGAAGAACCCCTGTCTGCTTCGCTAGTCCCAGAGATAGGGCATCTAAACCTGGGAATCTAGCAGAAGCAGTAGTATCAGGAGAGAGTTTGCTCCGAGTATTCATCCCTCTAAGCTCCACACGCCGCCATCTAGCGCGTGTCCGGGAGCCGCAAGATGGAACAAGAATACCCCAAGCGGCAAGCCAAGCCAAGAGGATACCCGAGACAGCGGGCCAAGATGCAACAGACAAGAAGAATATAGGAGAACGGACCCGCTTGACATACGAACAAAGGGGCGTGCTACGGAAAAAGAAAAAGACGCGACGTAGAAAGAAGCTGAAGGGAGATGGAAAGCAAGCTTACAAGATACCCCATACCCATATTACATTACCTACATTACGATACGCTACTTCTATCTATCTAATATCACGCTACGCTTCTCCCCGGTTCTACATTTTGCGCTATTGCCTACCTAGGTACCTTACCACTTACCTTGTACTACCTATCATGCCGGGGTCTTTTTTAATATACCCCGAGAACCTGTATTCAAAGGGCAGTAAGAAGGGAGCGGTTGGGTTGGGCTGGGATGGGCTGGGTTAGGTTGGAATTGTATATACCCATCTTGCGTACGAAGTGCACTACTACTCTATCATGGATTGGTTTTAAGTTGCGCATTGGGTCTGACTACATAGTATCTGGTTTGCCTGTGCTCTGCATGGAAGCTTGGGGGAGGGCGGGCGTTCAGGCAAAAACAGGCGGGAATGGCGAGTATACATAGGATATGTATGCATGTTTATATATCCAGTCAGGGTATAAGGATAAGGGGGTCAGAATTTAAAAACATCACGTTTAATTATAACAATATTATCTTGATACACCGTTTAAAAACGAGGCCCATTCAATGTCTTCTATTGATCGTTTTGGCACTACGGGACTGCTGCCATCAAATGAAATCCGTCCCAGCTTCTCCCCAAAAGCACAACACGAGGCAGCAAAGGGGATTGTATCGTAGACCTAACCCCCCGCCTATGATTTTCCTTGGAGAGCAAATAGCAACCCTCCGGTACCCAACTCCTATCTACCATTAGTCGGCCGGAGGGCGCAGAGAACGCAATACGAGAAGTGTGGACTAAGATGGGTATCACCCAACTTAGGAGAATGCATGCATCACCACATGCGAATGAAGAGCGCGCGATCTGCATCACGAACGTCTTCGCAAGAAGAAATTCTAGAACTGGATGAGGTCTTGCCCCTGGTTGTTATTCTGTTGCGGTCGTGCCGCGAATGGGTTGCTCGCCCCACCGTATCCATTCATACTAACCGGTCCAGTAGCTGCAGGCATCTGCGGTGCGCCATAAGATACTGTTGGCATGCCGGTGAACTGCTGCCGAAGGAAAGGATTATTACCCGTAGCCTCGGCCGTGAGCCTGTTTACGCCTGCACCAGCCGAATTTACGAAGGTACCAGGTGCTGTATGCTGAGAAGGAATACGAAGATCACCAGTATTTCCAAATGTATCCATGCCGTCGCCACTAGCAAGAAGGGCGTTGAGCCTCTGTTCATGTTCACTAAGAGGCTTTTGAGGCTGTTTGGTTTGAAAGGACGGCTGGGGCTGGGGCTGGGACTGAAATTGAGGTTGGGGAGATGGAGTGAATCCCTGAAGCGACTTTTGCTCGGGAAGACTCTGCAAGCTGTTTAGAGTAGGAACTGCCGGGGTCTGGGATTGCTGCTGCTGTCGTCCAAAGCCGCTAGCAAAAGGATTATTCGACCCGGTTGGCATCGGCTTGAGCGCTGTTTGGTTGTTGTTAGAAGCCCATGGGTTGTTGCTTCCAGGCTGGGCGACTGGCTCTGGAGAAATAGCAGGTGGAGGTTGGAACTGAGGCTGGAACTGGGGTTGCTGGCCGTAAGGATTGTATCCAGTAGGCTGCATCTGGAATTGCTGCGCCGGAGGCTGGAGAGTATTTTGTTGTTGCAACTGCTGTTGAAATTGTTGTTGTTGTTGCTGCTGCTGCTGCTGCTGCTGTTGTTGGCCGTAAGGGTCATACACACCTGTCGGCTGAGGGTTGAACCCATTGTTAAAACCATTCGTGTAGCCATTCGCTGGGTATCCAGTATACGAATTGTTAACGTATCCGGTCGGTTGCGGTTGCATCATCTGGTTCTGATCGATCGGGTTTCCAAGCCAATCAACATTGCTACCTTGCTGGTATCCCATATTTAACCCAGTCGGTTGAGGCGCGTTGCTCGGCCCAGCATCGTCGAAGAGCGAACTAGCATTATTTTCTTCCAATTCTCGCCTTCTCCGTTCATCTTCCTCCTGGCTAAGCTTAATAGCCTTGGCCAAGTCGTCATCATCCTCAGGTCCCTGGCGGCTTTCGCGTTTCCTTCGATCCTCCTCTTCTTGATATTTGCTAGCTTCTAGTGCTAGCTTGTACTCGGCATCATCCTCATCGTCGCTATGTCGTCGGTGAGGTCGGTTGTTTCCTCGTGGGACCGTGGCACCCTCAGGCGCGAATTCCTCGATACCAGTAACACGAGACTTCCACGTCTTCCGATCGCTGCGTTCGGCTCGCAGCCGCTCTTCATCCAGAATCAAGGCTGTCAACTCTTTCGCGGCAACTCGTACTATATACCCATAATTAATGGCACGACTTCCAATTACATCTCAGAATAACTCACCATTTTGTCCTACGTCCCGGCCCTCTTCGTCGATATAAACAAACTCGCGCAAGGTTTTGATGATGTAAATATTCTTCCGCGCCCAGGTAACGATGAGCTCGGACCCTTCGTGAAGACAATAGTCCAGGACTTTTAGAGCCTTCAAAACGTGCCTCCAATTCTTGCCTTTGTCGTTTAGACGCTTGTCGAGCATGTCAACGATGTCATAGAACTCCGTCGACCTAGAGAAGTAGTTAGAGAAACTGGTATAATGCAAATATAGTGCAATTACGAGTGAGCATACGAATTGAATGTGAGATGAGCGATCTCGCTCATCTGAGTTCCGGTCGGGCCCCATGGGTCATTACTCGTGGCTGCGGAAAATAAATCAGCATTCCACTTCAACTAAGCGCAATATAGTTCGGTATAGATAGATAGTAAATGGTTGCACTCTACTAACCTTCGCGCACTTTGACCTGGACACTCGAGTAACCCTTGGTGACATTTTTCACACTTCTCATAACCTTAGACATCTTGACGATATTCCTCCAAACGAACGAAACGGGCTATGCGAATACAACAATAAAGAAGGAGGCGAAGACAAGCACTGTTGTGATGGGTTGAAATGTTGGAGATGATACGATCGTAGAATGATCAGTAGTCGGCGCGACGAAAGCGCAATCCAACCGGCGGATTATCTCTCAGTTACCGTTTATCGTAATCCCAGCGTCGTCGCAGACTCGTCTAATGCAAGAGCCGTCGACAGCTCCGACGACAACTTTTGCCCGCGACTCGGAATAAAATAATGAACAAGTACAGATCCTCTAGTAGTTTAATCGCGATTAAGAGGGGCCGAGTTCTTCGGAGAGGGGGGAGGAGGTTGGTTGAATTGGTTGATTAGAGAGGTAACTTTTAATTGATGAACTGAGGAAGTTGGGAGGGGAGCCCAAAGTTGTGCCAGTACACGTTGTACCGTACGCACCCAAAAGAGACGAGACAGGCGTAATGCGGGCCTTGGCAACAGGAGACGCAGCAGCGATACGTACCCGGGGTTATTTGTTGCAGGTATTAGAACTTAGTTGTATATAACCGCCGAAGGTCCTTGGGGAAAAAAAAAAGAATTATTAATACAGAGGAAAGGGGGCAAGATTAGATACAGGATAAAACTAAGTAATAATATGGAAAGATAATAAATTCAATAATAAAGAGTAGTTATATCTTTTCGTTTTTACAATTAACAATTGACGAAAAGGAAAGCAGATAATTATTGAAGGCAAATCAGCAACTACTGCAAATTAGAATAGATTAAGTGGTTAGAACGGTCAAAAATAGGAGACTAACAATAATAATAAGGTTGGAATGGGTTGGCTGGGTCAGGCGGGTTAATTGATACATGATAAGATACGTACTTCGTACATGATACATAAGATACTTCCAAGAAGGTTCTTACTTTCGGGTGGCCATTTGTGACGCGGCAGGAAAGTGTCCCCATGAGCCCCATCGACGTGTCCTGTCTTCCTGTTGGTCAGAATCGGGCAAGCTGCGCTTTTTCCGTTTTACACATGAGCACGAACCTCCAAGTACAATTCCAGTACATTACGTACATTTCTTGCATTACCTTAGGTACCTACATAATGTACTCCGCGTACTACATACTACCTCACTATTTTAGTATGCATGGAAGCATGTCATCCTATTCGTTGAGTCAAGGATGACGTAGAGTAGTGGAGTTCTCAATCTCAATTGAACCCTTCAGAAACCTTTCAGCTTCTTCGAATGTACCCTTATGCACAAAATCTTCATACATACATTGCATTACGACCTGCTTACTGGTGAACGCATACATGAACGTAGTATTATTGGTAATATGCAGTCAGGAGTACTGGAGATAATTACATATTACAATACAACGCTTGCTTGTGACAAAGGCACCTCCTTACACTGTTGAGAGAAATAAATCAGGGGCTTACATAGTTTGGTAGTAGTATTGAAAAACACCCAAGATCACACATAGCTCTATCATACATAGAGCTCATAATTCATCTGATTTAGGTTGGTGGTTTTTTTACTTAGTCAAGTATGCAACACAGCCTCCAACTAGGAATCACTATGCCCATTCAACGCCAATACATAAAATCGCTCCGATATAAAATTCAAAAAGATTAAGCAACCAGTCCGTATCAGATAGGGTTTCGTCTATTGTCCTGGCACCGGAGCCTTGGTAGCTTCCGTAGGTTCAACTTCCATCATATCCAACCACTCGAGCGTAAAAGCTGTGACGATTTTAGACCAGTCACGCACGGTTGGCATATCTAAGTGAGCACCATCGTCCTCCATTTTGTGCCACGCATCGGGGAACGGCGAGGCAATCATATGTAGAATTGGCACTCCACGAGCAATAAAAGGCTTGTGATCGTCCTCGATGTAGAGAGATCGAAAAGAAGTCGGCTTCTTATCCGATTCTGGTAGAAAGGGGCGCTTCGGTTTCGACTCAAGAAGATCTAGCTTACGCATTCTATCCTCGATAGTGGCCATAGCCTTATAAGCCCAGTGCGTTGGCAGGAACAACGACGGCACGGTTGGATCAGGCGCGCCGAGAAGGTCCAAAAGCACAAGCATGCTAATCTGATCTAACGGGTTACGGTAAAATGACATTGCTGGGTGAGGGGAATTCTCCCAATGCTCAGCTAGAGCTCTGAGTTTTCGTTAGTACGTGCTCTATCTTGTAAAAGTGAGTATTTGTTAGGGCTTACCGGGATCCATAGAGTGAGTCGGATTCCGACCACCTCTGAAATGCCTCCTCACCATCGAACAAAATAATCTGTACGCCCATATCCATCGCCACAGTCCCTCCTTCGCCAAGCGCAGACATCTCATCGTGCATCTGTGTAATAAATTTGTCGATGTATCTCGCAGCATGCATGAGAATAGCACAAGGCACTGCGCTATCAGTAGCACCAATGAACCCTTTAGGGGTAATCAAGCTATCGTAATGAGCCGCGAGCGTCAACAGATTTGACTGTCCCTCTTTGACCCATGGCGGCTCCCTCTTGAATACTAGATTCGCGAATGGTAACTCTTTGTTCCCTGAGACGGGGGTTTTTGAGGTTGAGTTATACCACTCGATATTCCATTTTGGTAATTCGTTTGTGAAGAAGTCCACGAAATGTTTTTGAACAGCAGCCTGACCCGGAGTGCCTGGAACTCGCGGGATTAAAACTGGTGCCAGAAGCTTACCCTTTTCAATATCAAAGTCATTGCCTCCCGATGGGACCAATTTAAGAAAGTTGTCCGATAATGCCGTGTATGCGACGACGGGTGCGATGAGAAGATGATGCAGAGCCAAGAGGAATAGCGTCGAGATTACGCGGCCCGGCATTACTAAGTTCAACATGTTCGGGCGCTTCATAGCTGCCTGATCTGCTGACTACCTCGAACCAGCGAGGTTATTCATTATACACCTGTCTAATCGAAACGGAAGATGCCAGGTGATGAGTTGGAATTGAAACTAAACAAACTTGACAAAGTTCAACTTTAGCCGTGTCTGTAATAATTGGTCATTACCCCTTATCCTTATCTGCAAGGCTGAAACATGGGCGGCATCAATTACAAATTGTTGCCGATTGTACCTGAATACGTCCTTATCCGGTTTAATGGTATGCATTTATAAGTTAAATGCACTAGTCCATATATAAAGCTCGTGAGAGTACAAGAGGCAGTTAACAATAACAAAAGCTGATATTAAAATCTAACATATAAGATTTTTTCACTTTAGAGTATTTATACACAAGTCCAGCCCGGTAAGTAAGTTAATAATTTAACAATTTAGATCAAGGTGCTTAAGACTATCAAACAAGTTCACCTTTAAATTTAAATTTATACAGCATCTCATATGTAATAATTATACAAGTTCCTTCGTATCTTAATAGACTTTTAAATATATTCAAACCGAGTAAAATATTCACAATTAGAAACGTAATTTAATTTAATCGTTCCGCTGTAAATAGCGGATATACTTTCAAATCATATAGGTATATTCTTGGTAATTCAAAAGAACTCTTCTATAGAATAGTTAACACATCAACAAATGGAATCACACATATTAAAAATCACATCTTCAATTTATCATAATTAGTCAACACCTCACTAATCTTCAAAATCCAGAGATAATAGAGGACTTATAAACTATTGGAGTTCTAAGACCATCAAACCTCCAAGGTAAAACTCCTTATTAATTTAACTTCGTAGGAAAAATCAAATTTAAAAATTAACGTATTACCATAGCATGGCATTTACATATTCTATAAGCAAAAACATAACTATAACATAATATATAGCCGAATCTGCCTGTCACGACAAGATGTTTAAAGCTATACTGCTATGCACCTTTTATTATAACCCATCAATACGTAAAGCCTTTCTTAGTAGCTAATTTAATACTAGCTAAAACACATGACATATACATTACCTCGAAAAACTAATATGCTACCAATCAAACCTAAAGACTTACGATATCTTGAAATTTTAAATATTAAATTAATACTTGTTATACTGAGTCACTTATAAAATTCGGCAAGTAGACTCTACATAATATATTAAATATATCCTAGCATCACCCCACGGATGAGAAATCATGTCACAGGTAGTAATATACAGAGGTAATCTAAGTACCTAACGCTTCAAATATCTACGAACATAATCCGAACATCTAGTTTAGAAGATGAAGGATCAAGTCATTTGTCGTGCAAGGGAATAAATCAGAGCTTTTAACACTGAATTGGTTTTAGGCTTGAACAAAGTCGACTTTAACTAGTATAGGATAGACGTTAAAAGATAGCTACGAATATAAATGCTTCTGCCCCCGAATTTCTTCATGCCCTACACACATCTCTTTAAACTTTGAAAGTAGAGTCATGGAAAGAGGTCAAACCAGGTAACGATAAAATCAAATGTTCCATTAGGTATCTACCAGCGTCGCAACTAAACTTCTTCGCCATACGCCATTCCCTTGGCTTTGTGCATTCCCTAAACTCGCGTGAATCAATGAATATCTTCCTGATGAATCCCTAAAACCCCATCGCAATTATACACTAGATACAACACAAATAATTACAATGCCAGTCTGGGATTATAAACGGTGCTTTACGTCTCCCCTGTTTCTACGCCTACGTCTTCTTGGTAGCTACCAACTCCGCTCATATCCACATCGACGTCAGCATCGCCAGGCAATGCGGATCCGCTGTTGGTTGCAGTATCGGCAGTATCGAACTTGGCAGAGAAGGATGCGACTTGCTTGCCCTTCTGACTCTTGCTGGCTTCGGTGACTTGCACCTGGACTGTGTCTTGAGTGTCGTTTTCATCTGTAATTGCTAGACCTGCCAGTCGCTTACGCTCAACCCACGCTGGTGGTAAACCAGGACCGCTATCCGCGTTGCCATAATCACTCTTCTTGGTACCCTTTGGCCATCGACCGGGACCACGGCCGGTACCGCCAGGCTTACGTTTACCTGAAGTTGTCTTCTGAGCTGACTTCCGAACAGCAGCGCCGCCTGTTGAGCGACGAGCTTTGGGCCGTACAGCGCGTCGCGAGCTTGGAGGTGGGATACGCGGCAGAGGCGGCGGTCTAGCAATACCTGAGTTGAGGCGTGAAATGGCCGTGCGCCTGTTATTTATTGGCGGGAAAACTTGGAATCTGTTGGCTGGGATAGTATCGTATGGCTTAAGCCAATCGTTTTCGTCGTCTGGAATATTCGCAGGAGCAGTAGTACCAACTGAAATACTTGGGTCTTCAGACCTGCTTGCAGAAGTATTTGCGTTTTCCTTGCCAATACCATTAGGTTTTATATCCTCAGGAGGCTCGATAATGGCATTATCATTTGGTTCCGTCGATTCGAGGACGGATGATTCGGCGCCCAGAGGCGGTTTTTGGTTGGTAGGCTGCGGGATGGCAAAATCTCCAGTCGCAATGCCGCTTTCTGCCAGGGTCTGGACAGCTTTGACCTCTTCGTCCTCTTCGCGGGGAGCGATCGTGTTAAGAGCTGGCCCCAACTCGAAATTTGTAGCGTTGCTACGGCCCATGACATAAGGCATCCACGTAAGATTTTTAGGAATTAGCTTCACGTAATTCTTCGCCTCCCATTTCGCAACTTCTTTATGACAGTAGGAAATATCAATCCGGAACGCGTAGACTTGAGTGACGGGATCCCGAACGAGGAAGCGGAGTGCCTCGAGGGCCGAGATAACATCATCCGGGGTCATTCCTGTATCGTCTGATATCTGCCTAATGCTCAAGCCCTTCCTCTGCAACTGGTTTTCAGGCATGTGTTCAATGAGGTACTTGCACATGACCAATCTCCAATAATTTCGATACGACACGAGGCCCATATCAGATAGCGGCTTCTCAGGAGAGCCGGTTTTCTCCTCTACTTTTGTTAAAAGATAAGAGAAGTCGATAAGTAGATGGCCGTAACCTTTTCGCTGGTGGATGGGCAATGTGAGGATGCAGCTCACATTATTCTGACTACTCGCACGCTTTTCTTTGGAAAAGTAGCCCACAAAGTGATAGCCTAGATCGTCGTACTCGCAAAGGACGTAGAATAGGAACGGCTCAACATCGTAATATAGCGTCTTAGAACCGAGGAAGAGTTTGGCTAGAAGGCAGAGGTTTTGACAGTATACTGGATTTTTTCGGCCATCAACTTCGAAGAAGGAAACTGAGCCATGCCGATATATTTCGTCACCAGGAGGGTGCTTTGCGGCGCATTTGAGCTTGTGTCGCCAGGCAACATAATCCGAGTTCATATATTTTAAGCAAAATTCGCAAATGTATAGGACTCGGTTGCGACTATACTCTTCGGGGTATGGTGCAGCATACCAGGTGTCTATTTCCCAGCCGCCAAATTCGATACATTCAATCTGGCTTGCGGGACCAGAAGCCTTTCGTGACTTCTTTACCGGTACCTCTGCTTCGGCTTGCATAGCAAGCAATCTATTTCTCCATTCTTCTTCCGCCTTCTGTTTCGCCTCATCAAATCGTCGCCGGTCATCTTTAGTGGGTAGCGTCTTCGTCGTATCCGCTTGTTCCTCGCTTAGGATGCCACCGTATGGCTTACCTTTAAGCTCGTCTGGCTCCTTATCGTAAAATGAGTAAAATGGCTGAGAATAGCTGGAGGGAAAGAATGGTGTCATTGGGGGTGGTTCAGCAGCAGCCGCGGTTCGTGTTGACGTGACATTTCTGGATGAACGAGATGATCTGGATGTAGTTCCCCGCCCAGCTCGTTTTCTCCGGGCTCTTGAGCTGCGTGAAAGTTTATGTAATTCCGTAGCACTCACTCGCATCTTTACCAGCAGACTGGAGCGTGACTTCTTAATAATCGTGCATAAAGCCTCTGAGCTTGATGCCTTGTGGCGCAGGGAGCGCCCTGACCTTGGTCTACTTGATGTTTCTGCCGAATTTGCGGTCTCCTGTATAACTTCGTCTTGGGCAGATTCATCAGAAGTATTTTTTCTTCGCTTACGTAGCGACATTACTTCCTCTACATCTACCTCCGCCTCAGGTGACGACGTCTTCCTTTTTCGTAGGACTCGCGAGCCATCCATAGGGTCTTCGTCGAGTACTAACTGCTTAAAAACAGAGTGGGAATCTGGCTTGTTCATACCGCGATGAGAAGGGAGTAGATCTCGGGCAAGTTTAGGAGCGGTTGATAGACTGGTTGCAGTAGGGGATAAATCACTATCGTCGGCACCATCTAGTTCCATATCGTGATCGCCTTCTGCGTTCTCACGATCAAAATGCGCTTCCGAATCTGATCCTGAATCATTAGTAGCACAGTCTGGACATCTCCAAATCGATATATCTATGCAAATTGGTGAGTTATATAACTAAGCATGAACTATTGTGTGTAGAACATACCATTTATATCGACAAGTGCTCCTTCTTCGCGGGCGCATTGTTGGTGAGCTGAGTGTTGCAAGTTAGATTACTCACAAAGAGATATGAACACCTATAAAGACATTGTACGCACCATGTTCACCACATTTCTTGCATGTAAGGTAGGCCTCAAATTCTACTCCCGGATCGTGTTCCTCGTCCTTTTTGCAGAACATGCAGTTATTAGGGTCAACAGCGTCAGAGTCTTCCTCTTCTTCTTCGTCATCATTTTCGACGACTTCTTCCCACTCTTGTGTTGATTCCCGAGTGGAGCCTGACCCCAGGCTGATATCATCATCACTATCGCTTTCTTCATCACCGGGTTTGATCTTTACGGCGCCAACACCTTCGTTTTCGTCTTCATCTTCGTCTTCGTCAGCAGCTCCTTCCGCTACATCATCCTCATCGCTGGAATTAGCGTTTGGATTAATGTGACGTTGTGCAGCATCATCGTCATCGTCCTCTCCTTCTGCGTCAACATCAGAGGCATCCTCATCATGGATGTCGTCGCCATCGCTGACCGAGGTCTCACCATCGTGATCACTAGCTTCACCACTACTAGCTGGCATCCCATCCAATCCTCCTGCGTTGTAGTGTGAAGCTGTTTCGTCTACAAGTACCATGTTGGCACCTATAGTATTATCATTACTGTAGCTTGGTACAATATGATTGGCCACTATATGGGCTGAATCTCCTGAGTTGCCCGAGGGCAAGGGGGCGCTGCTATCTACCATCATTGGGTCGTCTGGTAGATCTTCCTCAAACTCGGCATCCTCTTCGGATAATACTACGCTTTGTTGTAGTTCCTCTTGCATGAGTTGTGTATTTGCCATCGCCTTACCGATTCGGCAGGTATGGTCGACGAGTATTGTGTAGTAGAGCGTGGTTTCTTTTTATTTACGTGAGAGGCGACAGTGTAGGGTTCGGTGTTTCTTGCGACAAGTGCTCTAACACCTCCGGGTCGCGCCACTTCGCGTTACTAAGGACCTTGTCGCATGCCTATCATAAAAGGACGAATGTGACTGTTAAGCTCGGAAATATTGGGGGTATGAAGGTAGGATAGGTATAGGATCGAATGCTGGTAATACCCAAGGCATTTGAAGCGTGTGGACTGGAGTTTATTTTGCTGACTTGGAAGTGACGTTGTAGACGCGCTGTATATCGTTGCTAAGGCAATTGTTGTATGTTATTTATAGAATCCCATGATTCAGGGAGGAATTCTACGCGTCCTCCTAGGAAAATAAATAGTAAAAGATGCGATGAAGGGTGATTAATGTACTTGAAAGCGATGAAATGAATCCCCCCTCGCGCCTTCTTTGGATGAGGTGAGTTAAAGTTGGTGGTGTAACTTCCCGGCTATGGCTCCACAAATTAGTCAGCTCAGAAGATGGCGCATTGACCAACCCGATACGGGTAGTACCCCAGGTACCCCAAGCTTAGACCCATTGAGCCATTTAACGCCGAAGCTTGTCAAAGCTCGCTAAAGTCATTTATTGAATAAGACCTGGAACTACTTAGCTAATGTTGCTAACACTGCTAAGGCAAATTATTCTGCCTTAGGTTGTAACAATTGAGTCGACATCATTGGCTGTTGAACTTGGCCATCTCAACCTCAATCACACAATAAGCTACCGCAAGTTGCCTGTCAACTGACGCCCTCAACAAACAATTGCAACCGACCGTGCGGTCATACATCATTGTGAGTCCTTTAACCATAATCACGATACATCCCTAATGTTTCTATACTAACTTTTCATCTTACCATAGCCTGTAGTTCCGTAATGGCCGTCCCCTTCGAAGCATTGATTCCATATGGAATCATCCTTGCCGTAAGAACCCCCGGTCGATGATAACTTACCTCGATAATAGACTTTTTGGGTACTAAGACCCTATTAGATGTTTAGCGCTACCGGCGCAGGACTTTCCAAATTTAGAAATTGGCAAAATGGCGGCAAGAGAGCGAGGCGATCGTTAGATCAGTGGGATAGGCAGAGTACGGCAAATCCGCAATATGATATATTTAGGCTTGGAGGAAATTAACTTCATTTTACGCAGTGATGAACCGCGATATGCGCCTTACAGGATACCTACGAGGACAGAGCGATGCACCTGCAGCCCCCGCTGGATTCGAGCTGAACAACCCATGGCGGGTATGTTTCTGCAGTTGATAAATATGTTGTTGATACCTAGTACTGACATATTATGTAGGTCGAGAAGCGATTTACGTAGATGAAAGAATAGAGGGGTTGGCGAAGAGAAGCATATTGTCTACGACGGACAACTACTTGTACAAAGTCTACAAAATACAGCACCTGATACTCAAGCTGTTTTGTCGCGCGTCTGTTGCTGGTCATTATTTTATTTAGGGTATCATTTAAATCCTATTCTAACAGACCTAGGGATTCCGGAACGCCTGCCTACTTTATGTCTATATCGTAATCTCTGGACGGTTCTTATTCAGGGTCTCGAGAAGCATACATGCTTGGCATAGCTTCTGACTCGACATATAACCACATTTCTCGCATATGCCAAGCTTTTGCTTTAACCTGATGGGAAGAGTAGTGCCTGCTGTCTTTAATTGTCCACTGGCTGGGTTTGGCCTGTCATAAGATCGTGTCTTGGGGTTTTCAGCTGTGATCTCTGTTTCGAGTCCAGTGGCCTCGGCGGCTTCATTTTCTCTGAGTTGTTTCTCCATGGCTGCCATCTCACCACCGCTTGTGCGACCGTTTGACGAACCGCAGCCGCCGATATTATCCTCGTCAGTAGGGGTTCGGTTAGGTGCAGCCTTTCCATCACAAGCACAAGAACTTGGTGTAGCACCGGGTACCAATCTCGCCATGTCCTCCCCACTTCGAACAACGTCCAAGATGGCGCTGGGGCGGACTTTCTCTAGATTCTTGATCAAACTTCTAGCACTTCCCCTGAAGGCTTCCGGACTGTAGATGCATTCGGTGCTGAAATAATCAAGCTTTTTGTGGTGCGCATACAAAACAATCTCCTTCTCGTATGAATACTTTAGCGGCTTGCTCCTCTTGACCTCACTCGCGTCGTTTCCGGTGACAATGCTCGTACTCCTTGACAAGCGCGGTAGATCTCCTCGAAGGAGGTTCATAAGAACGGTCTCTGCGACATCATCGGCATTATGACCAGTAACGACATGTTTGATCCCCAACATCTTCGCGCCCCTATCTAGAGCCTGTCGTCGGAAGACGCCACAATAAGTACAATTGCCTTTCTTGCCGATTGTCTCCACAACCTGGTCCATGGTCCAGCCGTATAGTTCACCATAGCCTACTATTTTAAGTGGCATGTCGTACTGTACCGCGTTGCGTTTAACTGTTTCGAGGGAATCATCCCTGTAGCCCTTAATACCCTCGTCGATACTTAGGAGTATTAGATCAACTCCATAGTTATGTCTTTCGTTCAGTGTTTTGAGCACCGAAGCTAAAACGGTTGAATCCTTGCCACCTGATGCACCGATGGCAACTTTTTCCCCCGGGAAGAAAAGCCGTGATGAAGTTATGGTATGATGCACTTCATCTTCGAATATTCGGATGAAACAGCCCTTGCAGAGTTTCTGATAGTTTTTTGGCCTCTTAATCACGGCTCGCTCTGTTTTGCAGAGGGCACAAAGTGCCGGTGGCATTCTCTATAGAACTTGAGCTTTCTTAGATGATATAGATAATGGAGTAAATTTTATGAAAATATATAAATATTGTTGAAAAATAAATTGGAATAGTATCATAAAATTTAAGATTCGTTGAGATTGACTCATGTCATTCAAGGTTGCTTACAGCACATGCAAAGTTCTGGTGGTTCGAAGAATTTTGGTGGGGTTGAAGATATTAAGGTACAAGGTACCTAAAGGTACGATAGAGGGGTATTATGCACTAGGTTAATCTGGGTCTAGTCCACTCGGGGCTAATTCTCCGATATTTTACCATCCGGTCCACTGAGAAACCCTACGCACAACTTTTTCTGTTTTTTCTAGGCTCGCAACTTTACACGAGATTTCTTTTACTTTTCACACCTCTCATTTCGGTCGCAACCTTTCACCCAACGCCGATCACACGACCAAATCATCAATATGGTAAGTTCCTGACGTTCGAGACTGCTGTGCTCCTGCACTCAGCCAAATAATTCAATGGCACTCGCTTGTCGAGTTGCTTAATTTCCGCCTGTTGTCTTCGGACGCAGGTGAGGAACTGGCTTGAGATCTTCGCGCAATGTGAAATACCATTCGTGATTATCTCTCTAGAGTTCAAGAAAGACTACAGTCAATGGAACACATTTGCTGATGTCTTTCTTCTCAATGATAGCCTCCCAAGTCCGGTAAGAAGGCCGCCCCGGCCCCTTTCGCCTCTAAGGCAGGTTCCAAGAAGACACCCAAGGTGAGTAGAATCCTCCTCAATCATTTGCTCTATTGAAGAGCCCGAAAGTGATGCTAACATATCAATTAGAACCCCCTTATCGAGAAGCGATCGCGCAACTTTGGCATTGGCCAGGACATCCAGCCCAAGCGAAACCTCTCCCGTATGGTGAAGTGGCCCGAGTATGTCCGTCTTCAGCGCCAGAGGAAGATCATCAACCTCCGCCTGAAGGTCCCCCCAGCTATCTCCCAGTTCCAGCACGTTCTGGACCGCAACACTGCTGCCCAGGCTTTCAAGCTCCTTAACAAGTACCGACCCGAGTCTAAGGCCGAGAAGAAGGAGCGATTGGTCAAGGAGGCTACTGCGATCAAGGAGGGCAAGAAGAAGGAGGATGTCAGCAAGAAGCCCTACGCTGTCAAGTTCGGTCTGAACCACGTTGTCGGCTTGATCGAGAACAAGAAGGCTTCTCTCGTCCTAATCCCCAACGACGTTGACCCCATCGAGCTTGTCATCTTCCTGCCTGCTCTGTGCCGAAAGATGGGCGTCCCCTACGCCATCATCAAGGGCAAGGCCCGCCTCGGAACTGTTGTCCACAAGAAGGTATGCATTAACCATTAATATTGCATTATATACGTTTGACTAATTAAAATTTAGACCGCTGCCGTCCTCGCCGTCACTGAGGTCCGATCAGAGGACAAGAACGAGCTCTCTAAGCTCGTGAGCGCTATCAAGGACGGTTACCTAGCCGGATCTGAGAACGCTCGACGACAGTGGGGTGGTGGTATCATGGGTGCCAAGGCCAACAAGCGCATCGAGAAGAAGAAGAAGGCTCTGGATTCGGCCATCAAAGTCTAAGCGTTAGGGCTGGTCACGGGATCATGATTTCTATATTTGCACAGTTCCGGCGTTGGAGGAGGTAAAAGGGAATACCAACCACATGGATTTGCATAAAGCCTATCTAGACTCCATCTGCAGAGTTTCGCCGACGACCAATGTGACAAATGAATGATCGATGCAATTTCGTAAAGTCTATGTTCGCTATTTTCCCGTAATATCCTAACCGTTCGAGCCAAGACTTGGCTTTTATATCTTCCAAATAGGTGAATTTCTTGGACCCGAATTAGTTTGTAGGCTTGGTGTTGTGGGAGATTACCGCATGAGGACAGTCGAGCCGAGCCAAGAGTGCCAAGCAAATATCTTCGTAGCGTCGTATTTTCCCACGCTCTTGGCTCAGACTAGGTATTGATACAGGAAACGTTCCTGAGTGCTGGGTTTGTAGCTTTACATCCATGTTGGAGCTTACGCGGCGCAGGCATGTTTGGCCTCGTATATCAGTGTCTAACTATTCGCTTACTGTTTGATTCTATCTTGGCCGTGATGATAAACCTTTGTTTGAAATACGGATACTTGCACCGGGCTTGAATTGGCACTGTTCAGTTGATTGGAAGTGGTGCCTACCTAGAGCTAAGTGCTGCTACTCATGCGTATCTTGGTATAGGAGATCTGTTTGTATCACCTAGCTCGTTGGGCTGTAACATTGTGCGCCGGGGATATACTATAGTAAAACCGCACTATAACGAATATCAAAAAAAACAAGGGTCTAAGTTAGTCATAGAGTATATTTGCTAACCTACCTATATAGTAAATTTGTTATGGTACGGGTTTACTGTATCTACTGAAACACTATGTGCTATTCCATGCTATAGCCGGCAATGCGGTATCTTGGGATATTGAGTATGCCAAGATAAGGCATGCATGGGATCTAGATTAGAATGTTTTGGGATGAGATCAAACAAATATTGTGACATGAGATCTGCGATGTTGCCAAAGGCTAGATAGCTGTATTCTAATTCCCTACCGGCATCTTCGGGACCGTTGTTGTTATTGTTGTTGTTGTTGTTGTGTTGTTAGTGTGACTGTTCTTGGAATTAGAGAGGTATTTGACCATCTATCTCGGTTAAGGAGTCTCGTCGGTAATCGCTCGAAACCCATCTCACCGAGAAATGCCCTACTTAAACCCGTCGGTGAGAGCGTTGAAGATATCGTGCTAGCCGGCCAGTGGAACCCTCTGCTGGTCCTTACCTCTTGAGTTATAACTTATATGTACAACACATAACAAGCTTCATAGTGTATGTAGGTCGGCTACACTAGATACAGTGGACCCGCGGGTGAATGCCGAGTTAGCTACGATACTTATCCTCGGAGACAAGTATGAATGTCGTTCGTGGTGTACCTAGATGTTGTTGTTAAAACTAAAAAAAATAGGGGGCGCCGGTGAATAGCTTCCCCGGGATAGGGGCGTGTTTAGCTCGGCTTTGACCTTTGTAAAAACGCTCGTTATCTATTATAGCGTCGACGATGAAGATGACCCCCGTCGCTTTTGGGGAACCTGGTGCCTGACTACACTAGTGTAGAGATATTTAGATTATAGCCGACCATTGACGCTGAAGGCCGTGCAGTATGTGGTTTAAATACGAGTCTATTAACAAGACGGATACCGTTTGAGTTTTATGATGCTAAAAATGCTTGGCCTATTAGCGAACGCAATACCGTATATACATATTGTTGGTGTATGAGAAATAGTATGAGAAATAGGTACATTAGGTAGGTATGGAATTGGTGTGAATGATGCCAAGAAAAACCAAGGCGCCTTAAACCCAGGTAATAAACTACATCGTACGTGGTGTCGGCACATGACTGATACTATGTAGATGTATTTAAACTTATGAGGCTCTTGATTGGAAGCTGACAGGCGTTTGGGTTCCAGGGTCCAAGGCCTTGGCAGCGTATATTAATATAACCGTTTTAATTGAGGCGTCACAGCCACCACAGGATATTAATAAGCTTTTTGTTGAGGAGGGGGTTGTCATCATTGATAGAATATCGAGATAGACATTGAATATAATCAATGCCATATATTATTCAAGCGATTGAACTGTAGGAAAAAAAAACTAATAGCGCTGATATTAATTGAACCTAAACTTATTTCATAGGTATTAATAGCCTACCCAGTACGAGCTGACCGCCAAGTAGATCTCGGAGATAGGGGGAGCTTAACTAAGCGGCTTACATCTGATATCATAGTTGCAAGAGATAAGACTCAAGAATAGAGTAAAAATAAAATATAGTTTCGAAAGAGCAACTTTATAACAAACTTTTAATAAATCGTTCCATCTGTCTTTTATGAGAAATATTTACTTTTTACCAATATACAATCCACCTCTTAACCTACCTATTCCTCTATTAAATTTTCTTCTAGCTCGTAAGGAGGGGAAGCTTGTCGAAAGGGAGCCATATAGACGGTAACGTCACGTGCAAAGAACAATATATAAACTAAAAGTACCAGGTTTGCCAGGAAAGATACCCTCCATTGTGACCTTAGTACATGAAGTAATTTTCTCATTCACAACAATATGTAAGTAAGAAGCTACCTAGTGAATGGAAAAAGGTTCATCACATTGATGTAACTGGACAACTAGGGTCACATGGGCAAGTCTTTAGGTTAGGTTAAGTATTTAATTCAAAGCAAACGAGTATTTTACCTCATCTATCTGCCTGTAGTCACCACTTACAAACGTATACCAACCATACCTACCCAGCATCCACCTAAGCAAGCAAGCAAGCAAGATGTAGATACATCATAGTCCCAGGTAATTCGTTTGACAGCGACCCCCCGTCCCTCACCGCTTTCTTCTACGTACCTATCTATCCTCCCTTCCCATGCCGCGAAGCCGCGCACCTAGGCAGGGGGGTCCGACGAAAGCACGCCCGGCACGTTGCAAGCAGATTGGCTATTGGCCCTTCTCGGAGGTACCCAGCGCACAGCAGCGCAAGCATGTAATACGCCTTGGCGAAATCCACGGGAAACCAACTTTACACCTATGTAGGTACCTATTAGCTCCCAATATCCGTAATCTAGATCCATGCCGCGCCTATCCCAAAATCCCGTGCGCCGCCTCACGGCCTGCGACCCCCCCGTTTCATGCTTATGCTTATCCAACGGGTGCCTGTCTATAGATCTACATGGTTTGGTCTTGGTAACGCCGCGAAGGGCGAAGCTTTCGAACCTTGGTTTGGAAGGTCTGGGCGACCGGTTATTAACAAGATTGGGGGTGTTATTTATGCTTGGGATGCTTGGGATGATTAGATGGTTAGATGGCCAGCTATCTATCTAAGATTAAGTAGTTGAGATTACTGTTTTACCCCGGACTCCGGACTTAGCGATACTACCTGTTGATCTCTCTCCTCTCGATAGTTCCAGCGTGATACACTATTAAAGCCTCATGGATCATCGCTTGCTGACGCTAAGTTTGACAAGCCCTTGTTAGTATCCTGAGACTCTTCTTCTTCTTCTTCTTCTTCTCTTGATTCCACACGGCTCTTTTTATACGTCTACGTGTCCCTACCTTTATCTACTCCTTTCCAAATAAATTTCCTACCGAATCCACTTCATGAGGGATTATCAGTCTAAAGCCGAGTTGCATCATCACCGCTATCCACATACTTAGCCAGTGATACCAGCTCGTCGCGTGATTTACACCTCCGTACGATCACGGCCGCCTCCGAGTGAATACCGATCCGGTCGAGCGCGATTTGAGCGAGACCAGACGAAAGCCAGAACCTCGGTCAAAGTCATCAGTCATCAAGCATACAGGATAGGATCCTCCTGAAGGTGTGGACAGAGAGTGGACGGGCGCCATATCTGATTGGGCTTGGGACTTCCTAATTCGCTCATATCCTGCATCCCTACATCCCGCCTTCAGTTGGTACCGGCTGGGATCTTGGGTGCCGCCCTGTGTTGTCATCATACCTACCTTACATATCTCCGACCCTCACATATATAAAAGGCCGCATCCAGCTTCGTAGCTTCGAGATGCCTGCTCCTCCGCGTACGTGTTGTTATTCCTCTTCTACTCGCTGCTTATCTCCCCCGCCAAGAAAAGGGGTTAGTAAATCCCAGATCTGGATCCACAGGGGTGGACGCCGGCATCTCATTACACCCAAAAATACGCTTAAATTTATTTTTGAGATCCCCGAGATTGGCGAGGTAACTTTGGGGGGAACGTTTCGCTTACCATGGCCGCAGAAGATGCTTTTGCCTACGCGCTGAGTTCTAACCAAGCCTGGTCCGGCTACAAAGGTCATCAGAACCCCGACTTCTTCCCCAAATTGGCATCGGGACAGTCGCCAGCAATCCGTAAGTTTTCAAATAATTTCTTCTTGGCATAATATATACACCTTTGTTCTTTGTTGAGATGCGAGATGAGCAAAGACCCACTCAACAGAACACTAGTACGGTCTTGGTCATCCTGAATCCAGAGCCTGCTGCGCCGCAGCTTATGCAATGCGGAGAATGGTCACATTGGAGGAGATGGTAATTTACCTATTGAAAGAGTTAAGGAGGCTAATGCGGTTAAACGTGGTGCAACAGTTTGGTTAGGTTGTTCTGACTCGCGCTGCCCGGAGACGACGATTCTAGGCTTGCAACCAGGCGATGTGTTCGTGCATCGTAACATCGCCAACATTATTTCGCCTACCGACATTAACACGGCAGCTGTCATCGAGTATGCAGTTGTGCATCTCAAGGTGAAGCATGTCGTGCTTTGCGGGCACTCGTCATGTGGTGGAGCCGCAGCTGCGCTTGGCGACAACCGCGTCGGCGGCGTGTTGGACATCTGGTTAATGCCTCTTAAGGCTGTGCGTAAAGCGCATAAGGAAGAGTTGGAGAGCATCACCGACGACAAGAAGCGTGCGGTGCGCATTGCAGAGCTCAACGTTGAAGCCGGCATCAACGTTCTCATGGCCAATGCATCGATTCAGGAGGCCATCGCCGAAAGGGGCCTGCAGGTCCACGGAACCTTTTTCGACATCGGGACGGGACGCATTCGCGACCTAGGCATCGGCACAGGCAAGGGGGGACATCACGGACTATCAGGCGTTAACGGAGACTCGGACATTGTTAGGGGCAAGCATGCAATGCTGGTTTTTAGAACGGACGGCGAGGGCAGCATGCAAGCTCTCTAAACGGAACGAACGGAAGCAAGCGGTCAGGTACAAGTTAGGGGCGTTTATACACTGGGATGTATGTGTGTGTCTTATCTTGGCAACAGAAGAGCATAGGAGGGAAATGTCATCTAACGGAGAGCGAATATGGGTAGCGAATATGGGGGTTACTAGCGAGGTTGATCTTCAAGATACCCGACAGAAAGGGTCATATTGGTGGATGGCGTTCGAGAAACGGAGATGTGTCCAAAGTTTCGAAAAAAAGTCTGGCGACGGGTTTTCCGTACGTTATTGGAAATATTGCGAAATTGCGAAAATTGCGAAATAGCGTGCGATTGAGCCGCTTTCTATGATGGGAATTGGTGTTTATTGGTCAATGAGGATTTATATTCCTTGCATTTTATATCGTATGATTACCATGTGCTTTAATTCCGAATCTAGGCCGGTTGGATTATTGGTTGATTGGTTAATTTATCTTCACCGTTCCGGCGGGTTTTCTTCAGTTTAAATCAATTCTTTCCTCACTTGTGCATCTCCAATTTACATAAGGCCGGTCGTCTAGGTAGGTAGTACATATATGAAGTATTCGTTCGTTGCCAAGCTGACCCCTCTAGATTCCCTATAGATTTCCTACGTCACTGGAGGGTTTTAATGGTGTTACAATAGCGGGGTAGCTATAGGCTAGCTCTGCGCAAGATATGTAGGTACATGTAGCAGCTACAATAGAAGCCATAACAGCCATAAGTGTAACGCTTGAACGCCTAAAAGGTAGGTACAGTATAATACAGTTACGACACCTCCAACTTAGTATTATATCACAACCAATAATAGTCATCTACACATCACACCATACTATCTCATATCCTTTCCTGGATATATCATGAAAGGAATGGGTCAACGCCAAGATCCATGGCATTCTAAAAGAACCTTATCTTTTACGTGTGTATTATGGAAGATCAAATTATGTGTGGATGTGCGCTCAGCCAAGCCTTCAACTTGGTTGCCGAGAGTCGGCTATCTCCTCTCTCCCACCTGGACTCAAGTATCCAACCTCAAGATTCCTTAGAATTCTCTTCGTGTAACCTAGAGTCAAGTCTATCGAAAGAATCAATAGCTTAGTGATCAACTCTAAATGCTACAGGAACGTGTTTATCTACGCGCTAACTCCGAGGTCGACAACCATGTCTTTAACAGTTCTTTCGGACGATCAAATTTGCGGCTTGCTAGAGAGTCTTAGCCACGACGAAGCTCAAGAACTGGTCGACACGCTCAGAAATGCTCTTCACGAGTATTCAACCGGTACACAATCTATAAAAGATGGCATCGTTCACCAGCCCGAGCGAATATCGGTACATTCTAATACTACCGGCGCGACTACGCTTTTCATGCCTTCAATTAACACGCTTGGCCATGCAGTAAAAGGTCAGTCTATACAGCCAAGACATTAGTGATCTTGAATCTATCTTGGCTAACCAAATCGCAGTCGTTACTTTGTCGTCACCATCAGCGGATAAATCGGCAGATACGGCACTGCCTCCCATCCGACCTACCGGCTCGGTGACCCTCTACTCCCCCCAGGGCCCTCCTATAGGTTTCCTACATGCGAAGACCCTTACCGCTTTCCGTACCGCGCTTGCTTCCTCCTGTCTCCTTGCAAAGCGCGCTTCGGTCCGAACCCTTGTTGTATTTGGTTCGGGATTACAAGCTTATTGGCACATGCGCCTAGCATTGATGTTACGGGGGGATACCATCCGCGAAGTATACATTATCAATAAAACATTCAGTGAGAGTGCTAGAGACACATTTAAGAAGATACATAGCATATCTCAAGATATCAAGCAGCGTGAGGGGTGGGAACAGGCGCAGTTTAGCCTCCTAACTCAGACCTACGGGGATTATGGCAGATTGCTAAAAGAGCACTTGAGGGCGGCAGATGTCATCTACTGTTGCACGCCAAGCACCGAAGATTTATTCGACGCGAGCATACTGACAAGTCACGAAGGTCGAAGGAAAGGTAGATTAATTGTCGCGATAGGAAGCTATACAAAGTATATGCGTGAGTTACCTCGAGAGTTATTACTCCAGGCCGTCAAGACACGCACCCTCGGACATCATTATCATAAGCACGCAACAGAAGGCGGAGTAATCATTGTAGATACTCTAGACGGGGCACTGAAGGAGGCAGGTGAGATCATGGAAGCAGGTTTGGAGCCCACGCAGCTCGTTGAGTGAGTCTCATATATTTCTTAACGATTTATGAACATAGTTGCTAATTGATTAAAACTAGACTAGGCGAGCTGGCCATGATCCAGAGGCTGGCAAAAGAAGAAGAGGAATTGCTTATATCTCAGAGTTCAACCGAAACTTCCTCCATCAACGAGTCTTCCGAAAGGTTAGACCTCGCATCACCTGGGTCGGCTATGTCGACCGTATTCGGGTCCGAATCGGGTAACTCGGCATCGGGTAGCGGAGGTAAGCGATCTTCGTCGCGCAGCCCAAGCAGGACGAGCAGCAGCCGCTCTTTACCTTTCCATCACCGGCAAAGTTCGAGCCAGAGCACTGTGGACGAGCAGCGGCATAAGCAGCAGCAATCGGGACATGACCACCACTTGGCGCGTTGGCTTTCAGCTGGTAATGTTATTTATAAGAGCGTAGGGCTGGGGCTCATGGACCTCGTGGTCGGATTCGAGGTTATACGTCTGGCAAAGGAGAGAGGGCTGGGTAGCCATATCGAGGGGTTCTCGTAGTGCGAAAATAGCCCGTTGGCACCTATATTGGATGATCTGGGGCCATCTACGTTCCGCAGGGAAAAACGGTAATATTGGATTTAAAAATACGTCATGCGACTGAATTATATTGTTGATATTTATTTCATAGAGATGGATGGCAACGAAGCTTGTAATTGCATATACGATATGGATGATATACTAAACGCCCTAGATATACATTGTACACAATGCTCTTTTGCCTCCTTGAAGTACCCGTCGTATATGACTTTCATACATGCAAAGGCTCTCCCAAAGGCCCGAGATGATGTTCCTACAATGTGTACCGTGGTACGCCACGGCATTAAACACGAATTTAACCCAATTTGAAAGATATAACGCCCTTACTCGGCAACCCAGATGGCAGCCATACCCATACCCGTACCAATGCACATACTCGTGATGCCAACCTTCTGGCCACGGCGTCGCAACTCGTACAGCAGGGTGCTCACCTGGCGAGCACCAGTGCACCCGAGAGGGTGACCAAAGGCAATAGCGCCACCCTTAGGGTTGATCTTCTCCGCGGGGATCTTCAGCTCGTTAGCACACCAGAGGCACTGGCTGGCAAAAGCCTCGTTGATCTCGAAGATGTCGATATCGTCGATGGTTAGGCCGCCGGCTAGCGATAGGGCCTTGGGAATCGCTTTCCAGGGTCCGAGGCCCATGAGCAGCGGCTTAACGCCGACGACGCTGGCCGCGACGAACTTGCCGAGGATGGTCTGGCCGATGCGCTCGGCTGTCGATCGGCGCATCAACAGGACGGCAGCGGCGCCGTCGCTGATCTGCGATGCGTTGCCCGCGTGGATGGAGCCGTTCTCGGCGAAGGCGGGGCGGATCTTGCCGAGGGATTCGGCGGTGATGCCGGGGCGGACGCCGTCGTCTTTCTTGACGGTGATGTTCTTAGTCTCGCCGCTCTTAGGGTCGGTGTACTTGACGGTTAGCGGGTGGATCTCCTCGTCGAAGAGACCTGCTTGCTGGGCCTTGAGGGCCTTCTGGTAGGAGGCGGCGGCGAAGGCGTCTTGGCTGGCGCGCGAGATCTTGAGGTCTCGGGCCATGTCTTCGGAGAGGACGCCCATGGGGACTTTGCAGTTGGCGGCCTCGGGGTAGGATTCGAGGAGGTCGGAGAACTCGGTTACGGCTTGGGGACTTTTGGAGGAGGATCTTGTCAGCCAGGGGAATTCGGCAATACTGGATGCTTTACGGGGGAGTATTGAGGGAGGAAAGAAAAGTGACTTACCCGTATTGCAAGCTCATGCTCTCGACACCAGCACCGATACCGATCTCGATCATGCCGGCGCGGATCTGGTTGGCGACATCAACGCAGGCTTGTAGACCCGACGAACACTGGCGGTTAAGGGTTCGGACGGCGGCGGTCTCGGGGAGGCCAGCAACAAGAGCTGCGGCGCGCATCTCGGTGGCGCCGCCACCAGGCGCAAGTACCTCACCCACGCACACATCCTCTACCAGCGACGGGTCGATCTTGGATCGCTCCAAGAGTCCCTTCAGGGCTCCCGCCATCAGGTCAGCCGCTTGTGTGTCTTTGAACCCGCCCTTGCCGCCTTTTGTGAACGCCGTTCGGAGACATGCTGTTACTACGATCTGTTTCCCGGAGTTATTAGCTTGTTGGGAATACGGACCAGCTGGGGAAGAAGCTTACGTCGTCTGGGTTCTTCTCGAGAAGCTTCTCACGCGCCGACTTGGAGCCAGAGATTTGGCCTGAGATCTGCGATAATCTTTCGAGGGCTATGGTTATTACGTTTTGTCAGCTGCGTGTGGTGCTTAGGATTCGGAGAAGTGCTTACCACCCATTGTTAGTTTTGTGTTGTTGTTTAAGGTCTAACTATAGTATTGCTGGTAATGATGTTTATATGATGTTAAATATCCAGATTAGTTGGCGGGTTGAGATATTCTATAAAATTAATACAGTTGAGAAGGAGAACGTAAAGGGAATGAATCCGGAGTTTATGATTACAGCAAAAGTAATTGGACCTCGGATGCGTGGCTACCTCGCGCTTGTAGAGTTCCGCTACGCAGTCTAAGTTTTACGCTAAAGTTACGCTGATGTCAGACCCCACAGCTACCCGACCGAGGTATCGTGCTGTATGGGGGAAATTTAACGTTTCTTCACATGCTTGAGCTAGCCCCAGACTTCCCCATCCCCCAAAGCGGTGACACATGTTACGACGCTGTGCAATACATTGTAAGCTTCCCTAGTTCCCCAACTGCGCCGAGAGTAACCTCTCTACATAATAAATAGCCCTTTGCCGTTGAAATAAAGTATATAGACTCCCTACGCGATGCGCCGATTGAAGTTAGTCTTGCAAGTAGCTAGGCCTAGTTGGATGTCTTATACTTCAATATAAGACACATGCGACTTTAGCTCTGGAAATGGCGCGCTATAATTGTAAGGGTACTTTTGCTAGACTTTGGAGTTACGACTAATGAAAGTTATAGTTAACTACCTTAAGATAACTAGAGCTTTATTCTTATATCAATACATACGAGGTCTTCGTTCAGCCGGTTTGAATTATGACCATACGGATTGAAGTGCTTCGAAAGAGATTCTCGCATCTAGATTGCTAAAACGTGCGCTAAATGTTTGAGTCTAGAGAAGACCTGCTATGGGGTGGGAGTGGTTTGAAACCGCTCTCAAGAGTCTTCTAAGATCTGCTATCTACCTACTTAGGTACCTACACTCATTGGACAGAGCCCATCTAGATGAAGGTCTTTTTACGCCCGACGTAGGTAGTTGTACGAAAGATTTCCGTTAATCGCACAGAGCTATTTACCTTTGGTCCAACGGTGCCATAGCACTACTGCAGGTACGTCACACATATATGCATATAGGTTTACCGCAGCTATGGAATTTTTCGCAGGCGCATTTAAGCCACTATTATATTTCGGAAGAGTGTTGAGGAGAGCAGCGCAAAACTATCATGATCATATCTTTAGGAATGGGCGTTCTGTCTTGTTCTTTTCTCTTTCTAAATCTACTGTTACAATATTTCCTTCTTTTTATAGCAACGCCAGCTTCCTTACGTATGTTACATCTTCTTGTGTTGAATTCTTGTCCTCCTGCCGTCAAAACCCCATAGGTACGATCGCTTGATCACCCATGTCTATAACAAGGTTACCACCACCTGTAGTAGACTATGGCAAAGTTACAAAACCCTGATGTCAACATTCAGACTATACTTAGCACGCCAACTGAACTAAAGTATCACGAGTCTCACGCCGGATCTTCCCAGACCAGGATCTATTCTAACACGGAGCTGGAATCTCGATATTTCCGCGATGCGCGTCTTGAGCAATACTTCAGGAAAGAGCAACTTCCAGAGCGACTTATTCAAATCCCTGGACATGTTCTCGGACCTAGATGTAGCGATGTCAAGCCGATCCTTAGTTGGGTAGATAATGCCTGGAGAGATGCTCGGCTCACTGGTCTCGGGCATATGCAGAACACTGTCGTTCCCTTGACTAAAGCATACGTTGAACATCTCATCTCTCATCAACTGAATGCCTGTCTAGTAAACCTTACATACGCTTGGGGCACACCCGGTCCAAGTCGTCGTGGGATACAGCATGTCCAATCATGCGATCCCCAGTCGACAGCCGGGTCTCCCTCAAATCAAGGACAGCAGAAGAAGAGAAAGAAGAATGCTCAAGACAATGATGGCGATGGCGACGACGACGGGGGTGCACGTAGACGCGGGAAGAAACCTATAAATTCGAAAAGCACCAATTTGAGGCTTGCCTGTCCAATTGCTAAGACATTTCCTCATTTACATCTCGATTGCCATAATAATGGTGGGTTTGAAAACACATCCCGAGTTAAGTATGTCAAGTTTTGACCCTATTCGCCCAATCTCCCTCTTACAAATTCATAGGGAACACTTATACCGGAGGCACCGAGCCCCCCAATGCCAACGCTGTGGTCAACCCTTCGACCAGTACGAGCAATTCAGAGAGCACATTAGGGCTATTGAACCCTGTGCGCTCGCTGAAGACGGCTTTCCCATACTTGCAATTCACCATGAGCAAGAAGAGGCATTGCGGAGACGAGCAGACGCGTGGAATGCGACGGAGCTAGCCAAATGGGATAGGATTTACGAGATAGTTTTCCCAAGGGCTTACCGTCCATACCCATCTCCATGTAAGTTGCCATAATTACTATACTATTTTATTGTTTAAACTAATCGGTGCTGTTAGATGTTGAAGAACATGTAGACCCCCCACAACGATTCCAAGAGCTGCAGCAACTCGTGCAATCACAGCAACAACAGATTCACACGCAACAGCAAATGGTACAAGCACTACAGCATCAAATGCAAGAGATACAGCGACAGCGACAGGTTCAAGAGCTACATCAGTTACAGCAGCAGCAGCAGCAAGAGGATAATGTCTTATTTCGGCTCGATAAACATAGCTTTGGCCCACTGGAAGATATCAATGCTGAAATCCACTCTAGTTTTTTTGACGAACAGATGGTAGCCCAGGAGGAGAACCCAGAGACCTAACCATTCTCCCTGCCCGAATAGACACTGAATTTGGGTGTCCTATCTACATGGTTACCAGGCGCTTGGCTACCAAACTAGCGACTATTTGAACCCCCGTTTATCTTCGCTTCAATGACCTTATTGCAATCACTTCTTAGGTTCACATTCGTCTAATTCTAGGAGAGATACCAGTTTATTACTGGGAATAGTCAACGACTCTTTACTTCCTTTTATCTCGGCCTATTTCTACCGGATCAATATTAGTTACGTCCTACCTTTCAAATCACAATCATTAACTATGGGATACGAAGGAATTTGGTATATACGTTTCTCCTTACAGCTCATTCGAATTAAACTACTAGAGCAATCTTCTACTTTCTTTCTTGCTCTTAAACCCTCGGCTGTCTTATATCGCGAAAACCCAACTACTTACGACATAGAGAAGACTACTCTCTCGAGATACATGAGCTACTGTTTCATGAATCGCCACGACTAGCCTCAATGCTTTGACGATAGACGTTATACCTTCGAAAGTTGCCGCTTTCGCAGGCAGCGGGGTGAACGGTATATAAAATCTGACTCAAGTTGGATAGAGCTACGATGTTGGATATTCGTACCTATACTGAAGCTTCCCCGCCTTCAATTTACACTCCTTGAATACTTGTTTATTACTCTTATCTATTCTACTTCTTCACATTCGCTTTTACTAAGTTACGCAAACACCTTCACCTTTTTGATAACGGGGCATGACGAGACATGAATCTAGGACTGAATGGGTGATGTTGGGATGCATATAATATATGTTACTCATTGTTTGTTCACGGTGGCTCTATATACATGGCCATGCCTTAAGGAGCTACATATGGAGCGGGGTGAACCTAAACATTAAAGGGTCTTATGTATGATTACATTAACGACGTCACTAATTCATGAGATCAATCCCGGCTTATCGGTTATGAGAGGGTTAAGGGATCGAGAGGTTATCATACTCGACTACTTGAGCCTCTATTTTTCGCCGTAATCGGTGCCTCCCTAATAGGAATATTGTTTTGATCCAGAGTGGGTTCTTTAAATTTTTCTGTGGGCTTTCCGGACATGCGCAAGATGTATCCTTATTGGATATGGAAAATTCTTTCGACGTCGGTAGGCTTAAACACCAGTACCGAGACACGATTTAGCGCCGAGGCCTCTATGTAACTAGGCGTATGGATCGGCCGGGTATCTTCCGCTACTATGTAACTCATCAGTCTGTCAGCCCATCTCTCGTCCTAGTGCTTACTTCCCCGAGCTGAGGCCAATTAAAAAGATACAAGTTTTTAGCTTCTTGCTCAGGAGCGGACTGGTATCCGATACCCGCTGATTCCCGAGGATCGGAGAAGCTAGTTACGATCGTTTATGGAGACACTTGTCGGCACCACGCCCGGGCTGCCGGGGTGGAGTCTACGAAGCCGAATTTAGTGTGAGGCTCTGCCTGATAATGCTGGTAATTTAGCGGCCCGCAACGCTAGATCTGACTAGGTATGCGCATGGGCGTTACTGTAAGGAAGGATAGTCGTTGCAGATAACGGTAAAGATCTTCGCCTGCATCTATCATTGGCACCCTTGGCGTCGTTGAGAAGAATATCAACTTATGAATTCTAGAGGATGGTCGGCGGGTCAGGTATCGTGTGTGGACGTAGGCCCCAATTTCGACCAATCTCAGCCCACGACCTGCATGCCTAGACTAATAATGCCTCGGGCAGTCATTTGCAAAGGTATGTCCACGCTACGCTTGCTCCCTGTCTGCCTTGAGGCTCTTAGAGACGTATTCGGGTCGGACCTAAGGAATTATGACCGGCCAAGACCATTCTGTTGATGATCATTGCGGTCTTGGAAATCTTGTTTGGTATATAGTTTGCAGAGCCAGCTATCGGCTCTTGCTGTTGATCGCCTTTGAGGCAGATGTATCTCGCGCTTGTGCTTGAAGTAAGGAATTATAAAGGTACCTAAGGTATATGTACTAAAAGTACCATTCATTTTCGATCATTTATCCAGCCTAATAAATACAGCAAGTAGTGTACTTAAGAGGTACAGCTACACTGCAAGAAGCATCATTATGTCCGTCTTCTCTAAGCCTCTACTAGTAGCTACATCAAAATGATAGCCCTTCTCTCCTTAACATAGGTAAGCGCCCAATTCTCCGTTTTAGAAAATGATAATGGTAGATATGACCATATCAACAATGGCTCCATCGATCTTGTGGTTTTACGAACGCGGATCCGAATACCTTTCCATGACCCAACACTTGGGTTAGGTACCTAAGGTAGATAATCATCAGGCTCCGGCTACCTTTCGGACCCTTGCCCATCTATGTTTCTATGCTATCGTGCTCTTGGTCTTGCATTCTTTCAGCTATATAAGAGACTTTGTAGTTAAGTTGTTCTACCCTGTTACCTTTTGGCTATTAGAGATATTAACTCCTTGCCCCCTTAGACTTGACTTATAACTGCCGGATCAATATCTATCGCTTCCTAGCTAGAGCAAATAAATGAATCCCGTATTTTTGTTCCTGCCGGCGCGTTATCCGAATGCACGTTCTACCGTATATAGCTACCTACAAATCGCATCGTGCATCCATTTTAATTCTATTCCCATAACCGTATTTATCTTGAGACAAATGTTGCAATTTTACTGTTGGCTAATAAATTTCGGCAAATGATGATACAACAACTGTAGCTTTTATTCTCATGTAGCTTCTTATTTGCGGAGTTATTCACATACATAAAAGGAGCTAACAACCAATATAAAAGGCGTCGCTGCAATGGCGTCGTAATGCCCGACTTCAGCTACTACCGTAAGAGATTAGAAAATCATAAGAATCATTATTTACTCAACATGCCTTCTTAGACCCTTTCCAAAGTGAAGCATAATAGTTTCTTCTGAATAATTAATTTTGATTTGAGTCCCCACGAGTATATGCCGTTTGTACTTTTATTCCTTTTTCATCAAGACCTTCCCTACCCCTATAACACGCTTCACTTTCTTATGCGATTGCCCGGGCCTTCTATTGGCTATATGCTTTGCTGCCCAACACATAATTTTCCCCAAGATCTAATAACTGTCTTTCTCTCGCATGGGAAGCGATATGTTGGTGTAAATATTTTCGCTTGCTCGCATTTTCGGATGAATACCTATTTACCCTCGGACCTTTCTCTACTCCTTTCTACAGCAACAAGCGTCATAGGAATCATTAATTATGGGCGACGACTGGTGGGACGACTTCTCCAACAACCTTGCTACAGATCTTGCTCCCCTTATTAGCCTTTTTGGAGAAAATCCAACCAAGCAGTATCTCAGCGAATGCTTAACCATTCTAGATATTGTTATATTCTCTATGGCCCCCCTTGGAATCATTACTGCTGTCGTATCTGCAATTCGAGTATGTGGGACGCCATCTCTTAGAGCTTTTGTCGGAAGAGCTCAAGAGGGAGCAGGTACAGCCGAGGCAGAATTGTGCTCATCTACTAGCCGCGATGTTTGTGAGCTTTACACTAATGGAGGCATTGCTCGTGTTTTCGGTCGTCCTAAGCTACTCGAAGTTGTACACGATCCCAAGTATTCGGGCAATGCATTTCATCCTACAGATGGAAGCAAGCCAACAGCTGGTATATATTCGTTCCAGCAATACATCAAAACAGAGCGCGGAAGACAAGAATGGAACGAGACGCAAAACCGAAATAAATCTGCGGGATCAGACGAGGAGAACTACGTCAGAGCAAAGCCAGCACGCTTTGCACCAAATCCAAATCTGTCTCTCAATATTGGGATCAAGCCATTGAGTCGTAGTTGGTTTATTTTTGCGGCCATACTAGGGATTATGATGCAGTCCTTCGTATTGGTATGGGCAGTTCTCACAAGATACCACTATCAATGGACACGAAGCCCTAATGAAGGTAAACTCTAACTCCTATGTTTTCGTTTTATTTTATTACTAAATATCAATTTTAGACTCCTACGCGGTTCCGTTGTTTGTAATTGGGACGATCTTACTCTGCCTCGGAATAGCATTATGTGCTTACTTGGTCGAAAGCAAAACCAAGGAACATGTATTCGAAAGGAAAGTTAGTCCGAACGTCAAGTCTAGGTTCTATTGGGTCCAACCAGGAAATCAAACGATAGGCGATCAGATGTTTGACCCCTTTGCGTATTCAGACACCAAATTCCCCTTACGGAAATACATCACGTCGTATAAGGACAAAAGGGGAAATGCTACGATGGGCTATATTTGGACCGCAGTCTCATTATCCGTGATAGGGTTTATTTGCCAGTTTTTAGGTCTCAGAGCATGTCACTCATCTGTGTCGGTCCTCCAACTGGGCGTGACTATCATTATGAGCATCGTCCGTGCAGGGCTTAGAACTCAGCGACTAAGGGAGGAGGATAACCTTATAACGGAAGACCCAAACTTCCTCCAGGGGCACGAACTGGACTGGTTGACATTCAAGATTGGACAATCTGATATGCCTTCTATACCCAACACCTGCAAATGGGAGGTTATTAGTACGCCAAGGACAAGTTGCGCAGACATTACTATTAACTCTACCATAAATGCGTCTTCCTATTCCGAAGCCCATAGAAAAAATATATCCTATCTATTAGAAATACTCGAAGGCATTTCAGGCGGTGTGTCTATCCTTTCTGGGTTTCGAATCCAATTACGCAACTGTAATTTCTTGATAGATCATACGAAAATGGCTGAGGAGGAGATTGCTCGGTGGATCTCAGAAAAATACTGCACTAGGCAAACTCAACATAATTGTTCACCTAATACCTGTGATGGATTTGGTCCCAATGCGGCGGTAAAGATGTTCTTTTATAGAAGTCGGCTTGCTCGTATGACAGGACTGGAGGAACCAGTGTCGGAACATAGCAGTCACTGGGGTAATAAACGCGTTTTAGTTCGAGATACGGCCCTAGCTTTGGCGCAAGCTATTGAAGAAACGATGCAAGTTCTCTTTGCCTCAGATTCCCAGCAATCCGTTAAACTTTCTGGATCATGGGGACAAACCTTTCGCTTGTTCTGGACTATCAAGTACTCATGCACATTGGTGGATTCTCCCCTAGCCAAAGATGGAACTATCCAAATGTCGTTGCGAAGAGCAATTAATAAGGACAACCTTCCTGAAGGTCCGTGGAAAGCTGATATATCCGAACTAGAAGCTGTCCTTGGCTTGTGGTTCTGGTCATTAAAACAGCAAGAGCCGCGCGATAGTCAAGATGCAGAAGACGTGGACTTTAAGAAGTTTGATGAGCGTATATGTCGCATTCTCTCGGCTAGTCAAAATATGAAGCATGAAACGGGCGAAAAACTGGATTTGAATCTCTGGAGAGATAAAATGGAGGTATATATACAAAAATGCCGATTAAAGGTACAAGACGCAGATATCCAATCAGGATCCAAAGCAGAAGGAAACGAACACCACATCAATCAAAGCTCGAATTCGGAGCGAAATATCACCCGCGCGGAAGTCGAGAATGGTGAATGGTGGAGGGATAGAGAGCGGAGGAATAGACAAGATGAGGATGATAACTTCGTTCTTGGTGTTGGCAAAAACGAACCCCCTCGCAAATCAGACGACCAGCGACGATTTTTTGGCTGGTGTAATTTGAAAGAGACTTCGCCGTGGAAGAGTCTTGATGCTTTAGTGATGACTTCCGAAAGCTCCCTTTTATTAAATTGCGCGCAGGAAATATATTCTTCATTTTTATCCGCAATTATGACAGCTGTCCAGGATATCGGGAAAATAGAAGCTACGCGACATTCGAATGATATTAAGGTTAAAAATGAGACTGTCGACAAGATTCAGGAGATTCTTGTTAAAAGAGGCCTGTGTGACGCAGAAGATGCTTTCGCATGTACCATCCCGATTTTGAGAAATCAGCATAAGCTTCAACTTCCTGATAAGATCCTTAATGAGATCATAGAATCGGAAAGATTTCGGTTGGATTGGGATACAGATTTCATTGACTATAGACTTCGTCATTCGTATTCAAGTCTAGGATCAATAAGCGAGCAGGAACGATCGTTTGAGGGACTCGAGACTATTAATCGGGTCAGACGAACTTTTATAGGGACCTGCGAAATCTATCGTCAAGCTCTCTTACAAGATGACTACAGAACAACTATGGTCCGCAAAGGAATTGTTGGATTGTTACGACGGTACTCAAGAGACCAAAAAATCATGGCTATCCCACTTGTCTGGATTGATTTTGGGGGTCGCACATATTCAAGTAATCGTCAATCGACACTTAGCCTTGCTGAGACGATTAGATGTTATGCTACCGCTGCCCTGTATCACATACAAAGGGATCTAGCATATTCCGGCTACCAAATAAGAAAGCTACAGACTGAATTAGGAGAGGGAGTCAACCCAAAAATAAAAGCAGACAACCTTTTTCAAGCGATTAAAGAATCTGATTTGAGCGCCACTCTCTATTTTCTGGAACGGGAACCTCTTGACGAGTCATCAAAATCTTCTGCACTTATTGATGCCTGTCAATTAGGCTGGTATATGGTTGTCGACGTCCTGATGAAGCTGGGTGCAGGAGCAGAACAAGATAAAGACAGATTTCTTTATGCCTCCCAAGTCGGAGATATCAACATAGCGAGAAGATTCATTGGAAAGAGAGATATACGACGGCAAGAAGATGACCACGACGATGACGACTATGATTATTGTTGTATGGTCGTTCGCGAAGTAGCAAAACGAGGACATGCTATAATATTCAAAGATATAATACAAACCTGGGGAGACCGGTCAATATTTGATAACGATCAAAAGGGTATGACGCCATTAAGTTTGGCCATCATATCAGGACATTGTCATATCATAAATTTACTTCTCAGCAACGGACTAGCAAATCCAAATGATACGAAACTACCAGCGCTTCATTTAGCCATTGCGGAAGGAAAAAAGGACGTAGTAGAACTGCTTTTAAAATTTGACGAAGTTGATCCAAACGATGACAGGTATCTCAACACACCACCTCTAGCATGCGCGGTTAGAGTTCAAAACGAATCTATCTTTGAGAAGATCCTAAGCACCCAGAGAACTAACCCAGATTATAAGGACTATATGTATAGGTCGGCTCTTTGGTGGGCAGCGGCTCTAGGTCTTGACTCTTATGTCCAAAAGCTCCTCGACTCTAGAAAATTGTACCGTCCGGACTTCAAGGATGCGGAAGGTGATACACCACTCTCAATCGCAGTGCAAGCAGGTCATCGAGGGGTGGTTGACCTGCTACTTAAGATACCGGAAACTACTGTCAGCTTAGAAACGGTCGTAATTGCTGGTAAAAAAGGCTATCAGGATCTTGTTGAAAAAGTCCTGCCGCGAAGTGTAAAGAAAAAAAGCGATGCAAAGCGATTGTTGGAAGAGTACCAACTGGGAGATATGTGGCATAATATCGAAAACAATATATCATGGGACGCATCACATAAGGATGAAAGGGAAATCGATTGGGATAGGTTGAGAGAGAAAATGGAATCTGGATTGCAAAATCTGGACTATACTTCACGGTTGGCTGATGAGCCATTCGATATCATACCTGGCTATATGCCTATTATTCGAAACTCGGCTGAGAATCAGGGACGTACTTCATTCATGGGAGAGGCTCTAGATAAGGAGGAATGATGTTTAAATCATCTTTGGAAGTACATTAATGCAATGCGTTAGACATCAAATATTTTGAATGTAATCCCAACTAAGAAAGGACCACACTTAGGCACATGATGTAGCATTATCATAGAAAGGGAGAAACAGCACCAACTCAAAGAGCATGGCAATCTCACATGCCGCCATGCACATAACCTTGACGGATTCAGATACCACTGCTCAATCTATATATGCACTTCCTCGATCTGTAGCGTAGCGCGCTTGAATCTAACACGGGATTCTTCAAGACGGGCCTTCCAGACCTCCTTTAGCGATTCCTCACTCTTGCCCTCGAGTCGTATAACTTCTTCCTCCGGCATCCAGGCACTCTGCATGGCATCATAGTCTGATCGTTCGGCTGTGACGCACAAATCGAATTCAGGGGTGAGGTACATATAGCCGCGGTAATTGCCCAAGCGTATCGCGAACATCTCTTCGCAGAGATCTATCGCTCCCTCAAGGAGACCCACCTGCCAATCGAAGAAATCTTCCGTGCCGACTCTTGTTATGATATCTAGAGTGGTAGACAATCTGTCCATACCAAAGTGTACGCGAAAATTGATGTGGCCGACTAGGTCGGCTAGTATTTCTTTGTGGATGAGAATGGATTGTGCCGCGGGAATATACGGGTCTCTGAAGTCTTGTGGGATCGTGCGAGTTACCTCGATAATTTTCCAGATTCGTTCCCTTTCGAAACGACTCCAATGCATAATCTTCTCCACCCATCCGAATCGCCCTGCGGCAAGATCAACAGCGAATATCTCTCCGGATGGGAGTGTTAACCGAAGAACACTGTGGGGGTCCATCATGCTGGACTTTTCTATGCCATTTTCGAATTTGCGGCAAAGTGGACGATCGGCGTTCTTGACGAGGATGGTGACTATCTTAAAGTCTTGACATAGGTCTATAAGTCGTTAGTATGTTTAGGTAGTTTTGTGAATAACTTCAAAGAGAGTCCAGCTTGACTTACCATCTAAGAACAATACCTTTAACGGGCCAATCAAGTACATCATCTCCCGGACATACTGATCACTCTGGACCATTACTGCATGTCGATCTGTAGAGAATCCGTCAAAGGGAAACGGACGCGTCATGTAGGAACCAAGCATTCCCAATAGATACGGCTTATGTTCTTTCAACATCGTCATGCCACGTTCTTCCCAGCATGATCTAAACAGAAGATTGGTTGCTTTAGCTTCCATGATGCGAAATAAGCTATCCATGAAGGACACAGCTCGCATGAGCTGTTTGCGATTGACACATACTGGCTTATGGGTCGGCCAGTCTAATTCTTGGCATCTCCGGCTACAATAGGTTGTGCTCATGATAGTCTGAGCACCCCTTTTCAATAGACAGTCGCCGCAGGTTAGAAATAGTTTCGAAGCACCACATCGGGCACATTGTCTGGTCGGCGATGCTGGGGAATTCTGGGAGTTCTGGGAGTTCTGGGAGTTCTGGGAGTTCTGGGAGTTGTAGAAGTTAGAGACTGGAGATGTTTCATCGAGGTCGTGTCTATCATTGGTGCTCCCATCGTTATTGCCCCTATCATTATCGTCACTTCCATTGCTGTCTGGAAAGTTGTCGCTCCTACCATTGCTAGCTATACTAATAGCGTCCCCACCATTATCGCTCTTACCATCGGCGATCTCGTTATAGTTGCTGCTTCCGTCGGCGATCCCGCTGAAATCACTCCTTCCGTCGGCGATCTCTCTAGAATCGCTCCTTCCGTCGGCGATGCTGGTATTTTCGGTCCCATCATTGTCGTTCCTACCATTCTTGTCTCCGCTGTGATCGGCCTCAGTATTCAGTGCTGCTAGCTCTTGTATTTTCCTGCCCTGGTATATCCATTTGCACGCCGAAAAGAAATCTTCTTCATAAGGTCCTGGGTAGTAGGTTCCGGCATGAATTACCATGTGAGATAGGCGTTCAACAAAGGCAACATGTAGACTATGGTTACATGCGAGAACTTGGTGGGCGACCGTAATGAAGGTCGAGAAATGTGGATGATTTAGGGGAGAAGAAGCTGCCTTTTTCAAGAAATTACGTAGAACTCGTCGATACTTGGCATCCAGCTCGTCTACATTGCTGGAATAATTCCTATCATTTTCCAGTGGGTCTCCCAGATTTCTGATCAGCTCTTCTATTGAATTTGATGGGGTGGGGCTGATGTTGCAGTCGTAGAGCTCTCGGCAAAGAACTTCCATGATGAGAGTGTTATATTAAAGGTATTTTGAAGAGGCAAAAAGGGTGTGGCGACCATAGAGGAGAATGAACAAGGCAAGAACACAATTAGGCCACTAAGGGACTCCTGGGTTGGAATGTGCGTCCTTCTATCATCGGTTAGTGATGACACCAGGCACGATCGCATGATTGCATTGTTTTCAACTTGCCTGTTGGTGCTTGGGATAAAAACCTAGACGAAGGAGTCGTCCACGAGGAGAAAATGAGGGTGACTGAAAGTGATAGAGTACAATACCAGGTCCAACAGGGAGATAATGGTTGAAATGTAATAGAATATGTGGTAATACAGGGCTTGACTCAGTAGAGAAAGGCAAAGGTTGAATTGTTACCTTTCTGTTTGATGGGAAAGAAAAAGAACGTGGTTACCAAATTGTCGTTGTAGAAGCTTCTATCGTTACTGTCGCACCGAGAATTTTAGAAAACGTGGATGCCTATTTGGTCGAAGTCGCGTCTTGACGCGTTATGCCCCTATTTTGAGGCATCCCGGCCCAGTAGCGCGCCTACCTAGCAGAGCTAAACTATTCATCCAATACAAAGAGTGGTCAAAACCTTATTTTTATATACCTGAGTATCTAAGACATGTGAAGCTATTATGAATAATAAGTGTCACTTGGGTGCATGCCTTATTGGTGCTCTTTAATAGGCATCTGGTACCTTGCAGACCTAGAAATTTTTGAATGTATAAAAGTTGGCCATGGAGTTAATAGTAAACTTATTGTCGTGTCTTTAAATAACTGAAACATTTATGGCAAATGGGTTTTGGTTGTATTATATTAATAGTTCAGTTGTAATTATGTTTTTAGCATTTAACTATGACGTTTCATACGTTGATAGTGTCGTGTCTTGAGTTCCTTCTTATATACTAACACCAATAATACAACATAGTAAATGACACCAAGCTATATATACTCCCTCCATTACTAGATAGTTAGGTTGGAATAATTTGTAAAGTAGGTAACTAGGCGGCATTCTAAAACACATATACCCGGGGGGTTGCTTAGGTAGATATAAGACAATAACATAAGAGTATTAGATAGTTCAAGTTAGAAATTAGTTTACAGCCATGACTCTTTGAATTAAGAAATACTTCAGTACTCAAGGCATATGAACTTCTGTTTTCTTCTTCTTGTTAAATGAGTGCTTAGACAAACACTTGTAAAGAATATACTTAGATCAGCTTTGGGATTGAGATATAAAGGGGTGAGTTAAAATACTATAAAAATATATGATTATTATAGCAATAACTAATTGATATAGTAATGACAAACTGATAAATAAATAACATGGAATCTCTCACGTTTATACACTTAGACTATAGCTTAGACTATTATTTACTCAATCACTAGCACCTATCAATGCGAGTCTTTGTCATAACTGGCTCCTAAATATCTTGTAAAAAGGTAGAATTATACAACAATCTTCACGTGTGCGTAATATAGAATGTTATATTGGAAGACTACCTTATTTATAATCTAGTCAGAATCCCTTTTGTCAATCAGTATAAGCTATGGTGTTAACAGTGAAGACTGTGTTACACGATATAGAGGTTATTGGAATAATCTATAGCTGCATCTCTGCTACTGTTTCTGTGTACATGACGGTGAATATGCATAGCCTCCTAGAAACCCTCTTGTTTAAAATTTACTGAAAAGAATAATTTGATCAAGCACCTCCATCGTATGGCATTCAACAACTACGTCTTGAGAGGTATACTATCTGTCAGATATTATACCCTTAATTTATGTTATACATAAATTGAATATCATGATATATAGATTGAACTAGTAACGTCTGCTTTTCTACACCTTTACAAGGGCGTTACGTAGCCCCTATAGTAGATATACCCTTGTAACTACCCCTAACCCACTTATACCCCAACACCCTCAGAATAGACCGAAGTGAGAATATACTCTGATTCCAACCTTATATCAAAGGACAAGAAGACCTCTCAAGATATATTATAAGTCTTTAGTAGCCAATAAAGTATAAATATGGTAGATATGTCGCCCCCCTAAAGTCCATCTCATTGTTAGTTAAGCCATCGATCCCAAAAACATTCATCTCATACATCTTCAAAAGACCACCCAGTTCAACGCTAATTCAAATCATTTGGGTAACTCAAAATGTACTTCTATGAAATTGCAGTTATTATACTTTTAGCACCTATTACTCTCTTGACAATACTACAAAAGGAAACTGCTATTGACCACTACGAGTTCACTTCAAGGGCCAATTTGATGAGAATAAGAATAAGACTTCTAAATGCAATATCTCTGACAAGGTGTTTCTAGCACAATAGCGATTATGTCTCTAGTTGTGGTGATGAGTGGGTACCTGTAGACGATTTTCAGGACGAACATTAATATTGGCTTGGGTAAAAAATACCATAGACTAAACTAGTACACTAAGGGTGAATCTACTATGACCAAACCTACTACTACGCCTTGCCTGGTAAAAAGTAAGCTTAGTTGATATGAACTATAAGGTTATTGGAGACATTGGTGTCTTGAGTTAATATTAACCCCTTAACATTCTGGAAGAGTGGCGTATTTTGTTAATTACCAAGAAATTAACCTTCTCTAGTTGAGAGACATCAATCGATGTGTACCTACTGTTGTTCCATTGGCCACGCTATACTCTTATAATATTATAAACTTGTTTAACTATTTTTAACTTGTTTATATTGGATGTAATAGTGTAAGAGATAATCGGTCATACTATTCCTGAACGCACAATTTACATAGGAGGTTATAGTACAGGTACCTATGCAGAAATTATTGTTACTGTACGTACTCCTTTATTTGTAAGGTGCTTTCTTTCAAACGGTTCATGCTGTATTTTTTAACTATAAAGCGAGATGTACCTGTCCTGTTCAGTGCCTACACTCTTACTACAGATACGGATTTATAGCACGACTAAGTTCTTACGACCAGGGGGAACGGCATGAACCAACTATGACTTTAATATACTAGACTGTTACCTTGTTGTCGGTGTATTTTGATGAGAATATCCTTCTACCTATATACTCCCCTGTTCTTTTATCCCCTAGGCTTGTACATAGGCTTGCACATTGTGAGCCATCTAGGGACATACAGGGTCAAACTGGACGTGGTTATCATCGGCGTCAAATACCCTTAAGCCTGCCAGTGATAACCCCTCTGAATGTCAACAGATAGTTCACGTTAAGAGGAAAATCAAACACTACAAAACGGCCTAGTGGTCGCATGCGCATGAAAAGAACATCATGAACTTCTCTCAAGGTTTAGGGTTCAATTCATGTGTTTAGCAAAAATATTTTCATTAATTCTGGGATGATGAGAACTGAATCGTGTGGAGCTTGATGTTATAGGGGTACCAAGTGGTAGCCCCCAGCAATGACCAACATATCTGTTTTTGACCAGAATTAAATTTTTTTCTGATTCTCCCCGATCATAAGTTAGATGATGAAAGTACCTAACCTAGGTGATTATGAGTTCGATAGTTCGACGATACTGTAATGATAAATGGTGTTTCTGTGTTTTCCATTTTTACAGCCACTTGTGTTCCATGAAACTATTCATCCGACTAACTAAATTCTTTTCTACTCCATGTGTTTCTCATTGACTTCCGTTTACGTGCTTTGTTTTATCTCCTTATGCTTTCGTTTCAATTCCTTGTAATAGCATATCTTAGTCTTTCTGACTTAGCTTACCTTTACGTGATGTCATATTCTTTGTGCTAATAGACGCCCGTTTGAGACATACTGATTAGATAGCGGTGCTTTAACCATTCATTCTGTCGCGATTATAGCCACACCAAAGTATTTTCGGAATATAAAAAATAGGCAGGTGTTCGAAGTGGCACGACGAAGGAAATGAAAAAAAAAGAGCCTCGATTTTAGGGTGCTATATAAATAGGATGATTCCATAGATCTTATCTATGGAATCAAAATAGAATAGTGTTATCTTCCCGCTACGATGAGACCAAAGGGAGCGCTTGGCACTTAATGTGCCACGCGGCTCACGTAAGAAGGATCCCGAATTAGACGCGGGTTGGTTAACATATACTATTTTGTCGTTAAGCAGAGGTATTCCATCTTCTTGGCAATTATTTGAATAGGAAGCTCGTGTGTTTAATGAAGTGAGAGTCGTATTGGGTATGCATCATACTATGTATAGGGCTACGGTTGAATTTGGACTGGCGAGAAATACGACCAAGGGCATGGAACCATGGGACCAATCAAAATTGGTGACGAGAATTACCTAGGATCTCTCTATCTTCGTGTATCGTATGTAGTACCGTAGTAGCATCGCAATTTTGTACTTTATGGGGAAAGGTATTGTTACATGTGTATGCGCCTTGTACTGCTTGTGCTACCTTGGTTTTGTTAGGTTTAGATATGCTTGTGATATGTTTAGGCAGTTAGTTAATTCAAATTAATCTTTATGTATCCCTTGCTGTTATTAATATTGTCAAAGAAAACTGCATGCCCTTATGCATGAAGTGTAGCGCTCAGCTGATGGAACGGCGTGGGGTTAAGTGGTCACTAAGTCTACTTTAGTATCGGTCAAATTATTAGTGGCGTACTTCTTACATATACCTATTCCTTGGTGGCCGAAGAGCTTGAGATGTTGCGGCTTTGGATTAGGTACATACCAGCATACCTGTCTTGGGACTTGTAACTGGAAGATACATTTTTAAAAAGGAGGGTCTTCGACGCACGCGGCCAAGGCGGCTCTGATGCGGAGAAGAACGTAATTTCCCAGGTACACCGCTGGACCAATGCTGGTAGTATCCAAGCATCTAATGGAAAGTCTCCAGAAAAAGAATGTACAGATCGGGTAATACATACAGATTAAGGTTGACAGTTAGCACCAACTCTGGGCAAGTAAGGCAAGTACATAGGTGCATTAAAAAAATACATGACCTACATAGGTAAGTACGACTGTAGGGATGGTTGCACATTCATTCCCTATTAAAATCCTCGTTGGCCCCTAGTTAGTCTTGGCATACTAGGATCTTTCTTTAGGATTACCAGTCACTTCTATCTGATACGTACTATACACGAAAGACCCAACCAGCATCTAGGAACAGAACTGACCAAAGAGAGGCAAAAAAAAGAAGAGACTCTATCGCCATCCATCCCTCCAAACAACATCCTATCGTCTTGGCATTTCAAAAATGACGATCTTAGCTTTGGGACACGAAGGTTCTTGGCATTCTTCTTGGCAAAACGACGGAAAAGACGGCATTATGTTGCATGTCTAAACAACTAGATAAAAATAGGAGACCCGTCTTCCATTTTCTGTTTGACGCTTTTCTTCCCTCCTGTTCGCCACAACCCGCCTGAAGAAGTCCACCAACCTTTCTTAATTCCGTCTCGATGGGCTTTGGTCGTGTATCTGTATGATATCGCAATAGCTGTCTTCTCTCGCTCATTCTTATTCATTCCTTCATTTAGCTCACACTTTTTATTTTCCTCACCCCTTGCTCTCCTTTTTTTTTAATCTTTATCGAGACGGAGCTTACGCGTCCATTACAACGTGCTAATCGCATTGTGGGGTAGCGTAGTGGACAACTGCATTGACTTTTTTCCCCCTTCGCTTCTTGACGGCGGTTGATCTGTTGCGCGCGCGCAACCACAAAGGTCTCAATGGGGTGGATTACAGATCAGTATTCTTTTCCTCGACAGCTTGCTTCGAGTCGATACGTCGCGATGATCCTGTCACGAAGACGCTCGCTATTATTCCTAGGTCTACCATTATTTTTAATAGGTTTGTACTCTTTTGATGAGGCTTAAGTCATGCATATTTTGCGACTAACCGAATTCGTAGTCTTGCTTTTTTCTGGTAGTGTCAACGTCGATAATGAATGGGGACATAAATTAGATAGCATAGGGGACAACTTCAAAGCTGGTGTTAGCTATGTAACTGGTAACGGTACCGTTCAAATATCTTATCCTTCGACCAACGCGCCCCACAATACTTCTTCAACTTTTTCATCTCTTACTCCCTTCCCGAGCGAACTATCTAGCGGTGCCACCAGCACTACTGTAAGGACAAAACCGTATGCCCGACCTGGTTATGAATTACCACTTGCCAATGGAGTACCACTTCGTATCATGGCGCTTGGTGCGTCAACCACTCGTGGTGACAGTCCCGAGGAGGGAATCGATAACAACGGTTTCCGCCGACCTCTCCGTGAAAAGCTCACAGCTGTCGGCAACAAAGTTAACTACGTCGGAACTCAACGTCTCGGAAATATGACTGATAACGATATCGAGGCTTATCCTGGTGTTGTTACTGCGACTATCCACGGAAATGCTAGAAAAGCTGTTCCCAAGTCGATGCCTAATCTCTTCCTTGTCAACGCTGGATCCAACGACTGTTTCCAACATGTTGATATTGACAACTTCTACAAGCGGTATGATGCCCTAGTCCGCTACCTTCTCGACGCTTCACCAAGGTCCACCATTATCATGTGCACCATCCTACCTACTTGGGACAAGCGATTCAACGGTAGAGAGGAAGTCTGGAAGGTCAACCCGCAGATCCGGAGGCTAGCCAAGATTTATAAACAGCAGGAGCTACCGGTAGTTCTCGCGGAACTGCAAGGTCCTGACGGAATCCAGGATGGAAATCTGGCTTCTGATGGCATGCACCCCGGCACTGCCGGTTACGAAATGATGGCTACCAAGATGTACGAGGCTATTCTAGAGGCGGATGCCAGAGGCTTTTTACAACCGCCAGAGCCTGTACAGGGAATTCTTGATGACGGCGATGAGGAGCGAAAGGACGAAGACTACAAGAAGTGGGTAGAGCGGAAGAAGAAGATGGACAATGCGACGGCAACTGCCGAGCAGAAGGAAATTGAGAGGATGCTGGCCGAACTTGCAAAAATGAAGAACGAGAAGGACAAGCCAAAGCAAAAGGAAAAGAAACCCAAGAGCACCAAATTACGGCGGCGCCCAAAGATGCTGTTCTAGTTAGCTGATAAAGCAGGTTCTTAGTTCTTGGACACAACTGGGCAATTTTTATTATTATCGGTCTTGCCCATACGAAGTAACGGCCTCCTCACTGTTATCATACACTAAATACCATGTAGACTATGTATCTATTAATCATGCCCAAGAAGGCTAAGATTTTAATTGTCACCGTTTCTCTATTATTTATGTCATGGTGTTGCATAGTAGTAGTAGGGACCTAGGTATGTTCGTGTAACTTAGTATTAATTCCGATAGTTACATTTGAATCTAACTTCTTACTGCATGCAAGCTGGATCGATATTCTCTGGAACAAACACGAGTGAAATACGGCTCGATATGTCGATCGAGTATGTAGGTAGTATTCGGATTAGGCATGTTTATATGTACCTAACGTATGTATGTACATACCGTCGTGTGGTGTGAACTCTAATAATAGCTGAGACTGCGATGGATTGGTTACTGTGCCACCAAATTGAGTTTTGAGTTTTGGGATTTTAGTTTAGCGAAGATTCTATATTCGGGCCGCCGAAAGCTTACCATCCAGTCGGTGAAATTGGTAGGAGCTTTTTTTTTAAGGTTGAGCTTACACTAGTGGGAAGTATGGAAAGTTCCAGGTGCCAGGCTAGTCCCAGATTCTAGCGTTTCTTCCGGCTTGGTTAAGTCCGGATAAGACAAAAAGCTGCAGCTCAACCCACCTCGATCGCCGTCTCCTGCCACCTGACTAAACTCTTGGCTCGGAGGTCAATGCGAACAGCTACGCGCGCCATACATAGACGTGGATCGCGAACTGTAACCTCCGCAAATTTGTGCAACGCCCGCTTATTATCGTGATACATTGTTGTTAATGTCTTTAGCCTCATTGCATTGAGTTATAGTTGTGAGACAAGACATGTGATTTCGGGGAACGAATTAATCTTTTAGAATTATAGATATTTACTAACTAACTAATTAATATTCGATAAGTAATGGCGATTCGTTTGCGATAATTCCACCCCTGTTTTCCTCTATCCGCACCGACTCTTGTGTAATGGCTAGTCAAGCCAGCGTAGCAAGCAGCCAACCCGATCCACGACAGTTGAGACTTATTGCCGCTGCAGCTCAAGCCAACGAAGCCAGACTCCGCGATATCTTGGCCGAAGACCCTTGGACATCTAGTAACGATCAAGACGCGCTTCGCCAATCCCTTCAGAAAGCTGCAGCTCGCGGCAAGCTCTCCATCATCCAGCTTTTGCTCGAGTACGGTGCCGAGGTAAACTCAAAGCGAGAGAATGAGATTCCTGCTTTAGTAAAGGCTGCCGAAGGAGGACATGCGGATATAGTGGCTGAGTTGCTGAAGCACAATGCCGACCCGAATGGGCGTAATCGCAATGCGCAGACCGCTCTATTTAGCGCCTGCTTGAAGGGTTTTAATAAGGTAGTCGAGACTCTATTAGAAGGGCGTGCGAATGTTGAAGCCCAAGATAAGGAAGGGCGAAGTCCCTTATTATTCTTAGCTTCGGAAAAGCCTGGGAAGGGAAAATGGACAATTGACACCTTGAAGCTACTCCTGAATAATGGGGCGAACCTCGAGGTGAAGGATCAGATTGGTCGAACGCCGCTATTGTGGGCTGCAACTAACGGCAATGTTGAACTTGCTCATATCTTGTTAGAAATGGGCGCCGACATCGCGGCTACGAACAACCGTGGGCGAACTGCCTTACATCTTGCTGCCGAAAGTCACCACAAGGAGCAGCACCAGGATATGGTTAAGTTACTCCTTAATTATGGAGCTACTCCTCGTGCTGTTAGTGACGGTGGTTGGACGCCCCTTCATAACGCTGCGCAGAGCGGGTATGCACCTGTTGTTACCTTGCTCTTAGAAGCTAATGCTGATATAAACGCTGAGCTCTCCAATGGGATGACACCTTTACACTGGGCTGCTTTTAACGGCTTTGAGGAGATTGTGCAGCTCTTATTAACTCGGCCGGATGTTGATCTATCTATCAAAGATAGCTTCAACCGGACAGCCATGCTTTGTGCCGCTGAGAAAAACCACCCCGAGATTGTTCAGCTGCTCTCGCCTGCGCGAGCTGCCGACCGCCTATCTCCTATCGCGCGTCGGGCATGCCAAGCTTTCGAAGCCACTGTCGTAGACTTCGGCCAGTTCGAAAAGAAACAACTCGTATCTAAATATTCCGTATACGATCTCCTATACGGATGGGATTCCGAGAACGACAAACCAAAGATTCCTACGTTAACAAAGAATATCAAGTATAAGCCAGATTTTAGATGGATCCATCTTCCTGCGAATAATGTATAATTTAATCGAGTCTCCCCGTTATAACAGATAGGACTAACACGACATTATAGATTGATTGGGTTGAGGTACTTGATTTCTCCCTTATGTGGTATTTTAATCGGCTCACGCTTCAGCAGACACTTCTTGCCAAGTCCTTTATTGAGGCAGGACATCGAGACATTGAAGCGTTTAAAGCGCTGGAGAAATGCTTCGACCAAGAGCATCGCGGGGAACTTCCACATGCCCACTTTATGAGGACGAACTCGCATCGTATTACCGCGCATCGGGTTGGTTTCCAAGATAAAAGGGAGGATAAATCAACCCTTGCCCCCTTATCTGAGGAACCGTCGGAGGTTAGTACGAGATCGAGTCAGAGCGGAGACTCAAGCCCTAAGCAAAATGACTATTTTGAGGATGATATGCCTTCTAAAAAGAAAGGCAAGTCTGAGCAGATCATGGAGCGGCATCCTAAGAAACATAAACGGGCTAAAGGAGCCCCGGGTAATCCATCGCATCGACAAGATAGTACCACGAGTAACTTGAGCAGCAAGTCCCAAGTTCCACTGGCCTGGGGTACACCAGGATTTGCCCCCTCGAACGGAAAAATCGTCTTATTCGTAAGCATCTCATTTCATGCTGACGAAGTTGCGTAATTAAACTAATTTGCGAAGATGCCATTCCTACATTACGAGACAGATGAGCGGCGGCAGAAAATGAGCAATGCTATCAAAAACGCCCATGAAAAGCGACGGCTCGTCGATACCTCCCGAGATTCACTCATCATAAATGCATATCTGCATAACAACCCGCCTCTCCACCCGCGGCGAACCCTCGACCAGTTCTTTTACCACGGTATCGACACGTCAGCGAGAGACACGGATCAAGTGGTTTATCGGTATTGTAAAAGGTACTTGTTAGAGCCTAAGGTATTTATGGTTGACCAGCTGTGGCTCTGGGTTATTGGAAAGGGTAAGCCGCGTCTGGAATACTAGTTAGGATTATGACTTATTCTTCTTAGATCTTATCATTACGTGCTTCCCTCAACGCTGGGATCAACCTAAGCAAGATCCTTTAAATGTTTTGGATGGGATTATAGAGGAAACGAATGCTAAGACTCGGCCGCCAATTGGATCTGTGTGGTATGTATACAGTTTCACTCCTGAAATTCTCCCGGTTTTATTTTTGGAATAGGGGCTAACAAATTGCCAATAGTATGTTACTATGCCCTTCTCTTGTATTTCCTATACAATCAACATATTCTGCCCACCCACTTTAAAGGTATAATTTTTAAATGTTTAGTAGGAACTAACATATACTAGATGATTTGGCAATGCTTATAACCAGTCGTTGTTCCGGGACATTTGACCGGCACCGGCTCGACGATCAGGACTTTCAGTTTTTGGACATGTTTGAGAATTCTATCGGTGTCGTCACAGATCGGGAAAGCCAGCTGTTTAGCCGCTTTAATCGGGCCTCAGCGCAATCGGCACGGTGGCTTCAATACCATCGTCGTCAGCGTAGTATTGGCAGGCCGGCTCGTCTGTCTTCGTTTGGTACGTCGGATCCGTACGAAGGGAACAGTGCAGACCAGTTCCCGGACGCGCTGCTCGATATCGGTGTAGAGACGTCGCTTTTGGCCGAAATTAAGGACATTCGTGACGAGCTGAGCATCATCGCCGTGCTCTTGGATTCGCAGGTAGCCGCGCTCGCCGACTTCGAGGACCAGGTAACGGAGGAGTTGCGCAGCGAGGGTCCCAACCGTCGCGCCACCGACAATGTCGTCGCTGAGATTCGCAAGCGTAGCCGGGAACAGCTGCGGGGTCTCGAGGTACGGCAGAAGGACGTCTGGCGTATGGACCAGCAGGCCGCCTCGCTCTACGACAACCTCACCGACCTGCTAGACCTCAAGCAGAAGCACTCGAACGCACTCGAGGCCAGATTTGCGGGCGATCAAGCTGTCATCGCAGCAAGGCAGGGTCAGACTATAATGGTATTTACGATCGTCACCATCATTTTCCTGCCCATGAGTTTCATCGCCGCATTCTTCGCCATCAACCTCCAGGAATGGCAAGAAGGCACCGCGCTGACGATCCCGTACGTGAGCAAGTACATGTTTGGGATCGGCCTAGGCGTCAGCGTGCCGCTAATTGCCATGGCGTTTACGGTCACAGATATCTCGGACGCAGCGAAGGATATCTTCGGCGCAGGGAAGAGATGGCTAAGCAAGAGGAAGAGGCGGCTTTTAATAGGAGAGGAGAAACGCGATGAGGATGTGGTCCCGGAACAGGAGACGTATGTCCCGCCGACAAGTTCGATATCGCTATCGCATCGCGAGCGTGGTGGACTAGGTAGGGAAATACAGACGGATGGACTGTCTGCAAGGACAAGGCCGAGACATAGTCGCGAGCGTAGCGATGAATACGGATACTACGCGGCAGCGAGATTATCTCCCTCATCGGGACGGCGTGGATCCGGCGCCCCGCGCAAGGTTAGCTTCGGCGACGCGAATGGAAACGGTCATGCGACGGGAGCTCCGTGGACACGGCCTAGTCTTGATCGTAGCCGTGGGAGATTAAGCGAGGATTTGGAGAAGGGGCGGTATGCGTATGGATGAATTGTGAGATGAGATGGGATGTGAAAATTGGATATGAGCACAAGTATGCTGCTTACATAGTATGATTACGAATGAGTGGTAAAATGGGTTAGACTTGGAAAAGTATGCGATAACTTATACCCCAGTTGAATTCCGGTTCATAGATAAAATCATGATGCATTGGTTAGATTTGGAGGATGATGAACGTCTATATAGGTATTGGACAACTGCGTACATCGTAGATATAGTATCATTATGAATTGAAGTTATAAAGCCATATAGCCAACCATTATACTATTAATCATACGCTCAATTTGAGTCTATACAATTTAACAATTGAAGATCAATTAAAAATAAAGACCCATCTCATGGGATGAGACGAAAAAAAAGCAAAAGAGATGCATCAGCCGCGAATCGAACGCGGGGCCCATCGATGGCAACGATGGATTTTACCACTAAACCACTGATGCCGGTTGATTGGTTTATATCAGTTAAGCGACTATCTAGTATATATATAGCATCACCTTATCTATCAGCACCACTATAGATAAAAGTGGAGTTCGAAATCGACCATCTCCCAATCAGATAATCAGAACGGTCTCTCTCTTCAGGACTCCTTACACACATCTACACGAAGCCCAGCGTGGCGAGAATACATTCCAGTTTCACGTAAATCTGAAGTTTCTTAATTTCTTCAGAAGGATATACTATCCCATAGATTTTATCATAGCCAGGGGAGTTGAAAAAAATAAAAGGCAAAAAATAAAACTATGAGCATCAGTCCGAACTTCCCAAACGCCGCTTCCCCTATGCCCCCGGCGGCTCCGCCGTCGCCTCCCGTGTCATCGGCTTCGTCGCCCGCCGCCCCGTACATCAAGCCCCAGCCGCGGCCGCCCAGGTCACCCGCGCGCGCCGCGCAGATCAGGGTGCAGAACCGGCGGCGCGAGTACCTCGATCGAAATCCGGGGTACTTTAATTCGCTGGAGCATGAGCTTGCCGGTATGTGTTTTGTGTTTTCTTATTCTTCTCACCGTGTTGATTTTCTGAGGGAAGGGGGTTTTTTTTTGTTGCTCGGGGTACCGAGAGATATTCACTGCACGTAGCTAACTTCAGGTAGACCCCATACTGTATGACGCGCTCATACGGCACTTCCAATCGCCGGCTGAGCGCGAGAAAGAAGGGCGCGAGAAGGGATACTCGCGGATATTAGAGGTAGACCTTTTGCGCGGCGAGGCTAAGCTGGCGCAAGTTACTGCCTCTTCCCAGGAAAGTGGTCTTCCCGCGGAACCTTCAACAGCAGGGCGACCGTCTTGGCTCCCGAAACCGGCGGCGGAGGATACCGACCCGTTTATTCGGGAGTATGCTAACGGGGGCGACGGTCTCGGCGACGATGGCAGTGGTACTAGTGTTAGTGGCGACGGCGGTGAAACGAAGTTGAAGGGGCTGCCCCGGCGGCCGGAGACTAAGGAGGAGGGGCGTGGGCGGTGGGATGATTTTCTGAGACGCCGGTTCGTGCTGGGACGAGATGAGGACTTTGACTACAGTGCTGTGGATGAGAATGATGAGTTCGACGTGCTTGAGCGGCGCGAGCAGGAGGAGGCGTGGTTTGATGATGAGGATCCTGATTGGGCGAGTGATTTCGTCGAGGATCAGGGGGGTGGTGGCGGGAAGGCAGGGGAAAAGAGGCTTGAGGGGGAAACTGGAATTCAGGATTTCTGAGTAGCGGCTGGTTCTCATCGTATAGGCTACGGTGTCATCGGAACACTAGAACGTAAACATGACTGCGATAAGACATGGCGAACCAAAACGTCTGTTCTTATGGGACAATGAAGACGGGTAAGATATAAGGGGAAATAGCGGTACTCTCGAAGCTAGCCGGTTCTTAACAGTTCTATCGGAATATGGTGTACGCTCCTGTTTACGTATCAGATAGTAGAGCACATGTGGATGAGCTACGACAAATCTCCCTGAGCCTCGCCATTGGGCCAATGGTCTATAACCATCGGCTTCGAGCTGCACAAGCGATGCCGTGGAGGAAGCCCGTTTATACCGCCTCAAAGAACATCAGTTAGGGAATGGTTCAAAGGGTAAGGACATTAGCCTCCATGTAATCATAGCTAGGCACTAAACTACCTCAACTACTATCTGGTTCCAAATATGGGTTTGGCGTTTGGGGAAAAGGACAAAGCAATAGACCAAAGTCGTCTTATAGAGATCAGATATTCTAAACACACATCAATGCAACACTATCTAGCTACCTGATGTATCTAGTCTAATTCAGGTACAGGTAGATGATCGACAAGCTTTAACTGTAGACCAAGCTGCGCAAGGGCCTTTACTGCGTTCTCGTCCCTTAGTCTTTCTGTTTCCTCTTTCGTCGTTAATACAAAGTCATGTTTCAGTAGTAAACCCCCTTCCTTAAAATCATATTCTTTCGCTGTTGCCGCATCAGCCTTCTCGAAGTCTATAATTAGACTTTGCTTCACGCCGAATACTGCGTCTGATGTCTCGTATGGATCACCGCGCGCATAGAGTGCCCTGGTTGCGAGATTCGTTAGTTTTTTCAGTGGTGGTAAGAGATACTCCAACTCTTCCATAATAAAGTATTCAACTCACGTAATTAAATGATCCCATCCCTCCTTTTCAAACATGAAATGCAAATGCGCGGGCCTCCAGCAATGTCTGCCTAGTCTCTCCAGAAGTTTCCCCACGGGGCCATCGTGCGGGATGGGGTAGCTCACGGGCTTGATCCCCTTAAACCAGAAGCGACCTTCGCTATCGCTTACCATAACGCATCTTTCACTCGGCTCCCCGCGATTGGAGTGCTGCACGTCATAGTGTCCACTGCTGTCCGTCTCCCATATGTCAATCTTGACGTCTGCCACGGGCCTCCCCGCCGTATCCTTTACAGTGCAGATACACAGTAGCGGTTCGCCCTCGGGGTCCGATGCCATGTTCGACCCATTGGGCAGCGTCGGTGCGTCATGCGTGTGGAAGGGTCCTAGAACGGAGCCCTCGGTTGACGACGGCGGTTTTGGGTGATTGATACTGTCGACTAACAAGGAGAGACCTAGGATATCGGAGAGCAGGATGAATTCCTAAATCACCACACCATTAGTATTCTTACCGATAGTCTAGCTCCTCAAAAACTAAAGCATACTTACATGGCGCACATCGCTACTAATCTGTCCACAGCCCACGAGGAAATTGAGCGCTTCCATCCACTCGTCTGTGCTAAGCCGCGTCTCCCGAGCAAAGTCGTGCAGATGCGTCACCAGCCGCGACATTAAATATCGTAGGCGCGGATTTTGACATTGCGAGTTAATCCGAATCGTATTCGGAGTGATGTTGTCAATCGTCAAGTCTAGAAGCTTTGGTATAGTTACGGGGGCAGCCATTATGACAGCTATATAGAAAGATGATAAACGGTGATAGACATCAATAGAGCAAAGGATATCTAGAAAATTGATGGGATGATATAATTAAAGATCGAAGGTATTCAAATAGGTCGCTCAGACCTTATGTAATTCTCTGTCATCCCTCACGTCTTCTATGTGCCATGGTCGGCAGTTGGTGGTCGGGTCTCTAGTGTATGGGGAAGCGTACTGGTGGGAGAAGTTTGACCCTGAATAACGAACGATATGGTACTAGCTATTGATGCGAGGGCCCGGAGGACTACGTGTTGGAGATATACCTCCATTGAAACTCGCCAACAGTGACGACTACCTACATTAGACCAACGGCAGCGTTACACGGCGTTGACCAAGATAGAATTCAACCTACCTGTACATGCCGATAATAAGAAGTACCCCATCGAAACTAGGGAATATCGTCACATCTACATACCTAAACGTGGGGTAGTGAGGCAGGGATGTAAGGAGGGGCAAAGGGGGGAAGAGTGCGGAGACATTCGTGATAAATGCTTAGAAAAGTACCTACGCCAATCAATCCCCGGATATTTGCAATAAATGGTCCTCCACTATTTGAGTTTCGAGTTAATCTGTTGATTTTATCTTAATTTGGCCCCTATCCTATACTATCTTTTTACATTGACGTCAATGACAATTCATAGCTTCGATTTTGAACTTGTGTGATTAAGACGGTTTAAAGAAATTAACTAGGGATTATTCTAAACTTCCAGTTAAATAGGCATCTACCGAGGTTAATGACAAATTTGCCATAGAAGCCCCCTTGATGATCATATTCGTCCCATAATAGGGCACAGGAGAATGAATTAGACAGATTCGATATGACCCTCAATATAATATCAAGGCCCAGAGCATGTACCTAGTAGACATGATATTCTAGAGGAAAGGTTCAAAGTATCTGTGGAACGGGTTATGAGTCACGGCTTCATTAATGTAACATTTGAAGAACTATTACACAATATATTTGAGCTCTTCTGCCTAGGTTCTAGCTTCACAATGTGGACCTACAACTATGAAGCAAGCTTTTGTTACACTTTGATATAAGTTTGGAAGTGTAGGTAGCTTTAAGAAAAAAGCCACACATCTAATAGTAATATTCTAGCCAACGTCACTCGTGCAGCTAGCTACGACATACGGGAGTAAAACGTAGCAATTATAAAATGTGTCATATCGTTATCCATGCTGGGAGGTTTAGGGTAGCACAATACGCTTCACCAGGAAAAGTATGCTAGTAGGCTTAGACGAGAGTCATAGTGGATATTCACATAGATGCTTGATAAAGCCCCTATTCTTGCACAACCAACGGTGTAAGATTTATAATCATGAAAAAGTTCTGTATATTTTACTTACACTTTGTTCTAGTGATTGCCTTATTACAGAACACAGCCTGGATAGTAATTAATTATTGCACGAAATAATTGGCCTATCATATTAATATAATAAAGCCACTGTTTGTTAGAAGCGCCGAGCAACAATCAAACACCACTTTCAGCTCTCCGAACTAGTGGGCTTGGAGGTTCTGTGGTATGTATCAATGGGGCGTCGTTTGAACAAGAAAAACAAGAAATGGAAAGGACAATATGGAAGAATAAAGCGCAGTCTAGGATATCTCAACAGGCATCCAGGGCTTTTCGGTATTTTCAAATGGATTTGAGCGAACGGTATGCTGACACAGTACTCCGCCCTTTAAGAGCAACATTACCGAGACAATCTAGCCTAGATTTCTGTAAACATATATCGCTCAGGTATAACGCAGATACCGAAAATGATGCCCTCTGTCATATACAGCAACGGGAATGACCGTATAAAGGTCTTCCTAACAAATAAAGGACAAAGTGGCGATGCTAAACTATTGATGCCCAATGAACCAAATCTTAAGCCTTGGGGGCTTGAAAAGCGCCACGGGAAATTAATTGGTTACTAATTCTATTCTCCCGCCATAGTGAGCCTTGTCCGTTTACCGACGTTTGGGTCTGTTACTTTCAGGGGCCAGCCAGAGCACATGCTCATTGATATATGCTTCCCGTACATGCAAGAGCTCTCACGGGATTATATGTGACCAATTACATCTTTAGCTAGCCCTACCGAAAAAGATGGTGTGTACGTAGTAGCATATCCCCACGTGGCCGTACTGGGTATTGAGGTTCTAGGTGACTTTCGAGCCTATCCCTCGTGAAACTCGTACACCCACAATGAGCGATCTCTAGGTACGGTAGATCGCAGGGTGACCTGTCACTGGCTAAATATGTTCATTTAAATCAACGCCTGTGTAACTTATCAATTGTAATATACGTCGTATTTATGATACGAACCGTAAATCATCCAATTACTACTATTGAGGTTGTTAATAGGCCACCGGTAAGTAATAAGGCAGACATTTCGAGTCGTTTTCCTATAAGTTTGCACATTGAAACGTACGGCACAGGATATCAGCACCAGCATCGCATGTGCGAGATCAATGCTGGCATTGAAGATTGTGACGTGAGATGCTTAAACGGCTTTGCCACCGCCACCATAATGACCTCGTTTCATACCAACCTATCTACCTAGATATGTATACACGCTAAATTATTATCAGAGAAGTAAAAAGAACCAATGTGTACTGCCCCGAGAGTAGGTAGGAATTGCATGCATTTTATTGGTGATAAGTAGCAACTGGAGGGGCTAGTAACACCGAGATACTATTGGTAATTACTCTCCGATTCGTCTATGTCCAAGTCTAATAACTTATTACGCCTAGTAGAAGAATCTAACCAATCCCCAATGTCAAATATTCACCGATGTTTGGTCACTCGACACTTTCAATTGTGAGTCAACAAGTGTATAATGAAAGGTAATACCTACAACGGGACTGTTACGGCGAGCAACTGGGTGGCAAGATGCAAATAGATAGTGTGAGGCAGCCTATTTTCTACGTTCACGAATTAAAGGACAATGTTTGTCTGTGTCTGTAATTACTTCAAAGTTGACACAACGCCTATGGCGGTGCCAAGGACAAGCACGAGTCAAGACGGAAATAAGGAAAACCCATTCTATAAACCATCTAACGTAATGTGTAAAATGAGAAAATGCTTCTAAGAAATTCTATGACAAAATTTTAGGCACAATAACCAATCCATGCAAGAGGGTGATCAGGGGTATAGAAAAGTAGAGGAACGATGAATGTTTGTGGGAATCAGTGCTCCAAACACAATTTTGGTTGCTTTTCGTCCTTTTCCCCCTTTCCCCGTTCTATCCTTCTAAGTTGCCTTTTTCCATGTATGCCCTTTCCTGATATCCAAAGAAAAGAAAAAAAAAAAAACACAAAAGCTGCTGTCAAACCCAACCGCGTACACCATCCGGGGTATATTCGTGTAGGCATGTCTAATCCGGGCCGTTATAAATCGAAAGACCAGAGATCCGGGAGAACAGATAAACTGAAATAAGTCGAACGATGAATTGTGTTGTGCATAGATGTTTTGTCAAGGGATGCGTAAAGAGTAATAGTCGACAATAAGTCTTAGGACCTAAGATCCTAAGACTTATTGTTAAGCCATCAAGAAAAGGCCTTGGTAGGTATTTGATAAGATCCTTTCTAGAAAAAGGTTCTTTAATTCCATGATGTGGGAGGCCGATAGTCTATCTTAACTGCTGATTGTTACTGTGCAGTTAACGCAGTGTGCATGTCGATTGCAATGTACGCACGACGGCGTATTGACGATGGTCATGGGGCCGAACCCACATGAACAACAGTACCAAAACTTAGTACTCGTGCTGGGAGCGGTAGGCATCTTTAATGATAAATAGGTAAATAGTCAGAGTAAAATGTAAAGAATCTTGAAAGGGCGTGAGAGACTTATATAAAGTGTTGACTCTGAAATGTAGTGGTTTGATAGTATGAGACGAGTTTTCTCGCTGTGAGGATTGCGAGGGCCTGAGGCCTTTATACAAGACTCAACTATTCAGATCAAAGTAGACATGTACTTAGTCATGGTGTATAAACTCAAAGATAATAATACTGTTGGGGGTTAGAATATCTGTTAGGACAACACCTGAGATTTGAACTTACCGACTTCTTAACTGCTGTCCTTGGTGACACTTGTGAATAATTCGTCTGAAAAAACAGCTTCACCCCTTGGTGAGTCTATAGCTTCACTTCCCGTTGCTGTCCAAGCGGGTCGTGGGCGTACAACTTCGCCTCCTCGCTGTAAATTGACCAAGGGCAAGCGTCGTCATAATAATTTTCCGGTAAAGTAAATTACACTGTAGGTCATGACTTAGTTTGCTGTGCTTACCTAGCCTATAGCGAGACGTCTTGTTCGGTGTCATCGTTAGCACGGGGCGGATAGGCGCGGGTGTCAACCATGGGGAAGTATAATTCAATGTTATATTAGTTGATTAATCTGTAGTAAGGATAGCCAAACAGAAACAGCAACCCGGTGTACTAACAAGTTGAAGAATACATCGTTGACCTCACGTGAGATGGTGACCAAAGGGCTATGCATTAGGGGTTGGATTTAATTTGCTTCGGTTCTTCTCTGGGTGTAGCCCTTCATCAACAGCAAATATTAAGTCATTCAAATTGTAATGTTTACCAGTCGAGTGACTATACTGAGCCACAAGGACAAAACAGACGAAATGCCCTAATATATGAGCTGCGCCATGGCTCGAAGGCTCGATTCGGCGGTATCCGAATGTTTAACAGAGTACAATTGTATTCTTGCCCTTATACGTAATAGTATTCGACGCTAGACTTTTTCATTTTACAGTTGCAATATTTAAACTGTTGAATCTGGATTGCCTTGGGCAGAATTGTTTGCATCTAGAATACTTCTAGTGTCGTTTTTTGGGGCTGTACGTCTATAGGTGGTAACACGCAGCAGTCAGCAATTACTAATAAATGTATTTTCTTGCATCAAATGTAAAAAGGGACAACAACTTCAGTCTAGACAAACTAGTTTTAGTTTGAGGCGGAGTTTTTTGGTGTGTTA